AGTAAATACTCTTTCGTGAGAGCCATTTTTCATCTCGGTAATCCATAAACTGGGGAGGGATTAAATAATTATTAACAATTAGGTATAAACTTAGGAATTTAGTGAACATGATTAATAATTACCCGCAGCATACCGCTCACGAGACGCGCAGCGTTCAAATGAATTCTTTATTACCCCCTCAATATGCTTGTTAACTGTTTATTCAATCTTTAACGAATTCGCGTTCAAATGAATTCTTTATTACCCCCTCAATATGCTTGTTAACTGTTTATTCAATCTTTAACGAATTCCTATATATTGTTATACAAAAGTCATGCTCCATTTTTGTAAGGCAAAATTATTCTCTGCAGAATTAACTTTACTTCCGATCTGTAAACTTTGCACTAGGCTATCATAATACGGTACCAATATGGAGGTAACAATTTTGTTTGCCTACTTCACATCAAGTTGTGTAAAGGGACTGAAACCTATGGAAAGGGGGTTATATTTACTTGGCTAACACAGACAGTCCTTGAACTCGAAATAGAAATAAAATAAGGAGAATCAGAATAAAATGATGACCTAACTCTAACCTGGTACACATACTATGGGAGTATCAATTTATTATCGTTTTCTAAAACAAATTCTATTTTCTGTCTTCATAAACAGGTGGAGAGACTTGGAGCAAGTGCTTACAATACCAAAATCATTATTTAGAGGTCCAAGGTTACATGCTGTTATGGGATTCGATAAAGTTGTCGATGTTCTAAGTAAAAATCTGGCACCTCCTGATGTGAGTAGTTGCTTTCAATTCCTTTTTCTTATTCCATAGGTTATTGATGTTAAATGACATTTATTTGAAAAATTTCAATAAATTGTGTGATATAGCATAGGATTTTCATATTTATCCTGTGGAAAAGACAAGATCTCCTAAATAATCATTGTATAATCATTATATAATATAAAATGTTCAGACCCAGCGGTCCTGCTGTGGACCCATACAGCAGTGGTTTCTAACCTTTTTGGTGGACCGGAAACGAAATGTAAGGTTTCAGTCGCTTGCGTAACCCCTGTTAATGTAAATGTGTTTTATTGTCTTTATTGCATAAACTACAAGTGTACACAAAAGCAAACGAAATACTGCAGAAACAAAATGATCTTTAGGGTGTAGCAAGTTAAATAATAGTGACAAACCTAATAATTATTTGATTATAATCAATAATATAAATATTCAAACAATACACAAATATATATATATATTAATATAGACTCAGAAATAATAGGTATTTATTTTTAATTGTAAAATATAATATATACATGATATTGCTAATATAGAAACTTGTATTTGAATGGGAACTTATGAACCTGTGGACTGTATTCGTAAAACACCGCTTGAAAACCGCTGCCAACAGGGTGGATGCCTTACTCGGTCTGTTTCAAATGCTTGCTATAACGTACCAAACGCTAACCACGTATTGTTATAGTCGCGAAACATCCTCACACTAATTCTCATATCTCTTGCTCACTTCTGTATTCATTCATAGGCGATTCAGAAATATTGTGCTGAGATTGAAACATCCGATGTAAGACTAGAAATGGCTCAAAAGCTAAAATGCCACAAAGTTGTTATTGATGTAAGTATATAGTTGTCTTCCACTAAGAGTCTCCTGCTTTTCATCTTACTCTACATCAGGGGTCCCGAAGTTGAATGACCAGGGGTCAAAGTTTGAGGGAAAAATATATTTGCTAGCTGGGAGAGGGAAGCGCCTACAAGGTGTCTGTACCGACACATGCAATTAAAATGTCGGTATAATTGAATTGTCACGAATATACATGCGCTTAAACTGTGATATTGTCATAACAATTGGTGATATCTAGAATGCAAAAAGGTAAAAACACAAAGTGATAAACTATTTCACCTAAGTTCTATGGGTCATATCAAACTGTTACGCAGGCTGTAATTGGCCCGCAGGCCGCAGTTTGGGAACTGCTCGACATAATAGTCTGTGTGTATTTTAAAATCCTTGCCTGAGGTAAGCTCTTGTCAAGCAGTCACTGGTGTATTTCAAGTTATTGGGAGTTACTATAATTTGGGAAGACCAAAATAAACATTACTGGTTTGGTCTATGCATACTTTACTTAGAACACCAATAAGATGTTTGACAGTCAAAGCAGCTAAAAAGCGAGGCAGTCGCGTAATTCACATTGACAATTTATTGGGGGTGACAGAAAATTGTCTTGGTTTTAAATTACTTTGACCAATTGCTTTATAAATTTTAGTAGATAGAGCTGGAGTTCCCAAGCTTTTTTCAGGACGACCCCAAAGACAACTTTCAAGTGTCCAGTGCGACCCAATAGGTCAATATATATATTTTTCATGAAACTTTAGAGCTTCTTTCACTGGACTTTTGAGTTTGGTCATGTGGTGGTATTAAGTAAAATAAGCTAAAACACAACAGTGATGTCACAATAAAATCTACATTTTCAATAACAAAAGCATAGAGTGATGCCTATGGGCCTGTTTTACATTGAGCCATGGTACAAACTGCTAAATTTAACATGGTTTGTCAAATCTTAGATGAGTTGTACATTCATCCTCTACCATACCTCGGCGACCCTACCTATTTATCACTTCGACCCAATTTGGGGTCGCGACCCCTGGTTTTGGAACCCCTGAGTTAGAGATAGTTGTTCTGTCCTACAATGCTATAGTTAAACTCTTTCCGCATTGAACTCTGGAGTCTGTTGTAAAGTTTTTCTTTGCCATCTACCTCATTCATAGTTATTTTACTAAGGTTTCCTTATATTTTGCATTACTTTCTTACATTTCCAGACACTTGTATACCAGAAAGATCGACAAAGACTCATGTCCTATTTAAACTATATACCTGATACAAATCAACATATGAGACAATATTTGTTAAGTGAATCAAGGAAACCCGTAAGTTAATGAGGCTTTTATTAGATTTTGAAAATCAACGCTAAACTCAGACCATGATAAGCTCTTTGTTTCACTTGACTCCTATTTTTGAAGTCTGATATCATTTTTCTGGCGCTCCAGAAGTGTGTTACCAATAACGAGGTGACTAATTTTGTTCGCCTATTTTACGTCAATTTGTATAAAGGGACTGAAACCCATGGGAAGGGGCACAAGACAGTCCCCGAACTCATAATAGACCCAAATAGCGAAAATTGGATTAAAATATTGGATAACCCTAACCTGGTACACACACTACGGGAGTACTGCCTTCCAAAATTTGACTCTAACTCATTGCCAATATAAAATTAACCGAATTTCGTCTGAATTTTGGATGCTAGTTGGCTACACATGATTGTGAATTTGGAGAAAATTTTCAGCGGGTTCCCGGTCATTCAAAATAAAACGATAAAACCCAGCATAAGCAAGCTTTTTTGTTGGTTTTCGCCTTAAAAGTATTAAATTACAACTCTGTTTCCCTGTCAAGCAGTGTTCTTCCCTTCGGGATGATTATACTGCGCAATGCCGCGAGGGCACACCTCAGAAGGAACTATACTCCCAGGTGTTTGAAATTATGATATTGTCTCGATCGCCAGCAAAAATACCAAACTTTTCCACCTTGCAATTACAGCATGTATGCGTTCCAACATAAAAAACACAAAATTCAATTTTTTTTAGGAAACCAAATGGAAGAATTGATCTTTATCAGATAAATATCTCAGGTGCTGAGGAAGTTCCATTAGAAACAAAGTTATGTGATCTGCGAAACGATTTTAACAATCCTATTCTTTATTTTATTATTGCACAATTCACAATCATTTGTTTTGCCTATTTAATTATATCTAATCATGTTTTGTGGTTGTTTTTCAAATGCAAATCTCTACGATTTCCGAGTGTCTGTAGGGTGCAGATTGTTTCGGGATAGGTATGTAAAAATTAATTAATGACATGATGGACCATGTTTTTTTTAAATATGCTTATGTATCGCTAATGCTGTGCTGACATTGGATGGCACCTGAATATGACTTACAGAGATCTCGACTGTACTGGTTGTTGAAAAAAAAACAGTAGTTTTTTTACCTCGTTTGGGGCCTTAATTTTTTTCAGGCGATGTATGGTCAAATCCAATGGAATACCGCATTCTTCAAGTTTTTTCATTGGCCGATTGGTACTTATTTTAAAAAAGCTTTGAATATAGATCTATGGATGGGAAACCATTAGGGCTGGGCGTTCTTAAATACCGAATCATTTCAGAATCAATTTTTTTTGTGGAATCGAATCTCAAACACTAAGAGATATGTATGTGACATTTTTAATTATAATGGGTCTAATCAAAACAAATATTGAAAGGATTCACTCCGACGTTTGGCAGACTCAAAATACAAGATGGCAGCGATTCAAAATTCTGTCTTAACCGATTTGAATTATTCACCCTCCGATTCGAAGTGCCCAGCCCTAGTAACCATCCATTCCAAATTAATATAAGACTTTATTTCAACTCGGTGTGCAGTTAAATAGAGATGTTCTACCTCATACAATGCTATTGCACTGCTGATTATGGCAGTAATAGTATATACAGCAAATGCATCCACAATGCCTCGGGAAGCAAATGTTTATTTATCCCTTGTTAGGTCTAATATTAAGAATAAAAGGTTTATCTGGGGATCCATCCTGTTGTGGGGCACTCTGCTTCAGAACTTTAAGTTTCATTGATCACTGATTTTATTTGAAACTGCTCCAACTAATCGATATCCATGATTTTTTTCTGTTTCTATACAGCTTTCACGCAAGATTTATATACTACACTGCTCCTGACTGTGCTATCCTTTCCGCATTCTTAGCATTAATTGCTTGCTACTAATTCAAATATATATATGTGTCTTTATTTTATTAATATCAAGTTATGTTACGTCAAGGATTTCTCATTCATTTTGTAAGCGATGGAATGTTGAAGACATTTTGAATATCACAGGCTGCCAATGATAGATGAAAACCTCAATTCTGTGACACCCTCGGGTTTCCATTCTAACCTGAGAGTCTGTGTTAGGTTTTGCCACTTCATTAAACTTGTTACACTTTATAGAGGTTTTGCAAAAGTTTGTTGAGTTCAATGGTTTGGGTTTCGAAACAATAATGGGTGCTCCCAAATTATGTGCACAAAGGAAGTTTCTTAATTCGGACACTTCAGGACAAAACACGGCCTACTTTGTTGCCCACATGACCGACAACGGCACAGTCTTTGCCATCCCTGACAATTGCCTAATTTCAATCACTCAGCATATCACAGGACAAAACTTCAATTAAATTAATCAAATGAAATTCCCATGCACATTGAAGTAGATACGTTAATATACAGCAGAACAGTTTGTTGGAAATAGCAAAACAAATTAGAGCTAAGTTCTAATAAACATACAAAAATTAGTAACTGCTAACCCCGTTGAGAGCTTGTCCAATAAAAAATCCATGTTGAAATACTTTATATTCATAAAGGATATTTGCAGAATAATCAATACCAGTTTAGGAACAGATATTTTCATCATAGAACCCTTTATACGCTTGTCACCCCATACACGGCTCTGTACTTCAAAGGTCTGGAGCTTTTTTTTAAACTTTTCGGTTCGGCTTTGTGTACCCATTTTAGGTACTCCTGAAGTATGTGAACCAAGTTGGCGGACACTGGAATGTAGTATGTGTACCAGGTTAGGCTATAATTTCAGGTACAAATACTACAGGAGTCCCCGAACTCGTAATGTAACTAAAATAAGGAAAATTGGAATAAAATTATGGCCTAACCCTAAACTGGTGCACATACTACGTTCCTGTGTCTGCCATCTTGGTTCACATACTTCGGAGTACCCCATTTTATTACATCCATGGTGACATAGTGGAATGGGATTTGAACTCAAAGAGTTTTTAACCCATGACTCGGTCATATCATAACCAAGTCCAACACATTAAACACTAAACCAGTGGTTCTTGAACTTTTTAAGCCGCGCCCTCTTTTAGAATTTGCCAAGTCTCGGTCTCCATCTCAAAAGATAACTAGCTAACAATAAGCTACAAATAACAGATAGTGAGGAGAAAGTATGTTTTATTAAAAAAACACGCATGTAAATATCCGAAATGCAGAAATGTAAATATCCAAAATAAGGCAGACAAAACCAATCTAACAAATATTTTTAATTAGCTTCCTCCTTAAAAGATTGTCCCAGCCACCCTAGTAGGGCGTGCCCCACCGTATAAGAATCACTGCATTAGATCATTGCGCCCACAAACAGGCTTTTGACTCTGTCATGTCTTCAAACAGAGGCATAGTGGCAAGATCATTTAGTCTTCCCCTGCAAGCGGGATGCGGCCCATTCGGGAAGTTTAGTTTCAAAACTCCAGTTTGGGCCTTTATACTTGTAAGCATGTAGAAACATGACCATGTTTTCTGGACTAGGATCAGGTAATGGGTATATACATTCCTCACAATCAGCTTTGTAGGGTACAAATCCCTCATCTTCGAATTTTTTCTGCTGGATTAAGCTTGCTGTTGTTGGATCCTGTAACGTTAAAGTTTATTTTTTTAATCAGTAAAAAAATCACTCGAATGCAGAATATGATAAAAAGAACACAGTTTTACTCGGGAAGGGAAACTAAACCTGGCTATCGAGCAGCAACACCAATCTTATATCTGGTTTGAAAGTTTAGAACTTTGAAAATGCCAATATTGGCGGCGAGTACCGTACCCAACTAACACAGCTAGAGATAGATAAATAGTACAAATTACATTAAAAAGTCGTAGAATTTGACATGGGTTGCAGGAAAATCTACAGACAATTTCGAGCTCCGTTTATCGTGGGTTTTTAAACTAATTTTGATTTGATTATATTTCAAATTTTCGATCACTGGAACTATATAGACTACTGCTTGGAAGACAAAACGTCCCTGTGTTGTTTGATTCATACCTGAATTTCATAGATATGTAAAGAGATATTATGTGTAAAGAGACCAGGAATATTTATGGGATTGAGCCAGAGATGTACGCCAACACTTCAACTGCTATGCCATCGAAACCCTAGTTATAAAGTGAACCACACAAAGATAATCAAAAGCGAATAATGATGCCGCAATTAGTTGACAGCTTTTATAGATCGTAGCTGATTGACTGTTTGTACCGGTTCTAGGATAATTCGCCGTGGAAAATTTCGCCACACAGGAAAAATCGTCGCAAGAGCATATGATAAAAACAGGTTTTTGAATTACCCTTTTATTTGAAAAAGATTCGTTTTTTAAGAGCATACCCTAACCCAATAAACCTAACTGTTTTATCACAAATACTGGGGCTCCCGAAGTATGTGAACCAAGATGGCGGACATCGGAATGTAATATGTGTACTAGGTTAGGGTTAGGCCATAATTTTAGCTATAAATACTACGGGAGGCTCTTGGCTAGTCTTCAGACTGATAATAGGACTAAAATAAGGAAAATTGGAAAAAAATTATCGCCTAACCCTAACCTGTTACGTTCCAATGTCCGCCATCTTGGTTCGCATACTTCGGGAGCACCCAAATACTAGTGTTACAGAAAAGTGCTCTTGCAGCAAATTTTCCGGACACGGTTTGTACCTGCCTTGTTTAGAGCACAATACATCAATGAGCGTCACATAAAAAAATTTCTGTTGCTAGTTTTTGTCAACTTACTTTATCATTTTTCGCTGGATTCTTTCTTCCTGATTTTAATTTTTCGTCTTCAGCCATAGTCTTATGAACACTTGACATTAAAACAAGCCATTTTTTTCTTTCTGATAATTCTGTTTTCACGTCACCTAAATTTTTATTGATCGGGCCGAGTGTGAAACGTTCATCTCCCCAGGCAGGACTGTTATAAATTTGATCATTCGATATCGGGTAGCCAAGATATTGTAAATGTACCCTGATTTGATGTGTTCTGCCTGCAATACAAATAAATCAAATTAACATTGGTGCATGCCTGATAAAAATGCAAATTCAGTAATATTTCTGTGAAGTCTTAGCTAGGCATGTTTTGATCGATATTAGAGTTAGAGACAGTTTTCCAATCCTGATTGTGAATTTGCATTTTTTATTAAAATAAATTCAATAGAGGTTTTGGGCTCTGTTATTTTGGTCACTTTGCATAGGTATGCTACTGCTACCCAATCCAAAATACAAAAAAAAAAAGTGAGAAAAAAAAAAAAAAAAAAATATACCCAATCCACTTTTCATGTTGAGGATAACAGAGTTTGCTTTAGGCGTCCACAACAAATTTTTTTTATATAAAAGTTACCGGTTTTAGGTTTACAACTGAGTAAACTCGTTTTTCCATCCGTATGAAGGCATTCAATGTCAGTCACACATTCTTTAGCTTGGCTTCCCCGGCTCACCACTGAGGTTCCAATTTTTGGGTCGAATAGTTTTATAGGTTCACTGATTGTAACAATGTTATTTTCAACTTTAATTCGATGATCGTTTTTGGGAGGTAATTTGAACTTGGAGAAATCACCGACTACATGACAGACATATTCTTTTTGCACCTAAAACAATTAGATTAGTCAGAAGTTTTCATTAGTAGAGTACGTCTTTTTGTATTTTGGCAAAGTATAAAGAACTGATTATCGTACGGTGCAGTGATTCTCAAAATAGACAACATCGAACCACTCTATGGGGCAAGAGAGATGCAATAGCGCATTCTCCAAAAGAAAAGTTAGAATGAATAGGAAGTCCATGCTTCCAAAAACAAATAACTGTCTAAGTAATTCCATATACGACATGTACTGGTAACGAGACAAGAGGCCGTGGTTCACCTTATAATTGGGCCGTCTTATCTCTTTCCTCGCGCCCAGGATAAATATGTAAATCCTATCATAGTTAACTAAGCCTTCTTAACAGTCTATTACAGAAGGTACAGACATACAAAGATTCAATATTATCAAAATTTGATTTCCTGGAAAATTAAGAGTCATAAATTTTAACAATCAGTAGTGAGGTACAAGAGTAAAAATTGTTTTAAACCCAGAGTAGGGGTTGAACAATTGTGCCCAAAGGTAAGCAGTAGGCCAAATAACGACCTTTCCCAGTACTTCCATTGATATCAAAAAAAGTTGTTACCTTTCTTTGTTTAAACTGGTCATGCAGTTTGTGAGCAAGTTGTTGAGTTTTAGCAAATAATAATAATCCAGACGTCATCCTATCAATTCTATGAATACTGAATAATTTTTTCATATTGTACTCCTGAAAGGGAAGAAAAAGAATTTTGGGATTGCAAAGAAGGGTTGGGATATCAGAAAAATGAAAACAATTATACATGTTTTTTAATATTTTTTTTTTAAATTTTGTGCATTTGTTTCTATTTGAATTTTAAAATATACCAAATTTGTTTAAAATGGCATTCGTAACATCTTATAAAAGGTTCATTGTGAAAACTAGCGGACTGATCAATTTCAAATTTCCTTTCAATAGTCAGTAGTTTATTTTTTCCCATACCAAAAATATGAAAATATACAGACAGTAAGTTAAAATAAAAACAATGTATTTCAGCGTGAAGGGAGACATGATAAACCAGCCATGGTTATCGAGCATCGTCAAATAAGCAATAGCAATAAAAGAAGTCATTAGTAAGCTAACACTCGTGTGCTTTTTTTAATTGTCTACCAAGTTCTATGAGAGTGATATTTGACACAAAATTTTGATGTTCTCAAAGGAAACACTTTTTATAACACATATATGGGAACACTTTTATTTGACCTTCAAGACCAGACATGGGCAAACTACGACTCGTGGGCCAAATCTGGCCCTCTGCGTTGTTTAATGTGGCCCACCAGCAATTTTTGGCCCCTGGTCCAAAACCTGTGCCCAACTCTGTTCAAGGCTATAATATTTAAGCATTACTTTCTTTTTTTTATAAGGTAGTACCGTTATCATCGGAAAAATTCGGCGTAACTTACCTTCGCTAATATGGATATGATTGAATTGTACCGGAACCTTCCAGCAGGATGTATCGGGATACTACAAGGTTTGTTAATGACAAACCATTCTGAATCTTCTAAAATTATTTCAAACTTTGCGTCTGTGACCGGACATTCATGTCTGTGAACTCTGAAATTAATAAAATAGATTTTTAAACACAATTTTATTAATTATATACTTTCTAATCCAGGGGTGTGCATCATTTTTTTTCATGGGGCCATATAATCAACTTCAGACATCTAGCGGGGCCACACAAAAAAATTTGGTACCTTCGTAGTATGTGAACCAAGATGGCAGATACCGGAATGTAGTATGTGTATCAGGTTAGGGTTAGGCCATAATTTCAGGTACAAATACTACAGAAGTCAGTTGGCTGGCTAGTCCCCAAACTCGTAGTAGGACTAAAATAGGGAATGTTGGAATAAAATTATGGCCTAACCTGGTAAACATACTATGTGCCGTTGACCGCCATCTCGGTTCACATACTACGGGAGCACCAAAAATTTAGCGAGAAGGACAAGAGAATGAGGCTATCGCTTACAGTGATAAATGCACCGGGTAAAACGGTGAAAGGTTTGAAGCAGCGACTAGAGCAAAATATCATGATGTATTTTTATCCATGTGAGCGCCTTTTGAAACATCAACTGTCGAATTAGGATTTTATGCTTGCATGGTGAAGGGCCACACTAAATGGCATGGCAGAACGGATTGTGGCCCGCCGGCCACCTGTTGCACACCCCTGTTCCAAGCAGTAAGAGGCTTTTTTACATCATCACTCTGAATGAGGGCTCTGCAGAAGAAGCTATCACCATGCAAAAAGCTATAATTTTCAGGACCTGTGACTCAATTGGACTTGGCATATGAGGACTACATCAAACACTATTTTCAAATACTAATAAACCGCCATATCAAACTCACACACTCGTTAGAAGATCATTGCTTTTCAGTACATGATCCAGGCTTTCAATGGGTTCCAAATTAACCATAAGTCTTTTCTCTTCTATAGACTTTTCATAAAATTGAACAGGGTGTAAACGAAATTCTGATGTGTAGATTTCTCTCAGCGATTTTCCTTCCCATCTACCTGGAAAAATAAAACATCTCTTTCAAAACATTAACAACGCCAGCGCCTATTTTTTAGAATAATTATCCTCATGAATATTTTCTGAATGGAGACGTTTTATCCACGCATAAATTCATACAAATGTATAAAAAATGGATTTGATAATGCAGAAAAGTTGTAATAAGCAACATTCTTTATTTTTAAACAGTCAGAATGTAAGTCAGTCTACATTTTGTTATGAGCATCAGATACTGGAGTGCTCGAAAGGAGAATTGTCGTTACAGGTGAATTCAGAAATTATTGAACTTTAACAAACAAAATTATCCGAAAATAAGTTTGGATCTTATTTCAATTTTCTTTCAAAGAATAACACTAGGGCTTATTTTCGCGAGATTTCTTTTTTTTCATTTATCAAAAACAAAATTATAAAGTAGAGAATTACAAAATATGAAAATCGATATCCATTTATTTATAACTAACACGTTTTCCTCTTTCACACATATTAGATTAATCGTTGCTAACGATTACGTCAAAAAAAATTTTTAATCGCTTATATTAACATCATTCATAAAATTCAGGCGGGTCTTATTTTCGGGGAAACATGGTAGGTAAATTAAAAATCTACAACAAAGACAGAAAGGAAAAGGTCCAACTCACCTTTACAAAACGTATCATACTTATGATCATATGGCACAACTTTTCGGAATCCATTTTCAAAATAATATTTTGTTTCAGTCATGGCGTCTTCCATTGTGACTTTTTGACGTTTATAGGTCATATGTAATTGTTTTTGTGAAGCACTGCGTTTTGCCTTGCGCTTACGAGCATTTTCATACTTAGGTTTGGTTTTGGAAATGTCTGTATTTTTTGAAGATGTGGCAGACGCCTGATCGTCCTTTTTCGCCTCCAAGTTGTTATCTGGAATATTCAATTGCTTATCGTTGATGTCACTATGTTCAGTTTGCAAGCTATTTTCATCATCTTTTTGTACTGTCGACGCAACACCCGAACTCATGGTGCGAATATGAAATGTACGAAACCTGGGGCGGTTAATTTGCGATAAATTCCTTGTTTTTATTAGACTCGCCCACAAACGAAACGGGCTTCTTCTGTATTCCTTTTCTCTAGGTATATTAAATTCCAATAACTTCCGACTTTGGCGAAAGATTTCACGCGAAAAGAATTTCATTTGACAATGCAAAGAGCGAATGTCGTCTCGTGCAATAACTACAAGCTTGCATTCACACGCACTGTGGGGCAGATGTGCCACATGAAACTGCGGTATAGCAATGAGACATTCTTGTGAGTATAGTATGAATGTATTATTATTAAATATGCAATTAATAAATAAATTGGTATATTTTTCAACTGACATTGTGATATTTGTCAAAAACGGCGCAAAATATATCATTTTCTATGTTATAATGACGTAATATTTTAAAGTCAAAGGTTGAATTGCCGGACCGGAACCTTTGCCATGGCAACAGATCCATACATTTTACTTTCAGTTGGAAGTTCGCTGCTTTTACATACGGTTCGCTCTTCATCTTTCCTTGTCAGAGTAAAATAAATATGGACGCCGAAGGACTTCATCTTTCAATGAATTATATTTCCAGTAGCGGAATAGTACTCAGTGCTGAACAGAAAGCGGCTCTTGAAACATCTATGGTGATTTTAAGAACAAATTATAAATTTCACAAAGTTTGGTTTTGGGGAAAGATTTTGGGAATAAAAGACGATTATTTTATCGCTCAAGGAGCTGGAAGAAATGAATTATCGAACAGAAAAACACTTTACAGGTATTTTTTCAAATTAATATTATCATGTTCAGTTATTCACTTACATATTTTAAAGTTTTTTGTAAACTCATTTTGCATTTGTAACCCGATTTTGATAAAAGCAGAGGTGATCATACTTTTGTGCTCGTTTAGGAAATGTCATTTTATTTTGGGGGTCCAGTGCAATTTATTTATTTGTTGTTCATTCTGAACAAGGCTCTGTCTGAGCAGTAACTTCTTTCAGTATTTGTAAAAAGCTATCGGAAGGTTGAAATATTTTTGGTGTGTCATTTTCTAACCAATTTATTACACCCAGATTTTCTTGGTGGACGTGAGATTTGAACCCGAGATGTCCAACCTGCAAAGCCAACAATTAAGTCCATAACTTTAACCACTAAGTCATCAAACACACTATTATATTACAAATAACATTATATTCCAGCTTAAATTGTGTTGAATGGCATCTACTTCCTCCAGCGAGTGAAACAGCAATGACAAATTCAAAGATAATTCATGGAAGATTCCAGGGAGATCCGTCTTATGAATATGAACATACAGAAGTGAAAAGAGTTGGAGATGGAGAGGACTTTACAGAGGAAGAAGTTACAGTGAGTTCTTAGATACTTATGTTGGTGTTGAGGAAGCTTGAGTCGATGAATCGACTTGATAGACGATTGGTTCTCATGGCCCACCAAAGGGGCCACGGAGAAGTTGGAGGGGGTTCACAATGTTAGGCGCAAAACTAATTTTACTTTACAAAAACTCCTCGTACCTTCTAGTTTAATAGCTTGATAAGGTTATTTCACAACATATTTTTACTTAGTTGAGCATTAATTGTTTGAACATAATGAGATTTGGAATCTACCACGAGCCATAAAAGGTTGGGAAATACTGAGATAGACTAATTCACCAATAATCAAAGAATAGAAGAGACCTGAGCCATTGAAAAAGAATTTCTTGGACTTGCCACTCGTTAACCGCCAGTGAGACTTGACTCAACTTGGATGGTGTGCAGTGATTTCCCTACACCCCCCCTATAGGGGGTGAACACCCCCCCTAAAATTTCAAACACCCCCCCTAATTTTGAGATGCGATTCCACACTGAGGGGTTCTAAACCGCAGTCTGCGGGCCAATTACGGCCTTTGAGTTTTAGATACCGTCTATTGTTACATCATTATCACAGTTTAAGCACGTTTATTTCGTAACAATTGAATTATTCCGGTATCTTATGTATAGGTATGGGTATTAGGATTACACACTGCAGTATTTTAGATATCAGCCGTATATTAAGAAAGCTTAAAGATGTCACAAAACGAAAACTAGGCACTGAAAACAGACGTTTTGTAGATGAATGACAGCGTTTTTAGTTCGTTATCGAAAAGAATCAAACTTCAGCGATTTGTCTTCTTACCAACAAAATATTTCAGTTCTGAAGGAATACAACATTACGCGACATTATGATCAGTTGACGAGCTTATTTCAAAATTTAATTCATACAAAAGTCAAACAAACATGTTCAAAAAAAATTAGAAATGTGTAACAAAACAAGCCATAAGTAGCCATTCATACAATGCCAGATTAGCAAGTAACTTCATTAGTCACTATCAGTTGCAAATAACTTGTTGAAACGTAGTAGTATATATTTACGGTTGAAAGCCGTTATCTATTCCCCGGGAATTCTATCAGCTAAATATTATAATTATTGATTTCATTACATAACAAACTGCGATGCTAGGTGTATCTAAAATCAATCTTAGAGCCTATTTTGGTGCCTATTTCTCAAAATTTTCTCAGGGTGCTTAAGCGCGCCCTGAACCCCAGCCGTGTCGTCCCGCACTTTTACTCGCTCCCCTTTTTTGGCCCTACAATTTCATTCTGCTGTGGATTTTGGCTCTCGTCAATCAACTTGGGGGGCCCCCAAGTACATCGTTTCTCAAATACATACCATTTTTTTTAAGAATACAAAAAGGCTAGTTTTATCTCTAATAGCAAATTATTTACCACCCCCTAAATTTTGAAACACCCCCCCTAAAAAGAAAAGCTGGGAACATACTGATGGTGTGTGAGGCCATAACCCATGACTCAACTTATGAAGAGATATGTGGAACTTCATATTTACTGATATGATGTTAATAATATCAGGTCTCCATGTGTTGAGATATTGGATATATGGTTATCAAATTTAGAAACATTTTAATGCAGTAGTATTCATGCAGTATAGAAGAGATTTGTTAATTTTTAATAACCTTCTATATTTTTCTTGCATCCTTTTCTTGAAAATTTTGCAGTATTTGGCACATCATTTTTTGTATTGATATCCTCAGGTTGTTAACATATTTTCATTTCGTAAGAGCTAAATTCAATGTATTTACCAAGTAATTTTGATTGGTATTATACAAATCCTTTTAAAATTTTCAGATTTTCAAATCTTCAATCTCTTGGAAAATACTAGGTAAATGTTTTAAATTAAGATTTTCTTCATCTGAAATTCTAGATTCATTTGAAAGAAGAGGATCGTCTTGCAGCGGTGATTTCATCAATAGATGAAGATGCAGCAATTGTACCTCGAGGTGCTTTTGTTAGGACTCCTCTTGGTGAAGTTCACACAAACAGAAGTTTTGAAGGTCGGTATCACTCTGAAATAGCTTATTCATGGAATAGCGTAATTGTAGCCAGTGCTGGGAGTTGCTTGAGTCCATGTGGGATGGCGTGAATAACTGCCATTTAGCTCAATGATTCGGCTCGACTTAGACTTGAGGATTGCATGACTTGTGACGCAGGGTTCAGGAACTGCTATCCAACACTTAAACTTGCCATCGCATATAATACTATGTACCAACTTTCCAGTAGTCTTACTGTTTTCATATCTATGGTTATCTACAGAAATCAAACCAATTCAGATAAATAAAATTTTATTATTTCAAATAATTTAATGAAATGCGGATTTACAGAAAGTGTTATTTGCAGATATGACCAAAGATATAACATATTTCCTGCAAATTTTTAATAACCAAGATATAAAATACAATACTGAGTAATTTTTCGATCTTGCGGCTGTGAACCTACATTTCATTTTACACTTTATTTCTTACTGCAGGTCTTTCAGTGACTGAAGCAGGGAAACTGTCATCATATATGCATTTTCGTGAAGGGCAATACCACACAAAGAAAACTATCAAGGAAAAGGCAGATTTGGATCCTTCCATTGATTTCTTAGACTGCATTGAAGAGGACATACCAAGAGGTACATATATAGGTTAAAAAGTCAGAAATACGAAACTCTAGTCACTCATCACCAAAGTAGATTGAATAGTAAGCTAAATTTAGCAACGCACTGAGAAACTCAGGACTGTAACGCCATGGCCTCGTCGTTATAATGACCATTTCTAGTAGCGAGAGATGGGGGGTGGGGCATGGCCCAATCACTAATGAGTAACAAGATCTGTCGATTCATATCTGAGTCGCTTTTCTATCAACTTTTCACTTTCGTATAAATATATCAAATAATTGCCAAAGAACCCAAAATTTCTTAGAGCGCCTCATCTGGAGTTCCTCATAACTGTTTTTCTGGTCATATCGACCTGGCCTGCTCAAGTCTTCGTCAACAAATTGGTACCTACTGCTAGTCAGTAGCTTTTGCCTCCTTTGCTTCGGAGTGAGGATGCTTAATCTTGCTTCGAGCAGATTCAGAAGTGTTCGCCTACTTTACATCAAGATGTGTAAAGGGATTGGAACCTATTTGCAGGGGGTATATTCACTTGGCTAACACAGAACGTCGCCGAACTCTTAATAGAATTGAAATAGGGAAATCGGAATAAAATTATGGCCTAACCCTAACCTGGTGCACACACTATGGGAGTACCCTATTTCCATGCATATTGATGGAGGAATGAAGAGTTGCAAAATAGGCGAAGAGAGGAATTTCAAAGAAAAAGGTTACACACACTACAGGAGTCCCAATTTTATTATTTAAAATACATTTACTATTTTTATATCATCAGGATCATGGAGCCTTAAATTTGAGCGTGGAAGTGGACTGGTCTGCTTACGTAGCCTGATGTGGCTCGGACAAACGTTCTACCACGTTCCAGACTCAAGAAAATATGGCAGAGTATACGTTGGAACAGGAGAAAAGAATCTTGATATTCCATTCATGCTCTAATTCAATTTTCAGATTCTAAATTTTATATTTTGTTCTTCTGTAAAAAGTCACTACAAATTTTGTAATAATAAATATTAGCTGTATATTGTTGGATTGATGAATCAATTCATGCTGCGTCAACAAGAAAAAAGAGCAATTAAGAATAATATTTTCTCACATACGATGAAACTCATAAACAGGCACGAGACGGACTTGTATATGTGCATGCCCTGAGATGATTGCACAATTTTTACCTAAAACAAATTATATCAGATAACATTCACATCTCCCAGATTGAATATGAATAAGCAAAATAAGAGAGAGGTTTATGGTTTCAATTTCGATAAACTAAACTGTGCAATTCAGAATAGGTATGACCAATGTAGTTGCTAAAAAATGAGCTGGAAATTAGAAATCAAAATGAACGGTCAAAAAACAGTGGAACGATGATTAAAACCTTAGACCGAAACCAAGTCAAGTTTATTTTTTCCAACCAGTAAATAAATAAAAATAATAATTGAACACAGAAAATACAAGAAAAAAAAGGAAAATTACAGTTTTACTGGATGAGGGAAGTCGCGAGGAAACAAAGATGGTAATAGAGAAGCGACAAAGCAAAGATCTCAGATTCAATGCCATTCTCACCAAGAGTGTAATGTGTTGGCTAGGCAATGCCAAAACCACAATCAGTAATTTATTTAGAGTAAAAGAGTATAGATACACTAGGATGGAAAAAGTGGCTTTTCTGTTTAACATAGATTACTTTATATTAGGTTTTATATTTATTTATTTATATGTAATTTGCAATAGTTTACAACAAGTCTAGAGAGCAGACTCTTTGCAGATATGCTTATAAATATATTCACAGTGCTGTATAAATATGGTAGGTTGCATTCAGTAACCACTAAAATGAAGATACATGATAAATTTGCCTCAAAGGCGTGGAGAGGTTAAAGCAGGGTTGTGCTGCCTTTAATACAGGAGGGCCAGATATAAATAACTTGAAACCGTGGGCCACACTTTTATTAAACATAGGCTTTCTAGTAGATGCAGGCACAATACTCTGGGTTTTGTTCTTATGACAAGCTAACTTTTAAGGCAATGCAACATCATAGATAATAAATTGAACACCCCTGGGTTAAAGCATTAGACTTAACTGTGCAGACTTCACATCGCAGGTTTAAATCACTGTCCATACCTTACCCAGGGTGTAATAAATTGGAATGCCGAACAAAAGCTTAGTTCCTTACATATCGGCAGATATCTGCTTGCACAGCGCCATTTTTGGAGTGAGATGTGTGTTTAAACCGCGCAAAAAATATGTAATCTGACAATCAAGAATCTCATATTGATGACAAATGCCGGAGCAACACTGATTTATTTAATAGGGTTAGATCAGTGCCCTTTTTCTGGATTAATAGATTGGAACAGACCATGAACTCAAAGATTGATTCAACGGTGCAGTCGATGGGTTTTTCACAAAATGTTCAATCCATTTCAAAACTTGATTCTTCAGATGACACTCTCCTTTTCTTCCCAGTATTAGAAGTATTTTCCATCCACTGACTACTCATATTTCGAGCTTTATATATTGGTTCGTATTCCTAAATTAAAATGACTGAATTATTTCAGGGATGTGACCTATTCACTCAATATACTGATAAATGCAAACACCAGTATTTTTGTAGTGTTGGGTGGAATATGTACTGTAAGTCACTGAGTTCATAGGTCAAGTTAAGTTACAGATCACAAAAGTCAATCATTGACCAAAGTCTCACGGGCAGTTAGATAAAAGTCTTTGATAAATTGGAGGCTTTAGTCGAGTAACCTATTCAAGCCACCCCAACTCTGCTTCTGCATAGGGATGACAGTTAATTTGGTCAGAATCGAATTGGGCATGCAAAAGATATGGACAGATTCTACTGTCCAATTAACAGTTTGAGTTTTATTCTTTCCAATGTCCCATTTTCATTGTTTGGATTATACATTAGAATTTATCAACATGAATCACACGATAGATAGATGTATGAGTGTGTGTATGTGTGCTTATTTATTTGCCTCAAAAATGTATCAGTATCTGCATGATAATTAAACGGTATAACAGAGGCGGGATACATGTTCAAGACCATACTGACCTAAAACTGTTACCTAAAAAAGATACTAGATTGAGAAACCCACCTGAAGCTGAGATCTGAATCCATAATTAGGAGCAATACAAAACCTTCTTCTTTTAACAATTTCAAATGCTTCTCTATGATTAAAATAAACATGAGTCAGCATAAAATACCGGTAGGTTAAATAAATAGGAATGCTGAGTCAGAATTAGTAATTTAAAAATTAGATGAATTTATATAAACAGTGTGGAAGAATAAGTACTGATGGAATATTGTAAGTACCACGGGCATGTGGCTGAACGCCCAAATGCATAATTGTATGTGATGATTGTGTGGTTGAAGCACGGGTGTAGCCAGGAGGCCTAAAGGGCCATGCCCCCCCCCCCCCCCCCCAAAAAAAAACATTTTTTTGTTCAACATTTTTTGTTTTAAATGCAATTTTGCGTCATTTGCAGTAAGACATAAATTCATATGCCTTTTCCAACACCATTTTGATCTATTCTCAAACGATTTACTGAAAACCGTATGGCTACGCTCTTGCTAGACTTTACTATGTTGGCTTTACAAGATAAAAATTTCTCGTTCAAATCAGGAAAAATGTCATCTTTCAACTATAGTTGATCCCTACTTGGCAATGCCTGTTTGTACAGAGCCTTGTCTAGAGCGGAATGCGTTCAAAACATTACATGAAAAAGGTTTTAAAACTGTTAGGAGTTTGAATAAGATATCCATCCATATATTCACAATAACTTTTTTCATGCTAAGTAAATTTGGAACTGAATAAATTATAAATATCTTTTAACCCTTTTTGAAGACTTGAACGGGATTTCAAATTTCACCTTAATAAAGGAGTATGGTTCTCATCCGGCTACCAGTACAAATCCAACAATCTAATGTAAATTTACTAATTGAAAATGAGGCAATTTGAATAACAAAGATAGTTCATAACCTGGTCATAGCCCTTCGATTCATGTGATAAAAAAACAAAAAAATACTTACTCATAGGAAATTGATCGTGTTTCCATTATGTAAGCAATGACTAGTGAGGCACTGAAAAAATAAATTCCCGAGATAAGACTGAATTGAAGGATGCACTGAAATTATTTATCCAAGTTGGTCAATATAATTTTTATATATCTCATATCTTTTTAACCATATTACGATTAGGTGTTCTGAATCAGAGTGAATTTAACTATGGCCAAGTCATTAAGTGTTAGACATGGATCAGGATGAAAACTCTCTGAAATATGACATCAATATTCCACAGCGCCACCGCATTGTACATAAAACTATAATGTGTAACCAATTTATTACACCTTGCGTGAGGTGGTTAATACGATTGTTAAAACTATTTCAATCCTCCTAAACAATAGTAGCTTGGTAGGTTAATAGTTGAAAATTCATCAGTTAATGGCTCGGCAGTGTGGCTCATCGTGCTAAGTGTTAGGAATACGCTCACTACCGCATCTCTGATTACCCTTCGTGGGATCGCAGGTTCGAATCCCATGCGGGGATGATTATGTGCGAGAGGATTGCTGGACTCCTCGCCGCCGTAGGGTTGTTCACGTAACCTCTGGTCGGTTACGGCTTCCTCCACCATTAAGTTCATGCTTTCGAAAACAAATAACTGGATAACTAATCCCATACCCGACCTGGACTGGTAACCGGACGAGAGGCCATGGTTCGCATTATGATTAAGCCGTTTTATCGACTTTCCTCTCCCCCGAGATAAATATGTAAATCCTATCCTATCATTTCAGATGCAATGAACTCAAATAATAGAGCACCGGTATTTCTTTTGAAATGAAATACTTATTCTTTGTCCAGTTACAAATCCACCTCACCCAAGGTGTAATACATTGGGTACACAAATGTCAAAATGAGACAATCTTGATCCTCCCAAACCGTGTGACCTCTTACCTACCAATGGCTGCTTGTTCAGAGCTTTGTTCAAAGCAAAAGTCATATGAATATACTATTTAATTCAAGAGCCCTGCTGTGCACAAACACAAATGTATTTCTGTAACGCTTCGTCTGACCAGAGTCCAGAGGAATTCAAGAATTCTTCAGACAAGCATTTTTCAACCATGATAAGAAACGCGAAAGCATGCACATGAATTATGGTTAGCAATTGTTTTCAAATAGTGAGAGTTTCCAATTTGTTATCTATGACATGACTTTTATATCTAAACTCTTAGTGTGCAGCAAGAGTCTCGAATCAAATAGCATGAACACTCATATGGATCCACTTTGACAAAGGCATAGAGCAAGGAAAGGAAGTTAGTATTGCATACCACCAATTGATAGTCATATGAATATGTCATAGAAAAAATGCAAGTATCGGTTCAATACCTTCTTGACATTCCATTTACACCATGTATAAGAATCTTTCCTTTGGATTGCAAACATTCATTTATAAAATTTCTTGCTTCAGGTAATATAGATATGATACTCTCACATGGATGGTCCCTGAACTCTATCACTTTATATCTGAAAAATGTGTTGCATTGTATGATAAGAATCTATATGTCTATCTAGGAAAGACGCTGGAGTGATAAGATAGCTTAATCAAATGGTTGCCTGTGACTTCGTCTCATAATTTACTGGCATAAAAGGCACCATCATAATTTCATATAGTTTTAATAGCTATCGGCATTTTAAGAGAGCTTCAGAAGTATGTGTACCAATATGGAGGTAACTAATTTCGTTCGTCTGCTTTATATCATGTTGTGTAAAGGGACTGAAACCTATGGGCAGGGGGTATATTCACTTGGCAAACACAGACAGTCCCTGAACTTGGACCCTTTAGTGGCCCATATCTCTGCTCAGTGATTAGTCTTCCTTCTGTCTTTACTTCTGAGTGTGTGTGAGTAACCTTACTTTGAGCAAATTATCTTACTAAGAAGTGAATAGATAATACAACAGTTAATCTTTCCAGGTGTATGGACTTAATACAGTTTTCCTTTCGAAATGGAATACTTATTTTTTGTCTTGTTACAAATTCAGCTCCAAATATTAAGTAAATATTTCAGCTGTCCATTCACACACTGCCATTTTGGGTTAGAAAATGAAAAAAATATTCAAAAGCAAAATAAAGCTGGCAATATTTTCACACAGTTTCATTTAAAGGAATACAGTACATATAATCACTCAACAAATACAAGAATCCCGCTATTATTACAGACCAATCGTACCTACATGAATATATCTGGAAAGTTGACTTTTACGCATCTTGCTTCGACATCTTGCCGAACACATAAAATATGAGTGATGCCATCATTTCGAAGATTTTCAAGCTGAAAAAAAAACAGTTACCATGGTTCGTCATATGCCATCTTGTTGACTTTACTCGTCCCAAAATAAATATGATATATTTTACCTTCGCTAAACTAAACCATTACATTTATAATAAAAATTATGAAAAATTCCTTATAAATAGTACTGTAGTAGGTCTTCACATTTCATAAAACACATACAACAAACTGACCCTCTTTACCTCAGATTTTGCAGCTGCCTGGTATGGTCCTAGATATACATTTGGAATGATCTCTTGTTTCTTTCTGCGCATGTCATATTGCCACGACTAAAAGAAAGACAAAATTTGTTTAGGCTTAATTGACTTAAATACTATAGGCCTAATGCACAGTTACCCTGTTACTTATAACATTCACTTATAACATTCCTATCCTATCCAGAACAATATGATAATTAGTCTAGATATTGAAATAAGCGTAAATTCTAAACTTACAATGCACGGCAACTCGGAGTCCATCATGCAACTATACACTGTTTGTGACTAAATGCGCGCAGCAACATCACTGAATCGCAAACGCTGTTGAAGCGAATATAAACAATAGGCTTGCTTTGATTACATACTACGGTACTTTATTACAGAGTGCATCGTGCGGAAACACAGCAACGCGAATCATTTTATTAAAGTGTTCCTGTTTCTCATTTTTTCCCGGAACAAGGGTGTAGACAAGAACCTCCCAAATGATTATACGGAAATTTGATGTATTTGGGGTAGTGGTTTGGAAAATTCAATATTATTATTGATGGAAAAAGTGTCTCGATTTTACTCTCATTGTGAGCACGGTAAAGAGACTTACAGAAACACACGACACTCGAGAAAATAATTTACATCCAAATGATTATATGCAAGGTTGAGATAGTTGAATTTCTGTTGCTGAATTTTCAAATTCAACCCCTAATTTATTGGTGCAGTTTGTTTCCGTTAAACCCTTGCGAATCTAAGTATTTTGTTCGTTTGTTACTAATATGTAAATTCTATTTTAATTTGTGTAGACGGCAAAATGAGACCCCCCAATATAAATCTGCGATAAATGAACGACGGTTGTTGTTATAATCCATTGCAATACAGAAAATGCCCAGTGGAATTGTTTGTGTATTTCTTTTTGCTATTTCTGATAGATTAATTGGCGAAGACGTGCTTAGTGATAACATTTTAAAGGTTTTTCTTAAAGTTTACTGTTTTTAGGTGATGTATTTTGTCAGCAAGATCAAAGTTTGGCATACATATACCATATCAATCATGGTAAATTTAGTTCAATGGTCTAAGTTAAAGATTTTTGCGAGCCTTGTAAATAATTTACTTCAAAGATTTGATCGAAACTGTATTCCTCCTTTATTTTACAAACACCGTCATATACAACAAAGTGAGTTTTTTTTTGTTATTTTTTATTATTAATGGAAATAAATAATTTAAAATCATTCGCTTCCGATCTTTGAATGGTTATTATTGACTCCGCCACCACTAGTCAACGTGTTCTCGACTCGCGTCTGCCATCTGCCGTAGTAGTAATGATCAGTCGCCAGCTGTTTTGGACTTCGCATTCACGTATTTCTCGCCTGTGTTGCATGATCTTGAATCCTTTTTGTTTCGAAGAACTTGTTTCTCCATTATTCAAGGCTGATAACCTGACTACATAAATTTGGTAGTTCATAAAAAAAGGTACCGTAATTCTTTTGCTATTTTTCCTGATTCTGTAAACAGTTTTATTCAGTCTACTTCTCATTTTTTTTATCGTATTTTATGCTGATAATCAGATAATGTAATAATGTAATGGAGCCAAAATAAAAACATATACAAATTATTGACATAGTCTGACGGTAGATATGAAGAAAGCTGGGACTGTGGGAGGAGGCATTTATTTTTTAAGTTTACACAGTTCTGCAGTTGTTTTATAATTTCTGAATCTAGGAAGATCAGGCGCAGCGGTGTGGCTCAACGGGCTAAACGAATACGCACGCCATCGCACCTCTAGTTACTCTGCGTGGGTTCGCAGGTTCGAATCCCATGCAGGGATGGTTATGTGCGAGAGGATTGCTGGACTCCTCGCCGTCGTTGGGTGGTTCACGTAACCGCTGGTCGGTTACGGCTTCCTCCACCACCAAGTCCAGAAGTCCATGCTTCCGAAAACAAACAATATAACTAATCCCTTACCCGACTTGGAATGGTAACCGGACGAGAGGCCCTGGTTCGCCATATGGATAAGCCGTCTTATCGGCTTTCCTCTCCCCCGGGATAAATATGTAAATCCTATCCTATCAAGTGGGTCTCATGTAGTTTCGTACCTAACATACGGTACTTCTAGTGTGGGTAGCATGACAATTTTCATGTATCAATCCTAACCCTCATCTGACTACACCATCCAAAAATTACGTCATTACGACGTCACAGTGACGTAATAGAGCCCTTCAAACTGTACGAACTGCCATCCAAGACGCGCAAACGAGCGTCCGAAATTGAACAGTTTTTTCTCTCGTTTTCTCGTCGCAACGATTCCAATAGGAGGGAGTTCAATAACGTCAGTCAGTTCTTTATCGTCGGAGCCAATGCCATTTCGGTCAATTGTGCGTATATTTGGCAAGCTCTATGGCGTGATTGTGATGTCGTATTGATTTAATTTTCGGATGTCGTAGTCAGATGAGGGTTAGGATCGACATATCAAAAAATTATTATGCTACTCCCACTAGAATTACTTACGTTGGGTACGAAACTACACGAGACCCGATCAAGTGGCATAAAATAATTATATGGGCTTAATTAATTTAAGCTAATTAGAATATTACAATTAATTTTGAACTTGCCATAGTGCAAAAAATGTAGAACGGAAACTTAGAAAAGCGGCCACTGAAAACTTCAAATGATTGAATGAGGTAAAAATCCCCCAGACCTAAAGTACTGCATTACAGAATTACGTTGTTACAGTTTTTAAATATTATGGGCTTGGTTTACTTAAGTATAATCAATTGCCGAACTTTGTCACTTGTCATAATCTTAGCGATATGGCTGGATCTTGTGAAATTTCGAATTCGGTATCTATAAGTTGACCATGATGAATAGCGAACTATTATTTTGTTCAAAAATGTATCAATACTTGTCATATGCTCATCTTTCTATTTCTTTTATTTTCAGATCCAAAACACACAAGCTTGCAATATGTGGAAAGCAGTAATTTTGATTGGTGGGCCGGACAAAGGAACTCGTTTTCGACCTTTATCTCTCAACCAACCAAAACCTTTGTTTCCAGTCGCTGGCGTTCCGATGATTCAACACCACATTGAGGCCTGTGTCGCAGTTCCAAATCTACAGGAAATTATTTTGATTGGATTTTTTCCAGAAGATGAAAATCTAAAGAACTTCATAAATCATTGTCGTAAAGAGTTCAATATCAGTATACGTTATCTGAGAGAATTTTCACAAATGGGAACTGGGGGTGGATTGTATCATTTTAGAGATCAAATTATGGCGGGAAATCCATCAGGCATTTTTGTCATGAATTCGGACGTTTGTTGTAATTTTCCGTTATCAGAAATGCTCAAATTTCATTTGAAATATGCGTCACCGTCGAACAGCTCAACGATTTTAGCAACTAACGTCCCTTCAAAGGAATCAATGTTTTATGGATGCTTGGTTGAAAATGAGGAAACGAAAGAAGTTACACATTATGTTGAAAAACCAGAATCATTTGTGAGTCCTTTAATAAACTGTGGAGTGTATCTCTTTTCAACAAAAATATTCGGGATGCTTGCTGAAGCCGTTTTACGAAATCAAGAAGAAATGTACGCTCAAGGAGTATTTTCAGACTCCCTCTCACTAAGTCTTGAACAAGACATCATCATGCCGTTGACTGACTTGGGGTCACTTTATGCATACCAAACAACTTCAATGTGGAGCCAAATAAAGTCCGCCGCATCCGCAGTGTATGCCAACAAGCTGTATCTGTCGTTATATCATAAAACCCATCCTCATCGGCTCGCAAAAAGTGAGGAAGGAGGCCCGATGATTATCGGGGATGTTTTCATTCACCCTTCGGCTAAAATTGATCCCACTGCACTTCTGGGCCCCAATGTCACAATCTGTGCTGATGTGCGCATCAGTGCTGGGGTCAGAGTTCGAAATTCTATCATTCTTAATGAAGTCAATTTGTCAAATCATAGCTGTGTTCTTAACAGCATCATTGGTTGGAAATCTACAATAGGGGAATGGACCAGAGTTGAAGGCACAGCACAACAACCAGACCCGAATGCTCCTTTTGCAAAAATAGTCAGTGGTAGTCTCTTTGACCATGAAGGAAAACTAAGCCCTTCCATAACTGTCCTGGGTGGTAACGTGAATGTTGAATCAGAAATTGTAGTTTTAAATGCAATTGTACTTCCAGGAAAGGATTTGAAATCATGCACAAAGAATCAAATTATCTTATAAGACATTCATAGATTATCTATGAGAACTCGGAATGATTTATTGTTCTTGAAGCCAAGTTTATTTTCTGTGCACATTTCACATAGTTTTATTACCTATCTGTATATGTAGTTATATATTCTTTAGCAATTGTAAAAAAAAATAATGAAATATTTTTGCTTAGAATTCACCCCAATCATACAGAACTATGTATTTATAGTAAAATTTAGAATTGTATTATTTTTTTCAAGCCCATATTTTGATACTGAAGAACTTATTATTTCTTATTTACAAACCCTTCATAAAATCTCTAACAGTCCCTTGTGCAAGTCTTTAGACCAGGGGTGAGCAAGGTTTTGTACCAGGGGCCAAAGATTTTGCCCACTTAGACTGACGGGCCATGTAAGCGTGACATGAAATTTTACATTTTATAAACAATATTCGTAGTGTTACAAAAGCAAAAGTCTTAAACAATGAGCCTCGTGCCCAAACTAAATTATATTGCAATCTTATCAAATTCCTTGAGCTATCTTTTAGCTATAACATTAAAATTTAGTTTTAGTTATGGCAGCATCAGACGAGCAAGATTGAATTACGTAACGGGCCAGATATGCCCTACAGGCCGTTGGTTGCTTTTGTCAGCTCCAGACTGATACTAAATATTATATATGCTCTCTCATTGCAATGTGTGTTCCTGAGTATTGTGGTCAAATATTATTGGTTCGGTTGGCATATCGTTTGTCGTCATATCATATGTTTTGTGTTCACCGTATGACTTCAATTTCGTATTGCTTACGTCAAATTATTATTTTAGCCATATTTTATTTTTGTGACCTTGCTCGCTTTGCACCTTATGACTTCAGTTTTATAACATTTAGTTCACTGTTGATCATTTCCAAATTATATCTTCAGAACTTTCGTGTAGCCCTTAGCAGGTTGTAATTTTATTACATAGACACTTTCGTGTAAGTTAGTTTGCCTGGACCATATTTATATGAAGCTGCTGCCAGAGGGTTGGCAAACTTTAATTGTATTGGTGAATTGAATCTTCAAAGTATATCAATTTAGTGATGGATCAGTAATCAGAAGCACAGGAAGTAGCTGGGGCTGTATTTGTAGTGGTTAAATTGAATATGCTGACTAGTAATCCTTTTCCGAAGAGCTGCTTGCTTCTCTATATTCATTCAAACTGTTTGCGTAATTCGTATGCAGCTCATTTGTTGCACCCTGAATAGGAAAATTGTGACTAAATTTTTTACTTTCTAGTTGCGACTTGGTATAAACTTTTCCATTTAAACAATGATAAAGTCCATGTGATAAAAACACTGTAATTAAAGGTGATCTGAAACTTCAACACTTTTAACAAACTGTACGTGAAAATACCACACTATCTATATTCTTCATTTCTTTTTTATCCGTCATTTTTATTTTATATGTATTGTAGAAATAGTGCAGTTACTTTAGCTGGATATATAGGACCATAATAAATTTTTTCTTCAAAGAAGTGATAGTGTGAATCCATATGAAGGTAGGGCCGCTTGGAAGTGTGTTTACCAATGTGTAGGTAACTAATTTTGTTCGCCTAGTTTACATCAAGTTGTGTAAAGGGACTGAAACCTATGGGCAGGGGGTATATTCACTTGGCTAACACAAACAGTCCCTGAACTCGTAATAGAACTAAAATAGGGAAAATTAGAATAACATTGTGGCCTAACCCTAACCTGGTACAAACACTTCGAGAGTACCAAAGGAAGAACAATATTAGACTGTATGCTGTTTTGATTTCTTAATTGCATAGAAGGCCTCGGCCAAACTATCCTTAATTGCATAGAAGGCCTCGGCCAAACTATCATGCATGATTAAAATCGATGAGTAATGAAAGTTCACTCACTCCATTCAGAAATGGCTTGAACTGTATTTTTCCCAGCTTGCCATTTTGACTAAGACAATAGTTTTCATGTGACATTCTGCATTACAAAATAATACACAGCACTTTTCAATAAACAGTATTTTAATAAAATTTAAACATAAGCAAGATGTGGATATTCAGCCAAACTAAGTTGATCTTTCTTTACTGTAAACATTTACAAATTGGTTACATTAGCCATAAATGATCTATTTCATTGATATCGATACCATCTTTACAATTTTTATGTAAAAAACACCGAATATTATGGAGTTCCGAACATAACGATACTGAACTTGGTGGAAATTTATGTCAACATAAAACATACCAGTCAAGTGGTAACACTTGCTTAGTTTGAATAGACTTGAAATTTGATTATTAATTAAACATCGTATTTGTATTTTTTTCCAGGGTTTTTATCCCATATTCTGCCCCTCACAACTCAGTGGAGATACATAAAACATACCAGTCAGGTGGTAACACTATTACTTCGTTTGAATATCAACTATTTAATTATAATTATTAAACATTGTCTATTTTCTTCTGGGTTGTCTCATATTCTGCCCATCACATACACAGGATCAACAAGGCGCCTCCGAGAATGGTTTGGGTTTTCAACTGCACGAGAGGCGTCTTGGGCAGCTTGCCGTTTTAGTTTCTCAGCCTCTGGACTACCATCGGGATAAACCATTTCTTTTGGCATAAACCTTGCAAGCCATTGAAGTGTTTTTCCATCGGGTCTATTTGTAAGAGCACTAAGTCGCTCCCTTTCGCTGAGTTTTTCGTATTCATATACTGGTTCTTTCATTTTTAACACATGATGAAAAGTGTTCTTTACAGTAAAATCCCATTTGCATTGAAAAAATCGTAAAGATACTGGAGTTATTTGAGCACTGTGTTTATTATAAAACTCAAAAGTTGAAAAATCACGTTCTCGTAGTAAAGTACATGGCGCTTCTCTTTGTTCTGAAATAAAATCAATTTTGTCAGACTGTTCGAACAGTACGAAAATCATGCGTTGATAACCCGTGCCGCGAGCTGGAATGGGTTGTAAATAATCGACTATAGTATTCCCTTTCAACACATCACCTCCTGGAATATTCCCAACAAGCCAGTGGACATATTCTTTATCATTGTCCTCTAAATGCTCATCTGGGTTAGTCAGGAGCAATGTGTACAATTTATCAGCTTTTGGTTGAAATGTAATCGTAGGAGCTGACGCGACTTCACTTGGCAGCAACTCGTTACCGTAAAACACAGGATTTGAAAGTTCATTTTCACATTCGTAATCCACATCCATATGTAAAACAGGATGAAAATCACAATCCTTGAAAAGATCTTTATAAATATTATAGTAATGTGCAATTTCTTTAATATGACGAATCCCGATATTACTTTTCTCCCATTCACAAAGAATTTCATCACAATCTAGTATTAGAGTTCTTTCTCTCGCTGCCTTTTCCAACTCAGGGTCGATTTTATTTTTACTCCTGATTTTATAACCCCCTTTTTCTTTCAGCAGTTCATGTCCAATATCATTCAGTTTATCATTCATTCCTTCCCGTTCTTTTATCCAGTAATCCAGTGTTTTCCACCACACTCCCTCATCTCTTTGTTTTCTCCGTTCACGCTCCGCAGTTTCCAAATATCGTTTAATGCTTCTGTAAGTCGGATGATCAGGCCTGTTCCTGTATTGTGCATTGGGGTCTAGTCCTTCAGCCTGTTTGAACAACCTCATGTAAGTAATCTTGTTAAATCCAGAGATCTTTGGTTTTGCTTTTCTAGCAATAGCAAGTTTGATTCGCTGATGTTCCAAGTCTTCTTCTGTAACATTGGATGGATGTTTATCAATTCGAATATTCTCTGGATTATTCTTGTATCCACTGATGAAGCGAAATGAATTTTGAAAATACACGTACGATTGAATGTGACGGCTATTTTGTAACAACATGTTGTTGTTTTATTTTCGTAAAATTCATAGAATCTAAATATAGAAATGAGGGTTGAAACAGTAAATATATTTATATATGAATATAAAAGCTCTGAAAAAAAGAGAGAAATGAGGCATATCCAGTCTCAGAAGTGCAGAAATCGCATCAGAGTGTATTTTAGTCATAGTGGTAAAAATATTATGCAGTACTCTTCAAATTTAATATGATTGATTGTTTTCTTAACTTGGGAAATCGAAGTAAATTAATGTCAGTTATATCTTCAATGTGTACCTTTGCCATGAAATGAAACATTTCTGCTAAGTAATCACATATATCGGTATAAATTATTTGAATTCGTTCAGTGTAATTAATTAAATTTTGGGGTCTAGTATAGTTTAGTACCACAAGTACTTGTGGTAGGCGTAGCATAACAAATTTTGTATGTGTTATTCCTGACTATGTCATCCAAAATAACGTCACAATCACGTTGCAGAGCTTGGCAGGTATAGCTATCATCGTCCGAGATGGCATCTGCGCCGACGATACCGTTCTCATTAACGCCAGCAGTCTCTCATACCATCGGTACACTTTGGAGGTATTCTTTACGCTATTGTGGCGTCGTAATGAAGTAATTTTTTGGTGACATAGTCATGTGAGGGTTAGGATTAACACATATGCGACACATATTAGGAATAACACATATGCGAACGAAAGACTAATACAGAGGTAATCGGTAGTTTATTTTAGCACCATATTAGAAATACACACTGTGCATACAGAACCAGGTAAGAGAAAAAATGGCAGCAGTGACTCATATGAAAAGTCTAACATTGAGGTCATACAAGAGTAAAAAGACAAAGTGAAAAATCTAATTAAAGTGAAGAGACGAACGCTAAAATATTAACATTGTTTCTGGCATAAGTATGTTTAAGGGTAACAGTAATGTAACTGGGGCCGGATAACGCAAGCTGAGTTGCAAAGCTTGAGGGATGCATGGTTCTGTGGTTTCTGAAAGCTGGTGACGAATTGGTACATGAAGAAAATAGGAATAAAATGTATCTATATTAAAAGGCCACTAAACCAGGTAATTACAGTAAGTTACAAATACTCAATTCTTGCAGAACATACAGTAATAAAAGTCACTAATTTACAGAAATTTGAGGCCACAACGGTTCTGTATTGCAATCAGGCAATTCATGCAGAATATAGAAGTCACAACTGTTCAATAAGGAAGTTCACACAGAATTTGAAAGTCACTAAATTATGTAGTCACACAATACTAAAATAAGGTAATTCGTGCAGAATATAGAAGTCACTCAATTATAGAGTTTTAAGTCACCTTGGTACAAAACTACAATGAGGCAATTTATGCGGAAAATATAAAATAAAGCATATTACAAACATTTAAATAAAATGAACTAATAATATGAAACGAGTCAGTATGACACAATACTGTTATGGTGAAATAACAAGGGTATAAAAACAACAGTTGCAATAGCTGATTAACAATATCCCTTACTTACAACATAAGATTATGCTATCAAAACTACTAGAACTAGGATTTTGGCATATGCTGCCTCAGATTTTGTAACATTTGGTTTGTAGCATAACTGTACCTCCACAGTCCACAGTTATGTTATGAGTTAGTCGGTATAGTAGCTATATACATCAACAAATAAAAGTATTTCAAGAAGTTGTTGAAAAAATCGCCAAATTTACATTGATAATTCCATTTAATAAAAATTCATAAAATATTCATTCGACATGATTTTGACCCAAGGGCTGTGGATCAAGTTGAGTAAACTCATTGTAAGAACAAGGAAATGCTAAAGAAGTCACTTTGCAAATTCAACTACACTGGTAGGCGGAAATCAGGAGTTTTTTATATTTTACTTTGAATGTGGCATAAACGCACAAAACATACGTGCAGGCATACTGCGCGTTGCCGCCATTTATATATTGAAGATGAGTGAAACGCTCTCTCTCAACCAGAAGCTTACGTTACAACCCTAGCTTCAGGATCATACACTTCAAATATTACATGATTTTTATAAATTCATATATATAGAGTCCATCCCAATAAATATTTGAAAAGCCAAAATATATGGTGTGTTTTGGTTGCAAATTGATTTAATGGTGACTGAAATTGTTGGAGTTAAAATTGAAGATTGCGAAGATTAAAAAAATATTATCATTTTGATAATTCAATGTTTAGTTATTTTAGTAGTAATATAAATTTGTATGTAGGTCTAGTTGCAAGGGATTTTCTCCGAGAGCAGGAGGTGCACAAAGTGCTTTGGTGCTTCGTGCCATAATTAGCCAATCCTTATTCTGAGTGATGATTTTATACAGATCACCCTCAAAATGTATCCAACTCTAAACTGGAAGTGAATGTACCGACAGAGGAAAAGTTGCAATTGGCCAGATGAAACAACCAAGACGGATATACATTCACTTCTTCGTAAGATAGTAATATAGTTCTTTCGCTATGGGTGTAGGTACGCCACGGAGGTATCTCTCTCTGTCTACGTCAAGTAGAGGTTTTATATTGAATATATCCCCAAACGCAACAGTGACCATTTTAGGTGAATTTGGATACGTTGGCGGTTTTGGATCCATATATCCATTGAAATCAAACGCACATAACAGATAGCTGACGTCACTTGTCGTCGTTTTGTTCATGACATCAGCATACTTTTTTCTCTCCTCTGGTTTTATTGCGATTACGCTCCCGTAGTCAAATACTGCGTCGCATTTCTCGAATGCTGAATTTGGTAGATTGAAAATGTCCCCAGCGTACAATGTGATATTACAGCCCTCAGTTGTAGACTGCAGCACCTAAAATAGAGTCATAAAATGATTGTCAAGAAGTGTAGCTATTTGGCTCACTTCTTACGCATAACTTGTCAAATCTCGTTCCTACGTTGGTCATGAAACTCATTTCATTCCCAGCAATGAATTTTGAAATATAGGTGTGACGATATCGGATCGATACTGGTATATCTTAAAGCATGTTATCACCATTCATATTTTTTATAAATTGTAATTTGCAATACTTCATTTTAATCAGGTATAGTTCACTTATACGCCAATTTTCACGACCTTGGGACAAGTAGGACACTGTCAGCTCGATGACAACCGAAACTATAAAACAAATAAACGAAACACCTTTTTAAATTTAAAATAATGTCATCGTATAGTGACTAAACTTGTTATTTTTTTAAATTGTATTTTTATTTATCAGGTTTGCTATACTTACGCAAAGCTTACCTTGTATAATAATACTCAAGGGGCAATGCTAAAATATAAGACATAAAATAAAAAAGCAACTTTATGGGGTCTCAATCGACTCAGAGTCAGTTTGAACGAAATAAAAGTAATATTCTCTAATGGCTTCATCTATCTTTGTATTTTTCACAACAACATTGTAGCAAAACAATCCATATGTAGGACACTTTGTGTACAGACTTCACAACCCCAACAGCAACTTACCTGGCAACTACTTTCTTGCTTCTCGACATATGTTATGCCATGTTCATTGAAGAAATCTTCCAACGGTTTCGCGGAGCAATCCACGCCAATGACGGCATGCCCTTTGTCAGCTACCCATTTCATATCATATGACTTTCCACATAGTGGAAAAAGCACCCGGTATTTCTTATTTGGTATGGGAAAAAGCATTTTTTCGAGCTTTAACAATTCTGGGTTAAAATCATTGATCTGAAACGGAATATCCGCTGCAGAATTCCAAAATTTATCCCAGTCTTCCATAGTCCAAACTTGGTCTAACACAACGATGCCTTGCTTATCTAACGGTCCTGCCATGGTAACTAGGGTCAAGGCATTAAAAAATCTGTGAAGGTCAAAAGAAATTTTTAATCTTGGAAGCAAATAAAACGAGAGCCATGGTTGAACCCCAATGGATATTTCTACGAGTTTACACTACGGTATATTTTTATTTCTGTAATGATGACCACACAACCATAAGTTAACAATAGTGATTTCTAATTCAAATGTTGTGCAGCCGCTCGGACACTCTTTTATACAGATAGGGTTGAAAACAATAGCTCGTTTTCGTTTCGAAGGATCGCCCACTCCTCAACAGCCAAGCTTCGCAGACGAAAATAGGTGCAATGAGTCGGAATCCGAGAATATCTGCTATATTGATAGTTGATTCAAAATCGTTTAGAGTGGAGCACGATAGTTTATTTATTGCCTTCAATCTACGTTTGCTATTTTTGGACACGTAGTGGACATAACGATCGTTTCAATATTATGTTGTTGTTGTTGTTGTTGTTCTTTGACACGTTTTTAAAAAGTTGCTTTTCTCTCCGAATACTGGACCAATTGCTTTGAAATTTTCAGTGGTTAAAGATAAAAATTTCCTCCAGAAGGCTATGGACCTTTCCCCGAGCATCGACTTCCTTGTTTACCTCGTGACATTGGCCAATCAGCAAGATGTAAAAAGTGACGTAACAATGCCCCCTTTTCGCATCCGCTCAGACACTTTTCTCACTCAGACAGATTTTCAAGCGTGGTTGTAAACATTACCTCGTTTTCGCGTTTTTGAACTCTATTCGTTAGTTTTCAGTTGTGTTTCGGAAACTTAAACAAAAATCAGATAATTCAATGATTACTCTGTCTTCCTAGGAGTTTTAATTTAATTGCAGTAATGAAAAATAGTGTAGAAATAGCTGTGATAGACTATCCTGGAATTCTTTACCGGTACTTTTAAAAAAACAGATTGTTGTATGCGATGAATCATAATGATGGTTTGAAACACATACCCATTTTACAGGCGCTAACTCGCAAAAGCACTCCTAAAATAGCCCCAAAAATTTTGCAATGGTAAAGTATAGGAAGAATTTTCCGGGGTTCAAAGGTCGGGGAAAGGTCCATTACTTTTTTTTTTCGCTATGACGTCATCAAAATTATGTGACTCTACGTGTCCGTATATTTGAGCATAGCTCTCTTGTTTTTTTTAAATGATTTGACCGTTTTATCTCTTTATTGCCAAAATTATCTAGATATAATAGTTTGTTTGTAACTTTCATTAGACTCTATCAATTTTTGTATTGATTGTATGAGCCTCCAAATTGCATCTGCAGTAAATATTTTTGCGTTAGTGTTTGCCTTGCCTGGTTTTTAGTTGTATATTTCGCCAAATTTGCCTTTTCTATGATTTTTATTCGCATTCTTGTTAGTATTTATTCCAATAAATATAATTCCTAGTTTAAGCATAAATGTGTTTAACCCTGTATCATAATTTCAAATATTTCTAATGTCGCAACTGTATTTGCATCATTCGTTGACTCATTCTTAGGATTTATATATTTTATCCCTCATTCATGTTACTTTTTATTCTAACCTGTAACAGCGCTGTAGGTGTCGCTGCTTGAGGATCTTCTCAGGTCGCGACTCCGGTCACACAAATAACATAATTAGTACTGTATAGTTATTCATTGCATCAGTTTTATTCTATTTATTTACGGTTTTATTTGAACTTGTTTTTGTGATGACAAATAAACGATTGATTGATTGTTATTTATCAGTTTCATGTTTCCTATATTTGTGTATGAATGCAAAATAATACTCGATTATCAGCAGCACAAAATTTGTTCGTCTCTTTGCCTTACAAAACGTTTTGTGGTAACACCAGAGCCGTTATAAAACGGCTTTGGTAACACTATGGAAGGAAAAGAATCACAGATAAAAAAAAATTTGGGATTTTCCGAAGTTACAAAACGTTTTAAAAAAAAGATAATAAATAAACACATAAATAATAGAACGACCAATGTGGCAGTCCCTCTATATGCCAGTAGTTGCCAAACTTTTTTTTCGCGACCCCCATTTTCGTAAAATCAACATTTACAAATATTTGCGACCCCTCAACAAGAAAACTACGGCGCTCCCGAAGTATTTGCACCAAGATGGCGCACAACCTGAACCCTAACCTGGTACACATACCATGTTCAGGTTGTGCGCCATCTTGGTGCACATACTTCTAGAGCTTCAAAAGTACAGTAGAGACTCTACCTGCAAAAAGTAATTCGTTCCTGAAGCCCCTTCGTAAAAAAATTTCGTAAGTAGAAACATTTTAACTGTAAATGCCCCTAATCTGTTCTAAGCCCACACAAAATTCGGAGTACTAATTATATCACTCTCAAAATAAGTGTTAAGAATTTTTCAATGGTAAAGTATAGAGAACATTTTTCTTGTGTGAAGGGTAGGGGAAACATTTGTATCAAGTTATGTAAAATGTAACAAATTCAATAGCACATATTATTTGTGACAATTTACCTTTAGTCCTGGGTCGCGCTTCTGGCGTAAAAAAAATTGTTCGTTGTCATTTCAGTACCTAATCTGCAATTTTAAGGAAGTTAGAATCTTTGGCTCGGTTGCCAATCATCTGTATTAAATGACTCGGACTCGCATACTCAACTATCCGCCAGAGAAACTTGACTCGAGACTCACGGTTCACGATCTTTAACACAACACGGCTAATTGCATCCTTCAAATGTTATTTTTAATAGCCCAAAAACCAATGCGATTTAGCTGCTAACGTTTTTAAATGAAGACCGCAAATGTACCTTATGATATCATAAAACCACAGTCAGTCTTGTAACAAAATCATTTATGTTTCATAATTAACATCTAACCTATCCTTTATGAAATTGTCCGAAAGTCAATTTATTGGCAGAGTTCCCGAGAATTAAAAAAATGTATGTTGCGTGCAAAATTATCAGAAATGCTGAATATTACGCCGAAGTCAGAGTGTTTGATTTTTTTCAATTACCAAAAAAAACTAGAAACAAATGTTACATTAAATATGATACTGGCATGACTGATTCGCATACGACTGCTCAATTATCGTATATATATATAGGTTGGTCGTTAGAAAAACAAAAATATTTGTCATACAGCTATTTATTTTCACAACGAATAACTCTTTTAAAGGTATGTGTTATATTCGACAGAATAGCAAGCACGCATTTTATTCATGATTTCGTCTGACATTCAAATTTCCACTTTTAAGCGACCCTATTGACGTATATAATTACAAAACCAAATAAAATAAAAGACTAGGTCTCATGTTCTACTTTTTACGTTTAGTCTAGTATTAATTGCATTAATTTGTTTTCTGGAAAATCAATCTCACAAAAAACAATTATGTAAATAATAGCGAAGACTCCATTGTCAACAAATACGCAGAAAATTTAGTCCGACAGAATAATAAAAAATACATTTTGCGACAGCATGGTTGTAATGAGCCACTGAAATCCTTGGGCATTTCTGCCTGGTTTTAAATATTGTTGTGCGTTTATTGTGTTGCGGAAATTTGTTATTTATCAAACTCAATTTCATTATTTATTATCCGGAAAGGCACGCATCAACAATTCAGGGCTAATTTACCTTCTATGATATGGAACAGAATATTCGTTACAGATTTACACAACAATTATTTAAATTTTAAATTATTATTTAAAACCAGGCAAAACGGATTTTAGTGACTCATTACAGACATGCTGTCGCATAATGATTTTTTCAATATTCTGTCTGACTAAATTTTCTTCGTATTTATTGACAAAAGAGTTTTCGCCAAGGTTCCCTCTGAGGTGCGTAGTGCAACCAGACCATTTGCGCAGTAGAATCTCATTTTCGCGCACTTGTACCATTACGTTTCCAAAGCGTGGCTCGTCATATTTTCTAACGCCTAACTGGAATACTCATTCCATGTTTTCGAGTTGAATGTGTATCTCGTTAGCATTCTTATAGAATATTATACTGATGTAATATTTCACATAGTTTGTAAATCATTTAAGACTCTGCCTTAAAATATTCATGCTCAGTAAAATAAACATTTGCTCAGTGTAACATTTTCTTAGAAGGAAACTGCATCTTCGCTATTATTAACATAACTGTTTTTGTGCGATTGATTTTCCAGACAACAAATTATTGTAATTAATACCAGACTAAACGTAAAGAGTAAAATATGAAACCAAAGGTCATTTGATTCATTGTATTTCTTGTCTTTATTTGGTTTTGTTATTATATACAATGATTAATATGGTCGTTAAAAAGCAGACAATTTGAAGGTCAGATTGGATCACGAATAAAATGAGAGCTTACTTTTCAATTTTTCGATACCTTTTTCATCTTTTAGGTTCTATTTGATTTAAGTAATATTCTGTGTAATACAACATATGCCTCTAAAAAAGTTCTTCATTGTAAAAATGAATAGCTGCTTAAACAATTTTTTTGTTTTTCTATATACTATGATTGAGCAGTCCTATGCAAATCCGTCATGCCAGTATCATACTTATCGTAAAATTTATTTCTAGTTTTATTGTTAATTAACCAAATCAATCAGCCTGACTTCGGCGTAATAATAAGCATTTCGGTTATTTTTGCACGCAACATACATTTTTCAATTCTCGGGAACTTTGCCAATATACGACTTCCGGACAATTATAAAGGACTGGTAAGAAGTTAATTATGAATTATAAATGATATCATTACAAGACTGAGGTTTTATGACACCATAGGGCACAGATACGGTCCTCATCGGCATTTAAAATCGTTAGCAGCTAAATCGCATTGGTTTTTGGGCTATTAAAGATAACATTTGATAGATTCGATTAGCTGTGTTGTGTGTAAAAGGCCTTAAACCTTGAGCAACTGGCGACTCGATTATTGAGTCCAGTTTCTCTGGCAGATAGTTGAGTACGCCAGTTCGAGTCATTTAATATAAATGAGTGAAAACTCAAGCACAGTCAAAGATTCCAACCTCCTTAAAATTGCAGATAGGGTACTGAAATGACGACGGAAAATTTTAAAACGCCAGCAGCGAAACCCATGAGTGAAGGTAAATTGTCCCAAATAAAATCTGCTATTCAGTTTGTGACATTTTACACAACCTGATACGGAATAAATAGGCTTTGGAAACGCAGACGAAAAACTGTAGAAACGATGCCATCATTTCAAAAGTGTGAAGGCCGATAGAGCCTTATCATTATTGTGAAGAACGATTATTTGTGACTAGGGCTGGGCGTTTCGGAACACAGATAGGTCGCAACGGCACTGTTTCGACCTACGACCTACGGGCATTATAGCGTCATAGAAGATGCTAACTGAAATCGTCGAAGTTCGAAGTTGCTCAGCACTAATTGAAACACAAACGCCGACGATGCAAATCCCTGTTCACATCCTGTAAGTTTAGGGCAGCACTGCAAGTTTAGTGATTTTCTGAGAAACAGTTTGGGAAACAGATTTTTTGAGGTACATATATGTCGATTATGAAATATAAAATAAATTCGTCTTTACACTTACAATTTTTTTTTAAATGGTAAAAAGTGATGATTGGACACAGTAATGAGTAAAGACTTACAAGCCTCGCATTATCACGGGTACGCATAGGTTGCAGTGACGTACTATGATTAACTTGATACGTAGGCTAAGTTTACCGGCATATGGGTTTGAAGATTTGTTTTGACGTTCAGTGTAGTGCGACGAAACTTCTCGCAAATCCCATTTGAAATGTTGGTGTTTATTTTTAGCCTTTATTGCAGTGTTTAAATAATCGTAAATTATTCACTTTAGTACCATGTCAGTATCCTCAAATAAGCCTGACCTTCCAATGATCACGGACCACGATTGGACAACAGATCATTGGAATAAATTTTGGAATTCTGCCCCGGTTATTCCGTTCCAGCTCAATGAATTTAACCCCGAATTATTGAAGCGTGAAAAAATGCTGTTTCCGATACCGGATAAAAAATACCGAGTGCTTTTTCCGTTATGTGGGAAATCATACGATATGAAATGGGTAGCTGATAAAGGCCATACCGTCATTGGCGTGGATTGCTCCGAGAAAGCATTGACTGATTTTTTTAATGAGCATGGCATGACTTTCGTCGTTAAAAACGACGGCAGTTTCAAGGTGAGTTTATGTCGGGGGCCCAGTGACTTCCCGTCTAAAATTTCAAACACCATCCCCCTCTTAATATTCATGTGTGACACCTTGCTTCAATACTTAACGTAAGTAAAATGTATATTTTTAAACTGATTCATAGACTTGAACCCCCTCCCTCGTAAAATAGAAAGCTGGGGAATACTGGTCGGGGCTATGGAGTCCGAATTTCAGACGTCGGAGTCAACAAATTATTTTTAACCCGGATTTAGTTGCAAACTTTCTCCGACTTTATAGCCCTTATTTGTGGCGATTGTTTCAAGAACAAAGTTAGCGTTATTTGTGATGATTTCATGCAGGCTTGAAGTGGCGATGTTTTAGTCACGATCCTGAGATAATTATTGCTAAGTATGTGGTATAACTATGTGGTATAAAATGGCAGAAAATATTCACCAACATCCCCGTACTAGCGGTTCGAATTCCTGACGGGGATAGTTATGTGCGAGAGAATTGCTAGACCCCTCGCCGCCGTGGGGTGGTTAACGTAAACGCTGGTGGGTTACGGGCTTACGGCTTCCTCCGCCATCAAGTCCATGCTTCCAAAACAAATACCTGGCTACCTAATCCCATACCCAATATGGACTGGTAACCGAACGAGAGGCCGTTGTTCACCATATGAATAAGCCGTCTTATCGACTTTCCTCTCCCAGGATAAATATGTAAAATTCTATCCTAACATTACTTACGTAACATTTTAGAACGACATTTTTCTCTTGAAATTGGTAGGGAAATATCCAAAATCAGACTTACGCAAAAATATTTAGCCCTTATTAGTTTATGGAGTGCACGTTACAAAATTGAAATGATAGAATTTGACTAACAATATATTCCGTTCCTTTAGATCCTGCAATCGACAACAGCGGGCTGTGATATCATTTTATACGTCGGCGACTTTTTCAATTTACCAAGTGCTTCATTCGAAAAATGCGACGCAGTTTTTGACTACGGGAGCGTAATCGCAATAAAACCCGAAGAGAGAAGAAAGTATTCTGATGTCATCAATAAAAAGACGACAAGGGACGTCAACTATCTGTTATGTGCGTTTGACTTCAATGGATATATGGATCCAAAACCGCCAACGTATGCAAATTCACCTGTAATGGTTGTCGATGCGTTTGGGGATATATTCAATATAAAACCTATACTTGACGTTGACAGAGAGAGATACCTCCGTGGTGTACCGAAACCAGTAGCGAGAGAACATTATTACTATCTTACGAAGAAGTGATCATTTGTTTCATTACTCTTGCAACTTGCTTCTATCGGAAGATTATGTACTTTTGGTTCCATTACATTTGAACCCACGTACATTTGAACCCATGACAATTGCACCTGTATGCTATTGCACCTATGATATTTTTTTTGTTTTTCGGATAGTTGAACCCATACTAACCCTAACCCATGGGTTTTAGCACCCGCATATAGATTAAACCCGTGGATATACACATGGGTTCAAATGTACGTGGGTTAAAATGTACGGTCACCTGTACTTTTAATTCCGATTTGGACTATTTTTGAAGCCAATTTGTATAAAATCATCGACTACTAGAACAAGGATGGACAAACTACGGCCCCCTGCATTTGGATAAAGTGAAATATCTAAACTATGAATTACTAAAATAGTATTAATATTTTTTATCTCCGGTTAATCAATGTCAGCCACCATCAAATCACATCTAAAATGTAACTAATAATGTGGTCTTTTGAAAAAATTAACTACTTTTTTCAAAAAATATTTCCCGTATGTCGAAAAAAACTTCATTCATTTGTCCTTCCGGATTACCAATCCGATCTTCTGATCTAGTAAACTTCTACTTCACTACACTTTGTGTTTTTACTTTTGATGGGTCGGAGTTATTGTTTTTTGTTTTGTTTATTTAAACGTGCGAATTCTGGTTTTGCCAGATGGCTTCGTCGACGTATACTTGCCTTTTCTCATAAAGCAGAGTGAACAAAAAAACATTAATTACTTTACAAAAATGAAGAAAATTCGTTTCACAATTGAACTCTTGTTTGTGTAAAACTGTACCCAAAAGTTTCAGAAATCTTGAACGCTTTTCACAATAGTTATGTTCTCTCTAGATTATGTTCTAAATTGCTGGGTTTCTGTTTTGGGGCTACTCTGTAGTAATCGTTTTTTATTTCATTATTTTCAGTCGACTTTGTCGAGGGTGGCAGCCCTTCACGGGATTTTCGCGTCTTCTTTCATACTGAAATACCAGTGCGTTTTACTCATCTTCGATAATTATATTAAAGTCGGCGGTACGTATTGTCTCTTCGTTCGTTTTGTGCGTCAGTCTTTTGTTCACTCCTCGCATATCCGCTCATAGAAGTAATGTGTTTAGTCGCGCGAGGTAAATAAACATAGGTTTCGTATTGCTGTATGATTAAAATACTAGCGAATCATAAGCGCTTGTAAAGTTGCAGCTATTTAGGTGAGGAGTATACCAAAAAAGTATCTTTGAGGGCAATTCTTCTCGCACGAGTTATTTTGGAGATATACGGTAAAAGCTTCGACCACGAAGAGCGTTAGAAAATATATTTTGTGTCAAAAACGTCCCGGGGTTTGTTTTGGTCTAGAATTGAATTTATGGCACTATCCTGGTATTTTCACGTCACCAATTCTCTACTCTGCTTTCTTTTACTCTGTTTAGATTAGTTTTGGACAAGTTGGGTTAAACAGAAAAGGGTGGGGCAGTAATCTAATTTTACCAAGGTGTCAGGGCAAACAGAATCAGAGATACAAGGACAGTGTCGAAATTTTCATACGTAGCTTGAAGCTTCAGCAATATTGAATAGAACTGTTCAGTTATCATTAACCTCCTGAGTCAGGTCCTGACTATCGCTTAATTAGGCTTAGTCAGTAATAGCAAATCATATTCAACCATCGATATAATCCGGGTTCGGTAATATCAACCATGGTGAACAAGACTTATGTACCTACCCCTCCCGACCCGATGCCACAGTCAGGACTCAACGCACCGCCATCTCGTATTGGTGATTCTTGTGAACAAATTTGATACATGAATATTACAGTGCATTTAGACTTACAGCTCAAACTGGCATGAACGTTCGGATACGTAATTGAGGTGCTGCTAGGATTAAGTCAAACCAAGTCGAAGCTTTTCTCGGTCATATTATTCTGAGTTACTAGTTACTACCCAACTGTAGACATGGCCGATTGCGATCCCAGAGAAGATCCTGACATCGCTGTTGTGATCGACACGGGATCGTGTTTGACGAGGGTTGGGTTCGCTGGTGACGATGCACCAAGAGCTATATTTCCATCAATTGTTGGACGGCCAAAAGTTCAAGTAAGGGCTTTTTTGCATAGTATAGGATAGTGGTTCTCAAACTTTTTGGGCCACGCCCCAGATAGTAGGGCTAAAGTATATTTTATTCAGCAACACGTTGAAAATACTTGGGTGGAACGCAAATATCCAAAATAAAGAAATATAAATATCAAAATTAAGAAGGCAAGATATGCTCAAAATAGCTTCATGTCATCCGTGCCATCTCCTTCAACAACTACACCCAAGACCCAGGTAGGAAAAGCTAAAGGTTGTCGAAGCGAAAGATTATAGTCTTTCCAAAATTGTATCTCATTATGTATCAGTGACAGTTGTTCAAAGCATTGTTCGCAATAAAGACGTGAAAACACAATTCTAAGAGTTTTACAACACGTGATTTTTTATTTTTGTGATTTTTTATTTTACCAGCTATTTTACTGATACATTTTTCACAAATTTTTCTTTATTTTAGCCAGGCATTGTAGGATCTCACCTTTAAGACATCACTTACACTTACAAGATGTGAAAACACAATTCCAAGAGTTTTACAACACTTGATTGATTATTTTTGTGATTTTTTAATTTACCAGCTATTTTACTGATACATTTTTCACAATTTTTTCTTCATTTTAGCCAGGCATTGTAGGATCTCATCTCAAAGACACTTACGTTGGGGACGAAGCAGTAGTCGAAAATAGCATCTTAAAGAAAACAACTCGCCCTGTAGAAGGAGGCATTATAACAAACTGGGATGACATCGAAAAAATATGGTTACACTCTTTCTATAACGAACTAAGAATAGATCCAACGCAACGATCAGTATTTTTGACAGAGGCCGTTACAAACCCAATTGTAAGTTAACTAGTTTAACAATACTGTGAAAACAGTTGAATTTGCATTCATAAATGTAATTGATAACTTACTTCTCCCGGGTCTTTCAGATAGATAAACGTAGGATAGTTTTGAGCAAACTCTTTCGAAAAAATCAACGCAAATCTCATACGTGATATTATAATCTAATATATTCTAGAGTGCGTATTATTTGATTTGTTTTAGCCATTTAACCTATTTTCGGGAGTTTGTAACAGGAGAATTGAAGTTTGTACGTTTCTCAATTTTTCACATACATATAAGGGTGTTAAAAACGTAACGCAAATTTTTCGTCATTGCCACAAATTACATCATAGATAGCGATTCCAATTAAACTTTTAACACGAAAAGCTAATTCATTATATATACTATAACACACACTTATATTACAGACACTGCATACATAGAGTAACGGGGTCTTCATGGTGAAAAATTGCTTTTTTTTCGCATCTACTGTATCAATTGATTTGAATTTGTTATTTTAAATTTCTCTGATGCCTATGGTGCCCGTTATTTTGACTAACAATTTATCACATTTTACACGGCATTCCGTTATGTGTCGCCGATCATTTTAGAAAGTGGCAAGCTAAACCTTTAAGGAATATTCCATAGTTATTGTGGCATCCGTAGTTTATTTCGTATTCTTTTTTATATGATTGTGTCTAATTAAGTGAATGTTTAATATTCAGTTGTTCCGTTGCTATAATTGTATACTGCAACAGGCCGATATCCGTTTTTTGTAATTTGTTACATGTCTTTTATTTATTTCGTATCGTGTATTGAAAATGAATACCTGAATCTATCGGTACCGACGCGCAACTTTCGTGTTCATATATTTCTTGTTTTCCACGCTACACTGACTATCATTTATTACCAGGTTTCCCGAGAGAAAACGACGCAAACCATCTTTGAGAAAATCAAAGTTCCTCGCGCTTACCTTTGCTCACATGCTTATCTCTGTCAATATGTGTACGGATATACAACAGGTTAGAATCTAATTTGCAGTTTGGGTTACATTTTTACTATCACGCCTACATGTTACAACTGCTACTAACTAACTATAGCTATAGTGCAAGATACTGATCTGACTCCGAAATATAAAAGAATAATATAAATAACTAGCTTAAACTGGAATATCTGTTAATTCGATATAACTGCAAGGACCATAAGAATGCCTTAATATGTTTTATTATTTCCGATATTAAGATTACAATGCAATTTAGTCCCAAAAATAAACATACGTATCAACAGATGAATTGAAGTCAACTAATAATAACAAATGTTGTTGAGAATTGCCTTATAGCAATTATTGGCAACTCTTATCAAATGTTCTTATACTTTTCAGCTACTGTGGTTAGCGTTGGCCAAGATGTCGCCCGTGTAGTTCCAATGCAAGGCGGTCAAATCATCGGCAAAGCTATTTCACATATGTTCAAGGCCGGTACTGATCTGGATTATCATTTATTGAAGTTATTGAATGACAAAGGACATTCATTTGCAACTTCATGTAAGAAAACACGACTTTTGTGTTCTCCGTATATATATACATAGTATTAAAATCACAAACGTTGACGATTAGATTCCTCGCATAGATTAGCAGTATATATAATATAAGTGCCGGTATTAGCATACAGTAATTATATTATATTAGTCATGCGAGTAGGGATTTTGTTTTTTATTAATTCTAAAAAAACATCGTGTTTAAACAAGGGCTTGTTTTAAATCTTTTTTTTTCTGTATTTTTTGTATTATTTATTGAAATACCCCTTGCATTGCCGCGAAACTATACCAAAACGCTGCATTCTGGCCGCTGCACACGCAGCCGGAATTATAATTTCAAAAATGTAAGTAAAAATTCTTATTTCGACTTTTACTTCTATTGCGTACATTTGTCGCCACGTTTGTATCTCCACCGAAGTCATAAGATTTTAACCGAAATGTTTATCCGAAATATCAGAGAGACGTTTTGAGTAAGAAAAAACATGAAACTTAGCTCACGAGCCTACTACAAAATAGTCATAGTCTAGTTTATTTTTTCCCATTCAGTAAAAAATAACATACGAAATTAACAAAATACACAACTGAAAACACATCTTACAAAAGCAATTAGATCGAGGGTGGCCTTCGGGAAAACGAGTGGGTTGCGATAATGAAGAATATGCTTATATCGGCGGTAATCTACTGATATAAACGATGAGACACCCTAGCCTAGCCTATGCTAATTGTAAGAGTCCTATGACGTGAAGACGCCACAACTAATCTGTTATGACTCATAATATGGATTTCGAGTTTTAAATCAAGTTTTTTTTGCCTGTTTTGTTCAAAATTTTTTGTATTAAATAGGTTAAAGAAAAATGGATGTAAAAACTTGCCAAGCGCTTCCTATTTGCAATAAATCTTTCAAAACGCCACAAATATCGATAGAGGCTCAAGCACACCTTCTCAAGCTGTAGTTCAGTGGCTGGCGCAGTAAGACGCAACCGATAAGCAAGCCATCACGTGAATGACCCTGCTGCGATGAAACCACCTTGCGAAAATTGAAATGCGATCGAATAAATGAGTTTGTATAATCTTGAAAAACTCTATCACTTCACCATAAAAACAAAGTATGCTAAGCATAAATTAACCGAACAGTATTAACCGTAATAATGCCTTCATTTTATGAGAAACATTTCAATACATAAACTCGAAATTCATGTTATGGCTCGTGAGTAATTTTCATGATTTTTCTTACTCAAAACGTGCCTCTGATATCTCGGCTAAACATTCTGAGTAAAATCTTATGACTTTGGTGGAGATACAAACGTGGCGATAAATGTACGCAATAGAAGTAAAAGTCTGATAGAAGTAAAAGTTTGATTTAAAACAAGCCCTTGTTTTAAAACATGATGTTTTTTTTAGAATTGATAAAAAACAAACCCTTTATATCGGGTTCCGATTCCACGACCCCTCCCACCCTAGCTCACCCAACGTATATTAAGTTGGGTAGGTGATTTCGAACGGGTAAGATTCCGGTCCTTGCAAATAAAAGTAGTTTTTGCAGAGATACTGTGGCTCCTTTTAAGTGGCTGTTTGTCCAACAAAATGAAGGCACGTTGAAACATTTTTTTTTTTTGACTGGACAGCTATCATAATAAACGATAAACGATTTCATTACGTTCTGGGAATAATTCATCAGCTTATGCCCTTGTCATCATATAATTTTGTTGTTTAGAATGCAAAGCATTCAATTATTGAGTTAAAATTTCCACGCATCTTTTTCAGGTGATGTTGAAATATTGAGAGAAATCAAGGAAAAATTATGTTACGTTGCCCTTGATTTTGAAGAGGAGAAAAAGAAAATGACCGATTCTATAAACAAGACCTACACACTCCCAGATGGGAAGGTATATTCTCACAATTATTTATTATTCTGTCGAGTTCATATGGGCTAGTATACAAAAATAAAAATATTATAATGACGGTGACGTATCTTCGATTCGTGGTCAAAATGTCATAGCCGTATCAGCCAGCGGGTGGGTTTTCAAGATTCTTGACTCTTGAGGGTCTGAAAATCGTTTCAAGCTACGAAAAATTACTATGTATGACAGTGGTTCTCAACCTTTTATGACTCGTGGCACCCTTTCGGAGGCTTTTAGCACTCATGGCCCCCACTTTGATATTCCAGAGGTATTAATAGGGTTATTTTCATTGATAGATTCCAAATCCCATTATGTTAAATAAAACAATTTGCACAAGAGAGAGCGAAAACACCCTGCGAAATAACCTTGTTGAGCAGCAAACTAGGAAAAACTGTGAGATTTATTTTAAAGTGAAAAGTAAATTCAGATTTCAGCCCATCCTTGTGGCCCCCCTCCAACTCCTATGTGGCCCCCTTAGGGGGCCGAGGGCCCCCGGTTGAGAACCGCTGATGTATGATATAGAAAATGCCTTTTTTTACATTTTTAAAAAGTGACGGAGGGTGGGATCGAACCCCTCCGCTGTTCTTAGGTTGGATTGAATTATTATTACATTTCAGAGAAAAATGGGCCGCCGAATCTAACTTATCCTAAAATATATAATAATAATTAATAAATATATAAAATACATAATTAGAGATAACACACTAAAGATATTGGCGAGGCAAAAACAGGATAATACCCTTGTTTATATTGTCTGTATCGTTTGTCTAACTATTTTCTCGCCCGTAATTCTGATTGACGGAGAATTCATAGTACTGTATGTTAACCTATATACACTGATAGTTGTATTATATCATACTGTGTTGAGCAGTGAGCTGGCTAATTCTGCTGAAATTTGTGATACACATGTTCATACACTCAAGAATATTTTGAAATTATTTTTATATTTTGTATCTTGGTTATAAAATTTCCATATAAATTGAAACATGCCATGAATTTGTATTAAAAATTATGCGCCTAACATGATCTATGACAGGATCTCACTATATCAGAAGAACAATTCAGTTGCCCCGAAATACTATTTGGAGAGACAGATCAAGAAACAACTCTTCATGAATTGGTTCTCAAATCTATTTCAAGGTGTGAGGAAGACATTCGAAATATGCTGTTTGAACATATTCTACTGGAGGGCGGATCCACTTTATTCCCAGGTATATTATGTTGTCTGTCGTTATCACGCAGATAATTTGCGTTTAAATTTGTTTGTCACGACCATAAATGCGCTTCTCCGAATTGCTGGAAATTCCGTCTAGTGTATTTGGCTGGTATTCAACTTGAAAGCTGTTTAACGTTTCTGGTTGCGCTTTTGCTTGACTAATGTTCAAGGGAATAAATAGTTCATGACTCGAAAATTGCGAAAAAACGTGTTACCATAAGAACGCCATATAGTTCATGACTCGAAAATTGCGAAAAAACATGTTACCATAAGAACACCACCGCGTTATTCGCTATTTACTCTCAACTAGATAGCATAGCAATTTCTAGATGCTCCAAATTTGGCGTCCCAGAAAGTGTGTGTACCACCAATATGGAGGTAACTAATTTTGTTCGCTTACTTTACATCAAGTTGTGTAAAAGGACGGAAACCTATGGGCAGGGGGTATATTCACTTGGCTAACACAGACAGTCCCTGAACTCATAGTAGAACTAAAATAACGAAAATCTGAATAAAGTTATGGCCTAACCCTAACCTGCTACGCACACTACGGGAGTACCCCAAATTTACTCAAGAGCGTTTTGCACCACACTTACACAAATATATTTCTGTAAATTTTCAGCTGACCAAATTCAGACTTTCTTAAATAAACATAATCAACTGTGTGTTCATCAGAAGCCCAACGAATAAAACTTTTAAATTTACTTCTTCGATTTGACCATATTGACAGGCTTCCCTGAACGTCTGCAGAAAGAAGTGCAAGCATTAGCTCCTGCAGGAATCACTGTACAGGTGGAGGCGATACCTGACCGAAGACATTGTGCCTGGCTTGGAGGATCGGTACTGACTTCAACCGGAATGTTCCAACAATATTGGATAACAAAAGATGAATATGAAGAGTGTGGACCGAGTATTGTGCAAAGGAAATGCTACCAGGCGCCATGATAAACCAAGGATAACTGACAATATCGCTCTCGGATCTTACTTCTGTTTTGCGTATACTTTCATTAAAAAGCCGGCTATGCACCAAAACGGAGAAGCGAGTGTTTCAATAAGCGGCCAATGGTACACTTGTAATATTTTTGCCGTAATGGAATCTGCAATATGCAAAGTCACACTATCCTTTGCCTCTTTTACTATATCAAATGCCGTAATGAAATCTTCAATACTTAATATATATATTATTTGTAGGGTTACCATATTTTTTTGGCTTCAAAGCGGGACGCCTCCAGTAACTTTACAGTTTCCGATTTTACTACATAGGCCTACATTTAAGCCATCCCGGCTGTCTTCATTAACCATATTGTCATCGAGAGTTCATGCGCATATTCTCTGTCTAAATATTGGGTTCAGTTTGAAAAATAGAAAGGATTAGACCAGCGTTTCCCAACCTTTTTTGGTCGCGGACTATTTTCTCACCCGCGAAAACCTTTGCGGACTCAAAGTGAGTTTATTGCAACCTGTGCGAAGAAGCAATAAAATCAAATATATACAACAGAATTGTAAAGTATTTCAAATTCGGAAATTCGCCGCAATTACGCGTTCGTTAAAAAGAGCCGACTTTTTTAGTGTATAATTGGCTTTCTGTCGCACAATATTCAATCCAATGTCTTTCTATATTAATTTAATTGTGTTCATGGTAACTCGCGGTTGCGTCGACTTACGACAAGGTGAAAGCATTTCTTCTTTAAAATGCCAATCGGCAATCTGTGAACATAATAATGTGAGACTATATTGCCCGATTATATTTAGTTTTGTTACATATTTTTTGCGATCTTGCAAATTTGTTATCGTCGTTAGAAAAATCTCACTATCTGTTATAAATTTCCAGAAAGTACAACTTGACACAGTACTTAATAATAATATATATATATATTTAAAATATATTAGTAAATGAAAAATGAATATTCATCGCCTTGCTTTATTATTAATTTAATTGTGATCATTTTAATCTGTGATTGTGTTGGCGAAATAAATACTACTCAGAAAATCTCATGACAATCCGTGGACAAAAAAATGCGTGGTAAAGGGCCAGATTATATTTTGTTTTGCTTCCTATTTTTGTGAATTCCACAAATCTGAGCTGTTCGTACAACACATACTAGTACTGTACGGCGTATCAATGTTGAGGCAGTAAAGCAAACCATTCTAAGGGAACATGCCCTGGTATACGTATACTACGGTAGCACCCGAAATTTCGCGTTTTGCAATGTCTAAAAAAGCGTTTTTAATCGGTCGCGGACCATCATTATATGAAACTTATGGTGTTCTCCGTTTTGTATTGCCGCTTTTCAATTTGGAAAATTCGGGTTGCCACCATCTATCGACGCGTGTGCCGACTTGTGTGTTTTCGTCGAAAATTCTTGAGTGAGTTGTGAAATCCAATCGTTTGATTAGGGGACGCGCACAAGTGCAAGTGACCTGTCGCGTAACCTGTTACCAAATTTTCGAATATTTAATTGCTATTCTAATAGTTGAATATTCGAATATATGCCTAGCCCTACTCGGTAACGAGTAATTATTGACTCGATTAATGTTATGTGAATAAACTTGCTTTTTATGTTTTATGTAAATTTCAAAGTAAATCGAATTCAAAGTAACTAAAATTTTGTTCGCTTACTTTACATCAAGTTGTGTAAAAGGACGGGAACCTATGGGCAGGGGGTATATTCACTTGGCTAACACAGACAGTCCCTGAACTCGTAGTAGAACTAAAATAAGGAAAATCTGAATAAAGTGAACCTAACTCTAACCTGCTACGCACACTACGGGAGTACCCCAAATTTACTCAAGAGCGTTTTGCACCACACTTACACAAAGATATTTCTGTAAATTTTCAGCTGACCAAATTCAGACTTTCTTAAATAAACATAATCAACTGTGTGTTCATCAGAAGCCCAACGAATAAAACTTTTAAATTTACTTCTCCGATTTGACCATATTGACAGGCTTCCCTGAACGTCTGCAGAAAGAAGTGCAAGCATTCGCTCCTGCAGGAATCACTGTACAGGTGGAGGCGATTCCTGACCGAAGACATTGTGCCTGGCTTGGAGGATCGGTACTGGCTTCAACCGGAATGTTCCAACAATATTGGATAACAAAAGATGAATATGAAGAATGTGGACCGAGTATTGTGCAAAGGAAATGCTACCAGGCGCCATGATAAACCAAGGATAACTGACAATATCGCTCTCGGATCTTACTTTTGTTTTGCGTATACTTTCATTAAAAAGCCGACTATGCACCAAAACGGAGAAGCGAGTGTTTCAATAAGCGGCCAATGGTACACTTGTAATATTTTTCCGTAATGGAGACACTATCCTTTGCCTCTTTTACTATATCAAATGCCGTAATGAAATCTTCAATACTTAATATATATATATATTATTTGTAGGGTTACCATATTTTTTTGACTTCAAAGCGGGACGCCTCCTGTAACTTTACAGTTTCCGATTTTACTACATAGGCCTACATTTAAGCCATCCTGTCTTCATTAACCATATTGTCATCGAGAGTTCATGCGCATATTCTCTGTCTAAATATTGGGTTCAGTTTGAAAAATAGAAAGGATTAGACCAGCGTTTCCCAACCTTTTTTGGTCGCGGACTATTTTCTCACCCGCGAAAACCTTTGCGGACTCAAAGTGAGTTTATTGCAACCTGTGCGAAGAAGCAATAAAATCAAATATATACAACAGAATTGTAAAGAATTTCAAAATCGGAAATTCGCCGCAATTACGCGTTTGTTGAAAAGAGCCGACTTTTTTAGTGTATAATTGGCTTTCTGTCGCTCAATATTCAATCCAATGTCTTTCTATATTAATTTAATTGTGTTCATGGCAACTCGCGGTTGCGTCGACTTACGACAAGGTGAAAGCATTTCTTCTTTAAAATGCCAATCGGCAATCTGTGAACATAACAATGTGAGACTATATTGCCCGATTATATTTAGTTTTGTTACATATTTTTTGCGATCTTGCAAATTTGTTATCGTCGTTAGAAAAATCTCACTATCTGTTATAAATTTCCAGAAAGTACAACTTGACACAGTACTTAATAAAAATATATATATATATTTAAAATATATTAGTAAATGAAAAATGAATATTCATCGCCTTGCTTTATTATTAATTTAATTGTGATCATTTTAATCTGTGATTGTGTTGGCGAAATAAAAGCAATACTACTCAGAAAATATCATGACAATCCGTGGACAAAAAAATGCGTGGTAAAGGGCCCGATTATATTTTGTTTTGCTTCCTATTTTTGTGAATTCCACAAATCTGAGCTGTTCGTACAACACATACTAGTACTGTACGGCGTATCAATGTTGAGGCAGTAAAGCAAACCATTTTAAGGGAACATGCCCTGGTATACGTATACTACGTAGCACCCGAAATTTCGCGTTTTGCAATGTCTAAAAAAGCGTTTTTAATCGGTCGCGGACCATCATTATATGAAACTTATGGTGTTCTCCGTTTTGTATTGCCGCTTTTCAATTTGGAAAATTCGGGTTGCCACCATCTATCGACGCGTGTGCAGACTTGTGTGTTTTCGTGGAAAATTCTTGAGTGAGTTGTGAAATCCAATCGTTTGATTAGGGGACGCGCACAAGGGCAAGTGACCTGTCGCGTAACCTGTTACCAAATTTTCGAATATTTAATTGCTATTCTAATAGTTGAATATTCGAATATATGCCCAGCCCTACTCGGTAACGAGTAATTATTGACTCGATTAATGTTATAAACTTGCTTTTTATGTTTTATGTAAATTTCAAAGTAAATCGTAAATTGGCTGATAGTTGAGTTCCGCAAAATAGTTTGCGGCTCGCACGAATTTCTGGCTCGTTGCGGACTCATTCAAACGCTCCGCGGACTCATTTGAGACCGCGGACTCAGGTTGGGAAACACTGGATTAGACGCTAACGATACAAATGATCCGAATTTAGATTTTTTATGTACAGCAAATAGAATGAAGGTTAATGAAATAGTCTGTCGTTTTCAAGCATTGAGAATTTACTTATTCGCCCAAGCATGCTTTTCTGTAGATAACATCTTAAAAAAAACTTTGTTCAATGTTACATTCAGCGAACAATGTTAGCGGGAAACAACGAAACAAACAAAATAACGCATTCACCTTCAGTAAGTACACTAGCGTTGCGCTACACAGCAACAGCAGTAACGAGAACATGTTCGTGTATTATGCTGGATGGCTGAAAGCAAAAGCGGGACTTTTGGCTGACTTGTCGGGACAAGACGCTAAAAAGCGGGACTGTCCCGCCTAAGCGGGACTGTCCCGCCTAAGCGGGACGTATAGTAAGCCTAACAGAAATCCCCCCGCGTATGATTTTTTCTGGGCATATTCGAATAAGCGTATGCAGCTTTGCGTGACCAGAGTACGATCTTTACATGGGTAAGAAATACAATTGTCGCTGGTACTCGTTCCCGGTGAGCAGGTTTAGGTTTGAATTATAACAGTAGATTATGTATAGACTTGTAGACAAGTCAGCTTGAGGTAGCCCATGTAGATCGATTTTACTTTTGATTGGCTATTGAAATATTTTCTCTCTGAGGAAAACTTATTTTAACCATCGAAACGTACTCGTTTGTCGAAAATTAAAATCATTTTTGGTATTACCAAATAACAGATGCAAAGTGTGTGAAAAAGCTATGACCAAAAGATAAAACAGACATCAGATCGGCAATATATATATATATAAGTAATTGTACATAACATGAACGACGATTCGCGCATTGTGCTGAGCAGTATGTTCCTCAGCTTTTTATTTTAGATACAAAATCCGGAAAAAAATGAAAAGTTTCATTCCGCGGTGAAAGGAGTCGCGATAAACCAGAAGTGGTTATCGAGCAGCGACACCCGTATCCGTCTATAGGTCTATTTACCAGCATAGTTTTGTATGCTTTTCAAACTACTTAATGACCTTTTCATCACTGCCCAATCAGTTTATTTTTTCAGCCTAGTCGATCACAGCTATTTATGGACTAATTTGTGATTACTGCAACTGAACTAAAACTCTTCAGAAAACGGAATGCTAATCAAGTTATTCGATATGAACTTAAATTTCGGAAACACAACTTAGAACTGACAAATAGCTAATAAAATAACCAAAACACGGTAACTCTCATTACCATACCTAAAAATCTGTCTGCGTGAAAAAAAAATGTCTGAGCGGCTCCCGAGATCCAATTGTTACGTCACCATTACCATGCTGCTGATTAGCCAATGTTACGGGAGTAATCAAAAAAGTCTATGCTCATATTGATTTTCACTTTTGCTCCTTTTAGTTTCTTAATTTTAGAATAAATAGAAACTCTGGTTAGAATGTAGAATTGTTTCAGAGTTATACAACCGTTGCAGCAGACTGTTGGCTCTGGTTGCAGCATTTTAAATCACACTGGATGCGTCGCGGCGCGGCGCGGCTTCTGGTCGCGCGGGGCAGGTGTTTACATAGCGCGCGTCATTTCTTCACCACTCAAGGGCGCTAGAGGCGGTTGCTTAGGAACATTGACGCGGGAAATTCAGCTAGAATTTCGTCTGCTTCCCACTCCGCTACAAAATTTACAAATATGCCACTTTCGAAAAGGAAAAGATTGGCAATCGCCCTTTATTTGGCAAACAATACGGAGCAAAAGCAAAGGGAACATTGGGTTCATCCCATATTAAAAAGAAGGAAAGAGCTTGGTAAGTTCAAATCATCGCCCTATGAAATTGCGTGGTCTTTCCTCAAAATACTAATATAAGATTAATTAATCATAGGCTATCTTATACTGTTTTCTTCATCTACCTGTGTATTGAACAGACGGTAGAGCTTGAAGTTGAATAAACATTTATCTTTCATTTAATATTACTTTCTACGCAGGTGAGTACCATAGACTTGTCCAAGAAATGAGACTTGAAAGAACGGTTGCATTTCGTAACCAATACCGCCTGGACCCTGGTATGTTTGATGACCTGAGGAGTCTAGTGGCTCCTTACATAACTAAAACCACGACTAATTTCCGAGAACCTATATCTCCTGAAGAGAGGCTTGGAATAACATTAAGGTGAGCAATTACTGTATATTCAAACCATGTAGCAAAATGTATGTGGAAGAAAATATTCAAATTATAACACATCCACATAGAACTATTAAAAACAAAATAAACATAACATCAAATAAAAGTGCACATATATCATATTTCAGATTTTTAGCAACAGGGGATTCTTATACCACAATAGCAGATTCATATAGGACATCGAAATCAACAGTTTCAGGAATAGTTACAGAAACTTGTGAGGCAATTTGGACATCACTCAAAAAAGAATATTTAAGCCCGCCAACAGTTACAAAATGGAAGCAAATCGCTGAAGAGTATGAGAAAAAGTGGAATTTCCCACATTGCATAGGGAGCATAGATGGGAAACATATACAAATTCAAGCACCGGTGAATTCAGGGTCCCTTTATTACAATTACAAGCACACCTTCAGCATTGTGCTAATGGCCCTTGTCGACGCCAATTATAATTTTGTTTTTGTCGATGTGGGAGCTTACGGAAAGCAGAGTGATGGAAGTGTTTTCTCCCACTCTGCTCTCGGTAAGCTCATGAATGAAGGGGCCCTGAATTTGCCGGATGAAACAACGCTTACTAACAGCTCAAAAAAGGCTCCCTATGTGATAGTGGGGGATGAAGCCTTCCCACTACAGAAGCACCTGATGAGACCATACCCGGGGCGAAATTTGCCAATTGATGAAAAAGTTTTCAACTACAGGCTATCCAGGGCAAGGCGAGTAGTAGAAAATGCATTTGGTATAATGAGTGCGAAGTGGAGAGTTTTTAGGAGGCCCATGGGTGTGTCGCCACAAAACGCAGAGTTGGTTGTGAAGGCAGCATGTTGTTTGCATAATTATGTAAGACGCCATACACTGATAGATGCAGGTGAAGTGGATAGGGAAGACCTGGAGGGAAACATAACAAGAGGAAGTTGGCGGGTACAACAGTTTTTTGCCCCTGCAAAGGCAAGGTCGCAGAAATAGTGTAGGGGCGGCGGCTGTTCGCGACAGCTTTAAAAATTATTTCATGGTTGATGGAGCTTGCCCCTGGCAATTTCAAAGAGTCAGAAGGACATGAAAAGTTCCTTTTATCTAGCTTAGTGGTTACCATCGAAAAAACATATTACTGAATGAGAGATTTTACATTTGACACGCTACACTAAAATATTTCAAGCTGTAATCAATTTGGAAAATAATCCAAATTTTTCATCAAAGAATATTTGAAAATAAACGTAATTGAAAAAAGAATTTGTGCTTGATAAAAGAAAATAAACAGCAGCAGAAAGATGAAAATCATGCAAATACTCCATGAAGCTGTAATGAGAAATAGCCAGAATGAAAAAGCATACTGCCTGAACAAATAATAAAATGGTTGAGGTAAACTAACAATAAAAAACATTAAAATTTTTTAGAAAATTGAGTTCTTGTTTAGAGAAGGTTGCTCAAGTTTGTACGGAGTCAATTAAATTTAGTAATGTACTGTAATTAAGATAAAAAAACGTTTGAATTTATTTTCTAATTTTTAAGTGGGAAATTGAATTTGAATCATTTCTCAAATTCAGCCTCATGGAGTAATTGCATGATTTTCATCTTTGTTGATGAAGCACGCTCAGGAGACAGTCTTTTCAGCTGTGGTAGAAGTGAAAGAAGGAAGAATTTGTCTGGATCATCTACAAATAAATATATATAGTATCAATATTCTATACCATTACGTGTTTATTGGACACGAAGTGGACATAGTGAACGTTTTGTTGTTCTTAGACTTAGTCTTGTTCTTCTTTGACACGTTCAGAAGAAATCGCTTTTCTCTTTGGTAACTGAACCAATTGTTTTGAAATTTTCATTGGTTAAAGATAAAATTTTTCCCCAGAAGGCTATTATTTTTTTTTGCCAAATATTTGAGCATACCGTATATACTCGCCTATAGGTCGCACCACCGTATAGGTCGCACTATTAGTTTTGTGTTAAAAAAGTTTGATTTTGATTTGACTCGCACATAAGTCAAACTGAAAAACTACGGATTTAAAAAGCCCTTTTCCTAGATTTTTGCATAGGTATCTTCCTATTTTGTTTTTTTTGTAGGGCAAAATATAATCAAAATATGTTAATGACGCTCATAATTTTATATGGTTAGAACCAGGTCAACTGTAATAGATGCGTGCGGCGTGTTACGATTTGTAGAAATGGCCTATATCCAAATTTTTGTAAAATCGTCTGTATGTCGAGCGGATAGGTCACACCTATATTTTTTTTAAAAATAGGTAAAAAGTTGCGACCTATAGGCGAGTATATACGGTAGCTGTCTTGTCTATATGAGCATGCTATGCATACGCTCCCTTTAATTCTACAACATAATAAACTAATCTCGATCACACCATATCATGTGTGACCGTAGATAAAACATGAAACAAAAACGATGTTCGAAAAGGTTAAAAAAATTACCATCCTTCTCCTCCTCAAGAATTTTCAAAATCCGCATGTTCACTTCTTCCTTCCTTTTTTTGGTGTCGGTGCGACAGAAGATGACCCAGACACTTCTTCCCCTTCTACCACAGCTGATAGAGTGACAAGTTCTAAATTTGAGGACGTTCTGAAATATGAAATAGAAAAGGTCCTGAAATAACTTCAAATTAATAAAGAATTTAACTTGTACCAAATTGAACAGATCATTTCAAAACATGTGATAGATATATCATTGAAATAGGCACACACTTTTCATCATAGTAACATATCACAGCAGCTCAATATTTACTCTTGTGCCGATTTTATGCAAAATAACTTACTTTCGATGCTGCACGAAGGAATCTAAAAAAGTCATGTGTTCAAATAGATGCCATTTATTCGTTGAAACGCCTCGGGGTGCCCCTGACTCCATGGTACTTTCATTTTTATTTTTCATCTTGACTTCTCTTGCCTGCTGTCCTAAATAGCTATATCAGATTGTGGTGTTAGTTGAGCAAAGCAAGCTTTTATTTTCAATTTGGTGTACTTGAAAATATTTTAGACAACGTGATTTTGCCATCAAGATAAATCCAGCAATGCTCCTATCTCCGCCCAATTGTTGGATTTGATATTAACATCACGATAATGAGGACTCATGTCATACAGACATGGTCTAGATTTCACCTCATTTATTAAAAGCTCTTCAAACGACATGACTGTGAAACAAAGTTTGTAATGAATTCAAAATACAATTGTTGTTAGAATTCATACCGGTACCGGTATAGCAAATAGTAAAGACTACAATCCTTCACTAGTACTTGCAATCAATTTTATTCTGACCTAGATAACGGTACCTAATTTGGATATTTAACTTATAAATTACGATAAACGGTACCTAATTTGATATTGCAGTTATAAAATGCGGTACCTTCTGATCTAAGCAGAATGTAAAACCACTTCCCACGGGAAGCAGCCGACACCGCCGCAAAAAAGCACGTGGAATTCGAAGGTCAGTCGCGCCGAAAAACGCTCAGCGAGAGAATCAGCAGCGGCACCGCGCGTCGTCGTTAGGTGCCGCGCTTTCAGTGTGAACGGCGTCACTTGAAACAATGGAGAGCGATCTCGAGCGCACTTCGCAACGCGTCGCGACGCATCCAGTGTAAACGCACCTTAACTCATCCACGAAGTCGTGTCAAAATGTTGTTTCCTGGCGGCTGACGTGCTTGCTTTCGCGTCGATTGTTTGATACCGTATGGCGAAAAAGGCCCGCAGGGAAGTATTAATTATACATTATATTAAGCTATCGCATATATTAGAAACTGAAACTGCGGTATTTTGTACCCGCAACATAAACTTCTGATAGCCTTTGTTCGCTTATCTGAAATTTTAGACAATACCGGTACCGTACCGCAACATGATGTTGGTTTGTCTGGCTGACTGTGGACGATTTTTGTTAATTCAGCATTCTGGTATTTTTGAGTCTGAATATGGAGCAATGTGCTCTGTCTGTCTATTCCCAGATTGCAATATTGGTAGTCTACTGGTACGGTACTGGGGCATTTCTGAAGTGAAATTGCAAAGTACCGGTACAGAAGTAAGTTAATTCTGTAATTCCAATTTCTGAATTTACCTTCGGTATGAAGTTTCAGATCCTACAGTCCTATGAGTAGATGATACAGAATTGACATCTGGCTGTCTGATGCTAACTGTAACAGCATTTTTTATCTGGATGTTTGATCTATTTTTAAAATTTTTTTCTAAATTTCAAATTGCAATATCTCAGTCTTGTGAGCCATGGACTTGCAGAATTGAACTCTGTGTCGAATGTCCAGTTACAGGTATTATCTTTACAACATTACATATTACAACATTATATATCTGTACGGTATATTGCGACAATGAATTTAGATTTGTGTGTGTCACATTTTAGATTTGTACATGCTAATATGCAAAAGTGTCCACTTCTTTTTAACCTATTAAATTTGACAAAACTTTCCAATATTCTCAAATTATTCTACTTAAAACATTTTTTTTTAACATTTGATTTTATTAACTGTTTGTTAGGACAATTGACAGATTTAGACAGTGAGGTAAACATTAATAGAAAAATTACAAATTTGGAGAATTTTGTTGTAATAACTTTTTCTAACACATTTATAAACTATTTTAACAGACAACTACTTCAATCTTAGACTAAAATATTTCAAATATGGCACAAATTAATTATGACGAAAAAGGAACTACTTTCCTATATTTTATTGTGTCCTTTTTTGCAATGGTTTTAATACCTGCCACGTACTACCTGTGGCCAAAAGGTTTCAAAGAGGAAGAAAAACGATTGCAAAAACTTAGAAGTATTCATGCTAAAAGCAAATGGTATAAAAAATGTCTTGAAGAATTGCAAAAGAAGCGGAAAAAGCCAAGTTTCCGTAAAATATTTATAGTTTTAGCTTGGATTGGATTTTTCATTCTCGCTTACAAAGTATCGATGATTGAGCGTGATTTTGTGGAATACGATCCTTATGAAGTTTTGGGAATTAGAGAGGGAGCGGACAATGTTGTGATCAAAAAAGCTTACAGGAAACTGTCAAAAGAATTTCATCCTGATAAAGGTGGAGATCCAGCAGTATTTATGAGAATTCGAAAAGCTTATGAAGCTTTGACAGACGAAGCTACAAGAAAAAATTGGGAAGAATATGGTAACCCTGATGGTCCTCAAGCAATGGAGTTTGGTATTGCTTTGCCAAGTTGGATTGTCGATTCCGAAAATTCAGTTGTTGTTCTTGGACTTTACGTTTTAGCTTTTATGATAATTCTTCCAATAATAGTTGGAATATGGTGGAATCGATCCATAAAATACAGCAAGGAAAAAGTTTTGCTCAGCACCACACAATTGTATTATTATTTCTTTAATCGTACACCGAATATGAATTTAAAACGGGCTCTCACAATTTTGTCTGCCTCATTTGAATTCTCCCGTGATCATAATCCTGAAGTTCGTGCACCTACGCCCGCTGATAACATTGATATACCAGACTTGATACGAATACTAGGAACGCCCTTTGACCCTAAAGGACGTGAAGCACCCCTGCATTTACCTTACAGTGTAAAAGCAAGAACACTGATTTATTGCCATTTAGCTGGCCATGAAGCGCCTGATAATCTATTAGAAGATTTGGATTATATTTTGAGAAAATGTCCGCTATTAGTCCAAGAAATGGTTAACTGTTTGACTCAGCTGACCGCGCTTGCTCATGCCGACAGGGCTAGCTTACCAAGACTTGAAACTGTTGAGACTGTCATGAAACTGTCACCCACAATGGTTCAAGGCCTTAAAGAAACTAAATCTCCTTTATTGCAACTCCCTTACTTCAGTGATGATTATGTCAAGTTCTGTTTGACGAAAAAAATTTCGGTTCGAAATCTTAAAACTCTCTCAAAAATAAACGATCACGACCGCAGACAAATGTTGCGACGTATGGGAGATGAGGAATATGACACGATGGTCGCATGTTTAAAGAGTTTACCAATGCTTGAAGTTGACGTCCATATTCAAGTGTTAGATGACGAGGAAGCCCATATCATTACAGCAGGTGCGATTGTTACCGTCACAGTATCTTTGATTAGGAAAAAACTTGGCGATTTAGAAGAAGATCCACCGAGGCTTGCTGGCGTTAATTCTTCTGCAGATAAACAGGGGGATGGTGACGAAATGGAGCAAAACAACGTTGTTACAAAAACCAAAGTATGGGAAAAGCAAAGTAAAAAGAAAAAAGGGGCGAAAAAGAAACCAAAAAAAGCCGCACAAAAGAAACCAACCCAGCAACAACCTCAACATTCTGATACGACTGAAAAAAGTGGGGAGGAAGCATCAGGTGATAAAGCAGACATGGAAAAGGTTGATGACACTAAAGGTGATATGACGGAATCGGAACTTTCCGATACAGAAACGTCTGCGGATTCTTACGACGATGAGGACGAATGGGAAGCAATGCAACAAACTTTTAAAAAGAAGCGAAAGAAAATGGCCGACACTGGAGATAAGATGACTCACACCGTTTACGCTCCTAATTTTCCGCTTGAAAAACAAGAGTGGTGGTGGGTCTACATATGCAGTCGTAAGAGACATTTACTTTTAACTGTACCAGTGCAGGTATGCAATCTAGCAGATTCACAAGAAGTTGAATTAAAGTTTCCTGCACCGCAAAGTCCGGGACGTTACTCGTACGATGTTTGGGTTCGTTCCGATTCATATTTAGATTGCGACGTTAAAAAGGAATTGAAATTTAATGTGGAAGAAGCAAAAGAAATTGACGAGGATCATCCTCAATGGAAAATTGAGGATTCTGAAGAAGAGGATGAATCTGCTGTCGTAGAGGAAAGTGAAGATGAAGGAATCTCAACAGATGAAACTTCGGATGAAGAATAAGAGGTCAGAGGTCAAATGAATGGTTTCCAAACAGGATAGTTTTGTTGAAGAGTGCCGCTATTGTATTTTGTATTGTATTTCCGGTGTTTTACTCGAAAGTTTATATAAAATTGTTCATACCATATCTATTTCTTGATGTTGAGATATGTGAAAACAGCATATGATGTTAGGATTATTATTATGAGCATTAAAACTCGCAGGCTGCCCCCCAAAAAAGGGGCTCCCGAAATATGCGAACCAAGATGGCGGACATCGGAATGTAATATGTGTACTAGGTTAGGGTTAGGCCATAATATTAGGTATAAATACCACGGGAGGCTCTTGGCTAGTCTTCGAACTGATAATAGGACTAAAATAAGGAAAATTGGAAATAAATTATCGCCTAACCCTAACCTGTTACCCATGTTACGTTCCGGTTGGTTGGTTATCTTGGTTCGCATACTTCGGGAGCACAACAAGAATCATTTAGAACATGAAAATGCTATCATACAATGAAACATTATTCTGCGATTTTGCAAACAATTTTTGTGCAATGCCGCCTGGTTCACTAAAATTTTTGGTTACAATCATAAACAGAAGTCTTTGTGGTAAATATTCTTTATTTTCATGAAAGTAATTAGAAAATTTATATGTTTGTTTTTATTTGGGTCACCCAGTATGTACCAATAAACACCATGTAGGTGAGGATAAGCCTTTTGCATGTCAATAGTCCAATTCGTTTGACAGTTCTCACTCTTCAGTGAAGATGTCTCACAGTCTATATCCGAAAGCAGTTTTTCAATTTCCTATCCAATTTTTCAATTTTTTTTTCATTCCTCTGTGCCCCAAGCAAGTTTTTAAAATCGCAGAAACATGCATTGAAAAAGTACTTGCTGGATTATTGTGGCCGGTAGCTGTTTTGCATATTAAACCTTAAATTCAAAATATACGTTAGTTTGAAATGTTGCATTATTTTTTTGTCTGTATTTTTGACTTACAATTAAATATTTATCAATCATATTAGCTGTGTCTAAGAAGTTTATTGAGCCAAGTTTAAATAAAAACATTTTCCAAAACGTTTTACTAAGCATAAAAAAAATCTGTGTAATAAATTTTTGTTCATTTTCCACCTTGCAATTAAAAGTAATATTATATAAATAGAACATATGCTGCATTACTGTTACGCAAATTCATTATATTAAAGTTTTGTAAAACTATAACTCTGCAATAAAAAATGTCTGAACCCCGCCTTTTTAAAAAAATTACATGCTGCGCCGTTGTTTTACATCCCAGACTTTTTTCTACCTATTTTTGTTTGAATATATTTATGTATTCCAGTAAGAGGTATTCGAGAGTTCCTTGGTTTTCTTTGCTGCCTTGTTTTCACTACAAGAATAATATTTTGTAATAACTTTTTGATGAAAATATTGGCCTTATCATTTGTGTGATGTTGGTTTCTATCTGAATTCCAAAAACATTTTATTTTAGATTTTTGTTTTTTGTTCATATTTTATAGGGGACTGAAATGGAAGATGAGTTTTCATACCACGAGTCTTCTGTATTATAAACAGGCACGACCATGATAACGGTTTAGCTTAGTATTAATTTTGATATGTATATTTCTTTGCATACATACCGTAATTATATTTCAAACCAAAATAACAATCATTTAAGTAAAATTATTTCCTAAATTACTAACATTTTTTAATATGATATTCTGTTGTTTTGAGAACTTTCTAATGAACATATGTTAATATTAGCCTTATCATTTGCGAATAATCCTGGTCTATTTTCATATGAGAAAATTTTTGTTTTTTTTATGTATATGATTTGATTTCTACTTGTTAGTTTAAAGGACAAACTAGAGAATGGGGCTTGTGTCATAATTAGTGCCCTTCATTGTGAAATTATTAAGAGGAAAGAGCATTGTAAAGCTATGAATATTAGTAATATTTTTGATAGGAACCATTCGGACCTCCTGAAGTATGCGCACCAAGATGGCGCACAACCTGAACTCAGGTTGTGTACCAGGTTAGGGTTCAGGTTATGCGACATCTTGGTGTGCATACTTCAGGAGTACCAACCTTTCTTTGTGAACACACCTACCGATAACTATATTATAAACAAGAATAAATTATTTCCTAAATTCCTGAACTGAAGGTATATTATGAAGTTTGCTGCTTAAAATAGTCTTTAATTTACCGTATGTATCTCAGAAAAGATGTTTGATTTATGTGTATTCATTTTTTTTGGTGCAAATATTATTTAATTTTATAACAACATTTATCGGTGATTTTCTAGGAATATTATATAATGTTATTGTTGAAAAAACATGAATAAATGATAATCTCTTGATGGAAGGGAAATTTGACAGGGAATTTCAAACTTCAAACAAATTGTTATTATTATTTTTTTAAATTAGTGTCATGGCTGTTACCAGTATATTTGTGACAAACTATTTTAGTGCTTTTCCTTATTTTGCATTCAGGATAGGGTTTTTGGATATCATGCTATTGCTGAAGTGCAATAATGTACTATTTATGAGTGAAGTTTGTTTCAGAAATATTTTGAAGGAAAATAAAAGAAATGGAGTTTGTAAATATGTGTTGTGTTTTTGTTGATCTAAAATGTTATGAGTGAGGGAGATATAGTAAATGAATTTGATTACTGTTTATAATATTAGATAAATGAATTACGAGAGAATCGTCGCGTCGGTAACCTTCAGATTTTTGCCAAACTAAATGTGAAGGTGCTATAGATCAGCTTCTCCAAAACTGAGTTTTCATAAAAGACTCAAACTTTCTCGAGTTATGAGCTGCCCTAATGACAATTTTATTAATAAAAGCCAAGGAAAAACATAAATCTTCTTTCTACATTGAGGCTCGTGGCCTCCTTCTGGAGGCTTTTAGCACTTAAGGCCCCTCTGTTTGTCATTACAGTAGTATTTAATAGTGTTATTTTTATTGGTTGATTTTGAATCTCATTGGGTAAAAACATTTTATGCTTAGCAAAGTGAAAACAACCTGTTAAATAAATAACCTTGTCAAGGAATGAAACTGGAGCGAACAGGAAATTCTCTTGTAAAGGGAATAGTAAAATCAGTTTTGCGGTTTGCATTGTGGCCCTCTCCAACTGCCCCTCCCTTTTAAGGGGCCACAGACCTTCGGTTGAGATTCGCTGCTTTGGAGCTTACATTTCAAGATTTTGGGGGTTATTGAATTTTTGATTGCTTTATTTGATTCTGCTATTATTCTTGTTTTTATGTAATGAGACCAAGAAAGTAGGTTTTCAAAATGGCAAATCCACCCAAGAACCAGGAATGGTCCACACAAGATTGGAACAATCATTGGGATTCAGGGAAATTATCCAAACACATAAAAAAGGAATATATTGAAGATCTTCTGAGGCAAGAAAAGTTGCTTTTTCCTGATTCTGGGAAATCGTATCGCGTCCTTGTGCCGTTATGTGCAAAGTCTTATGATATGGAATGGCTGGCCAGCAAAGGGCATTCTGTCATTGGGCTTGATTGCTCTGAAACTGTTTTGAAAGAATTCTTTGTTGAACATAATATGGAATTTAGTGAAGCACAAGATGGTAATTTCAAGGTATTCTTTTCATCTTTAACTAGGCATAAACTCCAATCAAATGAATTACTACTAATTCAATTGATTGTATTGCGTCAACATGAACTATATAGTTTCAGTGCGTCTAGGAATTTCACATGGTTTCATGCATATGGATAGTTATGAAATTTTCGTTCATTTGGTGGGTGAAGCATGGGACATTGCTTAATAAGGGTATTTTCCCTTGTTGAGCATGAATTGTTTGAACATAATGGGATTTGGGATCTACCAATTAAAATAACACTATAAAAATCACTGGAATGAGTAACTGATTACCGTAAGTGCTAAAAGCCAGGAAAGGGGGCCGTGGGTGGGCTATAAAATGGTTTAGGTCTAACAAATCATGAAATTTTCATTCATTTGATGGGTGAAGCATTAGAAATAATCATATTGGTGCCACAAGCCAGAATCTCTCAACTCTAAATTAGGTAGGCAATGCCGAACCGTCTTCTGGTCATTCTGAACTAAAGCAGCAATCAGTGGCTGCTTGTACGGAGCCTTGTTCAGAGCGACTGGTGTAGAATAGGTCGTACAACTAAATATATTGCATTATTGATAGTTAGAAATAATTGCGATAACTCCCGATAATATTTTATTGCTCCCAACGCTTAGAAATCTAAAAAATATCAATCCTTGTTCAGGTATTCAAGTCAAAGTCTGAAGAACTCGATATCACATTATATGCAGGAGACATTTTCAATCTGCCGAGCTTGAAATTTGAAAAGTGCGATGCAGTTTGGGATTACGCAAGTATAGTAGTCATAAAACCCCAAGAAAGGCAAAAATATGCAAATGTTATCACTGAGAAACTGACCACAGATGTAAGTTATCTTCTCTGTGCTTTCAATTTCGACGGATTCGTTAACCCCAACGGACCAGCATATCACACGTCTTCTAAAATGGTTCGTGATATTTTTGGAGATAGTTTTGGAATTATCGAATTGCCAGATGCAAGTACAAAACATATTTTCAACGGTAAAGCAGTGGCAATGAAAAATTTCTTCCATATGACAAAAAATAAATAAATAATTCTAGATATATAGGCCCATGTCAACTGATAACTACTGATTTATCTAAAGAATATTTGTTAAACATGTTAATATTTGAGTCAGTGGTTCTCTCAAGTCTTAGTACCTCATCAGTGTTATAGTTATTTTCAGGTGGGGGATTGTGTCTTATCTATGAGAAGACTTGAGTAAAAATGAAGAGTGTTGAATAATAAGTGTGAAATTATTGTTTCATAATCATGCTCATATTTTCCATTTTTTGTTTGTCAATGAACATTATTTTTTTTTAATAGGTTTTTATCAACTTGCTCAATTTTTTTTCAAATTATATAAGTGTTCACTCAACTTCATTTGCACATCAATTTAAATAAAGACCTATCTTATATATTGCATTTTACACAAAATATCCTGTTAAAATTTGTACAAATATATTTCACAATCATACTAAATATACCTATATCAAAATATTAGTTTGGTATTCTCTTAAACATAAGAGGCTAGTGTAATCAGACTACTATATCGATGCCCCCAGGCAAATTCTTCAGAAACTGATTTCAATAATTTCCTTGAACAAGGATAATTAACATTAATTAACCTTTAAGATCTGTTCATTATGTACCATTTGATAAAGGTCAATTTGTGATGTGCCTAGTGATTCTCTACCTCCTGCTAGTGTGTAAAATCGTGTCTTAGTGCAGGGTCTCCCAAACAGGGGTCCGGAATGATGTTAAAAGAGTCTGATCGATCTTAAATGATTGGTTTCAATCAAAAAGCCATTACATCTATTGAATTGATGTGGCAGTCGTTTGTATCTCGTTGGTTAGACAATGAAATTGATCAGGAATAGGATGGAGGTCTGTCAAAAATGATTGCGCCCTGTGACCCAGTATATGCTCACTGCAGGTGGTTTCATTTCAATTACAGAGCAAGTTTGTGAGTGTGAACCTAGACTTCTTTAAAAGTATGATTAGATGTTGAATACTGGTACATGCAAAGGCTGCATTATTAATGAACTATGGTGACAGCACACATGTATTTACATGAGTATGCAACTGCGAACATTTGTTGATTACTTGAACCTTATTTCTCGCCCCCACTTTTCATTCCCATCTGACGCTGAAAACCGGTAACACATCACTCTGCTAGTGAATTGAATAACAAAATTAACAACTTTGATATCCCATAGGACAGACTGATAAATAACTCACAAATTTCTGCACTTCTATATCCTGTCCACTAAGTTTCCAATACAAAATTCACCAGTCAAAGCTGTCAACAGCATCAGTGTTCAGTAACTCACTCAAAAAGATGTTTTATTTTGCAAGTTCAAGGCAAGCTATGGGAATTCACAAATCAACCATATGATTGATCTACAGAAAAGTTACACTAAATTAAACAATTGACAGAAACACATTGCTGGGAGAATCTACAATAGATGATTTTGTGGAAGCATCCAATCAGTCGGATTATCACGTTTTTAAAAACTTATTTATGGTGTGATATTTGATAAATCTGAAAATATCATCAATTTAGCATTGTATTGTAGCACTCTGTGGGCGCTCAAGGTTTATGTGTACCAATATGCAGGTAACTAATTTTGTTCGCCTATATCAACTTATGTAAAGGAACTGAAACCTATGGCCAGGGGAACTAAATAGGGGGAAATTGGAATAAATTATGGCCTAACCCTTACCTGGTACACATACTACGTAAAGTACCAAACTTTCAACTCTTATTGAAGAAACACTTTGTAATTACCGTACTATATCAATAAAGAATATGTCTTTAATTTGGTGACATTTTTAAACTTATCTACTTTATTTCATCATTTACATGCACTAGCTAGGATCGTACCCCTAAGACATCACCCAGAAAATATAATTGAACCCCATCTAATTTGCCAGCACCTATGTATAACAGGTCAGGTCGTGACATCATAAGTAAACAAACATAAGTAATGAATAGGGCTGGGCATTTTCGAATACCTTGTGATTTCAGAATCGAATCGAATAATTTTTTCGAATCGAATCTCGAAAATAGATAATTGTATGCAACTTTTTTTTTATTGTAATTGGTCCTGTCAACACATGATGTACTGAAATCATAGAATACATCACTAAGACAGATTGCTTAGCGTTCACAAAGAATAACAAACACGTTTTATCAATAACTCACTACAGAAAATAGTCATATGTTGAAAAATATGACTTCAATGAAAAAAAAAAATTGGGGAATTCACCTCGACCATTAGCGGAAAGATAAAAACAAGATGGTGGGGATTCGAAATTTAGCTCTGAACCGATTCGAATAATTTGCTTCTTGATTCAAAATGCCCAGCCCTAGTAATGAACAAATTTACTAATGGTTGTTAAACTGAAAAGACTATACCCTAGAACAGGGCTACTCAACTGGCGGACCGCGATCCGAATCCGGACCTTTCGGGTATTCGATTCGGACCGCGCATAATTCTTTATTTTGGATCATAAGCCCCACTTTTGAAGTTTCCTTCTATAAAATCACTTTTATGGATTTAAAAATATATATGAAAAGAACTATAACGACATAACAAACAATCTTGATTAGTTAAGAATCATTAGTCGGCCGAGGAATTGCTGGTTTGAGGATGCCAAAATATAATTTCTGTAAAGTCCTGACCCAAATATTTTCGAAATTTTGTATGCGGACCTTCGGTAAAAATAGCTGAGTAGCCCTACCCTAGTACACAGATTCTCTAAGTGCCCTATATGGAGCCTCCAAGCTCAGTAAGAGAAACGTAGCGGCCCCGCACACTATTCGTTTTCTTATCAAAATACAGAACCCAGCCCTAGAAAACCGTTTTTTAATCGAATGGTCAGTCTAGTCCTAGTTACAATCAGAAAAAGGCAGTGTCTCATTTTAACAAGAGAAATTCATATTCTGAACCGGGAAAAGTCTATTAAGTTAGCACTGTTGAACTATAAATAACGCACCACAAGAAGACAACATCAGGCTGAACCGGTAATCACATTTAGCAAAATGAAAACATTTCAGGTAAAATTGCAATATTGACAAACCCTAACACAAATAAGTAAAAAATGCAAATTAAATTCGCCATTCTAGGCAGTTGATACAACTTTTGAAGTTGGGGGTTGAAGGTTATTTACAAAATACCACAGTAATGGAAACTCAGCTGGTATATACTTCATCATGTAGGAGAAATCTGAATCCAAGATGAAGGTACTAATTCGGGATGACCATATCCAGAAGTTTGGTATTTGGAATACATTCTGGAATAATATGGGGTGTCCATAAAGTCTTAAAATGGAATTCATCGATACCATATATTGTTTTGACCCTCACAGATTAATAAATGAAGTAAAACTACTTGAACAATTACTGATTAAAAAACAACAAACCTGGTTAAAATATATTGAGAATTGTGACTTCATAACAAAATTGAAGTTGTACAGACTTTATGGACACTCTGTATTTTCGAAGATGAAATATATTTTCAATGGGTTATTAATGTTTAACAGAAAAACTTGGCATATCCAAGGAAGTTGACTTTTGTTGGAGGAAAGTTTACAATGGACTGACTTGTTTATACAATGGTTGTTCATGTCTTTTGCTCAGAACAAGCCCCTGCACAAGACTATACTGGTCTTTATATAGGGAGGCACTATTAGATTAGTCCTGGAATCAACAATTTGGCTCATTGAATATACCTAATTCTAAATCTATTCTGCTTGTTTTGGTCATCTATCATAGTAATGCTCTTTACTAAGTGAGCTTTTCTATCCGAACCTATATAAATAGGATCTGGAATTTTCAATGGAAATTTTGATATATTGAAGACAATAATGATTCTTATGTCATATTTTGAATGTAATTCAGTTGTAACTGAGAAATAACTTTGAGACATGGTTATTGATGATTTGATAACAAATTGATAATTTTTCATGATGTTGAGTCATTGGAAAAATGAAGTAAAAGTGTTTTTCAAAATTTCACAAGTTTTGAAATGAATGGTGCAAAGTTAGATTTTTCAAAGTTCATGAAATAGGACTACTTCTGCGTCAGCGTCATGTGATAAGACATTTTTAAAGTCTTGTTTTTATTTGAAAATTTGATGAATTCTAAAGCGGGACATTGCTGAACAGATAAGAGACTGATTCTCCGTTGTGCGTTCTTCGAATTGCTTCAGCAAGGATCGGTGAGATATCTATTGTCTTGATTTTATTTGCCTGCTTCATATGCTCTTCTTGTGGTATCGTGTTCGTGACGACGATAGCTTCAAACGATGCATTGTTGATTCTTGAGATTGCGGGCCCGCTGAAAATGCCATGCGTTAAAATCGCGTATACTTTTGTTGCTCCGGCCGCAAGAAGTTTGTCCGAAGCGTGGCATATTGTACCACACGTATCTGTCATGTCGTCTACCATAATTGCGACGCGATCCCGCACGTCACCAACTAAAACCATACGGTCGACCTCATTTGCCTTTTTCCGTTCTTTATGAATGAGCGCGAATTCGACGTTCAAACGGTCAGCGATAGATGTGACTCTTTTTGCACCTCCTGCATCTGGCGACACGATAACAGAATTCTTCCATTCTACGATGTTTTCCTTTATCCACTTTAACACTGCTGGTTCAGCATAGAGGTTATCGACAGGAATATCGAAAAATCCTTGAATCTGTGACGCATGAAGATCCATCGTTATTATATGGTCAGCTCCTGCAATAGAAAGCATGTTTGCAACAAGCTTTGCAGAAATGGGTGCACGACTTTTATCTTTCTTATCTTGCCTTGCATAAGGAAACAATGGTATTAAGGCAGTTACACGTGAAGCTGAAGCAATTTTACAAGCGTGTATCATAATTAAAAGTTCCATAAGATTGTCGTTTATCGCTCCGCAACCACTTTGAACAATGTAAACATCTTCTCCGCGGACGCTTTCACCAATTTCAACGCATGTTTCCTGGTTACTAAATTTTCTTGTGACAACTTTAGCAACTGGTAACCCAAGTCGGTCAGCAATTTTCCGAGCCAGATCAGTGTGGGATGAACCACTGAATACCTTTATATTAGGCATTTCGATTTAATCAAGTATTGAAAAATGCTTAAAAAAAATTTGAATTTAGCAGTGTTTCACAATGAAATATGAATATCAAATAAAAACACGAAATATTATCATAGTGCAATAGATTTTAATAGAAATCATGAAAAGAATTTAAACTAACATCAATGGATATTTTGAAGCACTGTAATAAGTTTATTTCGACTTCATAATCAGCAATAGACGATAAAATATTTGATAAAAACAAAATTAATAAAACTGATTATAGAATCGGGAGAGCAAACAAAACCTCAAGTATGTTGAAAAATATGGCAGTGTAATGATTGATGATACAAATAAACAGAAAACCTTCCAAATTTATAATATATCCAGAGTGTTATCAAATAAAATATAATTTTGTATTCATCTTTGTAGTATATATTAAAAATAAACTGAAGGCAATACAGTAGTTTTGTGATTTGATATATGAATAACTATGATATATTTTGATCATAAAAAATAGATTTCATGCAATACTCAAGCTTTACAAAAAGACTTTTGCATAATTCCAGAATTCTGTTAAGCACCGATGAATCACATATCTATCCGGCTCGCAAAGTTTGCTACAATATGCTGATATGTGTGATGGCTACCAATACTGCAATATAGAATTAGGTCAACCTATGTCTCATTCAGCAATATACCATCAATTTATAAAACAAGTCAGCTATTTTTTATAACTGGCTGCATGACCCACATACTGACATAGGACTAGGAAGAGCAATATAGATATGAACCACATTTGCATTTAAATTTTTGCGTATTCTCTTCAGATTTCCACATTTGCATCTAATTTTTTGTGCATTTTCAGATATTTTATTCTTAGGTCAGTAGGTAATTTTATTATTAAGATTTTAAGAAAATTCATATATTTCTACTAAATATAGTTAATTAAAAAATCATTGTGAATCAATGTTCCATAAATCCATTCTTTTAACTTTTCTTTAAAATAAGAAACAAGAATAGCAGCTACCAAAAACGTCACCATCGTTTTCCATCTTGTCGAAACAGGCTGCAAAGTATTTTCATCCATTAGTTTATATCAAGAGTAATTCCAATTAAACCTTCATTTAACCCTGCACCACACAACCATAAGACTGTAAGACGGCGGATAACCTCAAGAAATGCAAACAAAGTCGAGAGAGAGCAAACACTGGAACACGCGTGGTAATTCTGGAGATAGCTGGAGTCGAAAATGAATGCAGAATTTTACCGGTTTTAGCATTACTTCTGTTTCTGTGCGATACATTTTCATTCAGATTTTGACATTCATGTTTTAATATTTAATATAATAAAAACTGTGTAATAAAATGTTAAATAGAGTTTTGGATATCGCTCCATTTTGACTTTATTAGGCCTTGCATTTGGTTAAATTGTATTTCTATGACTGATCCAGTTTATAATGATGATATACCATATTTTGCTGCGGTGCTTTTAAACTTTTGTGATTTGAATACTTCCTTCAAAGATTCTCAACACTTTCAGACCACCACTCTTGTATAAAAATATCTAATTTAGCATTTAATTAAGCGTTGTTTCGTAAAATATTGCAGATGTCAATTTTCACATTTTCGGTTTGTTAGCACCATCTCGCGGAAGCACGAAATGTTTTTGAAACCAACTGATGCAACTGGTAGGTAACACGTGTATGGCAGCTGCTTTTTTAAACTTACCTTTGGGCCAAGCGTCATCGATCCCGAATTTCTGAACCTTCGGAAGTGAGCGCACGGAAGTTTTATGCCTTTTTGGTATAAAATATTGCACTCTAAGTGTAGAAATTATGTATGAGACATATTTATACGTTAAATGAGAATTTCGTAAGGATTTCATCAGCAGGCGGCAGGTGCAACCGAGTTGTTAAGTTGTGACAGGTGGTTCCTGTGTCCCGTAGTACGGTATTTGTCAGACAGATATCTGTATAATAAATATAAGATGCGCCAAATGTAGGCAAATTTTTTTTAGGGCTCAATTTCTAAATTGGGATCTGCTTGAAATGGGTTTAGATAATGTTAACATATTTGTCTGGTGGTACATTTGTTATAATTTTTAAAATCTCAACCTGAAATAACTCGGACTTCTGGTTTATTTGTTATATATATAGGATAGGATAGGATTTACATATTTATCCCGGGGGAGAGGAAATCCGATAAGACGGCTTAACCATATAGCGAACCACGGCCTCTCGTCCTGTTACCATTCCGAGTCGGTAGGGGATTAGTTATATTGTTTGTTTTCGGAAGCATGGACTTGGTGGTGGAGGAAGCCGTAACTGACCAGCGGCTACTTGAACCACCCAACGACGGCGAGGAGTCCAGCAATCCTCTCGCACATAACCATCCCTGCATGGGATTTGAACCCACGCAGAGTAATTCAGTAATTAGAGGTACGGTGCGGTTGCGAGCGAATTCCTAACGCTTAGCCCGTTGAGCCACGCCGCGATTTCAATTTATATTTTATCCATATTTAATCGCTGATGCTATATCTGATTGATTACTTACAGCATGGGTCAGGAGCATCGGTGACCTAACTCAGTAACTGGTCTTTCATAAGGCAGTAAGGACCTTCAGGATTAATCATCAACCAATAATTGTTAAATTATATTTTATTTTGTGTTGCTTCAAATGTATCATAGTGTAATTTTTCTCTGAAATTGTTAAGCTGTTATACGGTTAACAGTTGAAGGCGTAAACCATTATTCAGACTAAATGTTTTTTAGTCACATATCAGCATATCATATTCATATAAAGCAGGAGCCTCAAACTCAATTCAACCAGGGGCTACTGAAGGCAGAATCTGGGTGGGTCTGGGCCGCATCAGGTTTCCCACAATAAAAGCTTAGTTTGAAAAATTCAAACCTTTTCTTATTTAATTTTTGTTCAATCAAGCATTCTGCCGATGGACAGTGAAACATGGTTACAATGTAAAAATATAAATTTAAGCGTTAGTGATTGTGGCGACAAAAATCTGAGAACTTATATAAAATATATTAATCATGCAAAATGAGCTAAGTGACTTGCGGGCCCTACTCACAAGTTTCATACTTGGGCGGGGGCCTTAAGCTATCGTCCTGCGCCCGCAATTGGCCCACGGGCCGCAAGTTTGAGACCCCCATCATAAAGATATGAAATATTGTTATTTCAGTATTAAGAAATAGGTTCAGATTCAATAATTTATATTTACGAATTTTATAACATAGACACTTGTCTATTTTTCAAGGAAAATGTTGAAAATAACAACAGATAAAGAGAATCCGCCTGTAGGTAGGTTGTATAAAATATCGAATTGGAAAATCAATTTAATTTTTGTATTGGGTATTCATAAAGTCTTAAAATTGAAAGGGAATTTATCAATATCATATATTGTTTTGACTTTCACAGATGTATTAAATGAAGTAAAAATAATTAAACAATTATTAATAAAAAAACAACAAATGTGTTCACGATATATTTAGAACTGACCAAAATTGAAATTGTAAAAAGACTTTGTGGACACCCTGCATATTCCATTGTAAATCATCCTTGTAACATTTTACTGATCTTTCTCAATTTTTTTTCCAGTTTTGTTCCTGTTATCAGAGCATGCGGAAAATGTCAAAATTGAGTTTATTTCGGGCAAAGAAACTTCCCACAACATATCAAAGTATTTTTTGTTTGTCTTTTAAATTCATCAATCATATGAAAATATTGTTTGACTAATCACTGTTATATTACTTTTCATTCTGTTTCATAAATTAATGCAACCGCATAGAGCAAGGATAGTTGGCCTTTGATAATACAATGCAGTTTGAATGTTTACATGTTTGGGTACTGACTTCCTATGGCCTGAGGACTCGAGAATACATATTCAGAATTGCACCTTTCAAATTAAAAACTGAAATCTTGAAAATTGTTATCTTAACGCTCTCCTTTTTCAGTCAGTGTTCTTGCAACTTAGCATACACTTGATCTTCCAACCTTATTTTTGGTTGGGGATTCTTCTTTTTTGAAAGTTTTTTTTTTATCTGAATTTGAACACGCCAATCTCACAGGTTAACAAAATTTATTTATTCTTAGTGACATCAAACTGACTGGTGATGCCTCAATTTCTCGTTATGTTGCTCGATTAACGAAGAATTCATCAACATCCTTATATGGTCATTCAGTTCTTGATGCTACAGAAATAGACCACTGGGTGTCATTTGCGAGCGTTCATCTCAACGGATCAAAGAATCTCAAGAATATTCTCACTCATTTGGAATCTGCTCTTGCTTTGAGGACTTTCCTTGTTGGAGACTCAATCTCACTGGCAGATCTCGCTGTTTGGGGACATCTGAGAAGTATGTGTACTACATATTTCAATTTTTTATTAAATATAATATGCTCTTAGCAAGGTCATGTACAAGTAGACACTCTACTATCGATGGCTACATGATTGCGTGTCAGATTTTGTAACTTTTACCAAGCATGGAGTATTTTGATGAATTTGCGTGAAAAATTGTCTGATCTGCACCCCCCCATGGGTATGCCCCTGTCCTATTTATTTCCAGTTTGACATTTTTCTAACCTCTCCCACCTGCTACATTCATAAATTAAAGTTGACTTTTTCATTCTTCTAGTGAGCAAAGAATGGTCAAAATTGTCTCAAAATAAGAACAACAACAAGACATTCCAAAACATTAATCGATGGTATAATTTCTTGGCTTCAAAGCCAAAATTCAAGGCTGTCAATGGAAAACTTCCTTCACAGAATGACGTGAGTTTCAATATAGTATTGTACTTTCTTAAGCTTGGCTATTACATTTCTAAATTGGATTTGTGGATTCAATTAGCATTTGTTGTTTTTAGCGTCTTGTATCAGATGATCGCATAATAACGAGTTTCTCACACAAAAAACTCTTATCCATGTTCTCGGGACATGTCCTGTGGAATACTTGTGAGGATTCGCAGAACTATATTTCACTGACAAAATACTGATATTTAAGGCATAAATACCCACATGTTAAAGAAAACAATCATCAATTTTAACTAGATTAAACTTTTCGAGAATGCGCTATTGCCTCCTGTCATCCCCTTGCGTCCCATGCCTTATCGCTTTTGCCACCCAGGGTATCGCCCACAACCACCTACCAATTTGCCCTTCTAATTTCCTGGTGTTCCACGAGCCGAGATAAAAAGCGTATTTGTTCCGGGGAGTTTGAGAAACGCTGTTCTAAACGATCAAATTACAATATATACTTGATTTTGTTACTTTCAAGGTTTCATCAACCAAGCAAACTAAAGATGAAGGCAAATTCATTGACTTACCAGGAGCTGAGATAGGCAAGGTTGTTGTCAGATTTCCTCCGGAAGCAAGCGGCTATCTTCATGTTGGTCATGCTAAGGCTGCTCTGCTGAACCAACATTATCAGGTAAAGTTATTTATAGTGAAATTACGATTGAACTTGTTGCATATCACATCTTTAGTGGGAGCTGACCATCCTTGGTGGGAGCTAACCTTGATGACCATATGGTCGAATCGCTTCTTCCTGTCCATACCAAAAAAAGTTATTGCTGCTGTCATTCTATTTATTACTGTATTTTTTGGTTGACAAAATATTGAATATCTCTTTCTCATGTTCCCTACTTCACTGACCTGTGTGCTTCAACAAGATGAACTACCTATCTCGGGGTGTAATAAATCAGTAGACAATGCTGGAGGCCTGGAGTTGAAATATTACTGTACTTTCATTATAAATCATTTTCTGGCATATTTGCGGTTTCTTGTACTGAGCATTGTTCATTGCAACTGTCAGGGGCGTACCCAAGGAGGCATGGTTGTGGGTTAGAATAACACTGATGTATTCAGGATGGGATAATTCATTTCCTTCCCTCCAGGATAAATATGAAAAATTCTCCTTCACCAGTCTGTGTAACTCTTTATTTTTTATTATTTTCAGCTTGCATTCAAAGGAAAACTGATCATGAGATTTGATGACACAAATCCAGCAAAAGAAAAAGAAGATTTTGAGAAGGTCTGGCTTAGTATTTGAAATATTATTTGGAATTATGTACCTAATATATCTAATACCTAACTTATCTAGAGTTTTTAAAGATTAGTATAATCTAGAGCAGATATGGCGATCCACTGAACAAAGTGACCAACCGTGTTCTTTCGGCGATCGCCAAGTCACAAATTATTAATGTAAAAACAGCACTAATTCAGCTTTAATTTAATGTAACAAAAAGTGATCCACTAATGAGGATCAAAGCTACGCAATACCAGACAAGGATTATGCAGCAATCAAGGACTCCTTTCTATTCCGGCAATATGAATATAATTTTTGACCTATTTATTGAAGAGGGTCCGCCATCCCTTATGTAAAACAATACTACATTGTAATGAAATTAACAGAAGAGCAAAATTATCGGGATTTTTATTTCCAAAAAATAGTTATTGCCCCATGTTTAAGAAGACTTGCCTTAAAATGATCAAATCTGTTTGTGATCTGGCTATATTATAATTTAGCCGCGTTATAATAGTTTATGCCAACAAAAGCACGTAATGTACAACTTTTCCGTGTCCTAGTTTAATATAAATGAAGTTAGTTTTAAAAGTTCGATAACCTCTATTTTGAGTTATTTTTTAGACTTTTCTGAATATCAACACTTCACATCAGACTTACTGTATTTCCTTATTAAAATGCGTTGATTATTAACATGATGATGCTTTTATTATGAATTACACCTGTTAATAATGATTTTCTCAAATCGAAAATATAATTATAGATTTAACTGCTTTCCAGGTTATATTGGATGATGTAAAAATGCTTGATATCAAACCGGACATTTTCACATTCACGTCGGATAGTTTTGAAAAAATCAAGTCGTACGCTGAACAACTTATTAAATCAGGGGATGCTTATGTGGATGATACAGATGTCGATACAATGAGAGCTGAAAGAGAATCAAGAACTGAATCTAAACATAGAAGTAACAGTAAGTAAAGAATAAAAATGATCTTTAATGGCTTTGGGTTACAAACCCTTAACTTCTTATATATCTGATTAAGGGCATAGCCACGAACAGGATCTGAAATTTCCAACTGCTAAGTTAGTGCGGACAGAGAGCGGGAAAACGTAGGTTTTGAAGATTGCTATTGACAGAATTTTTTTTTGTATGTGGGGGGGGGGGGACCCCCTAACCTCTCGGACTCTCCCTTGATCATCACCTGTAACCCTTGGACGATGCTTGATAACCTTTAATGTTGCACACTAGATAGCGTGGATAAAATGTGTGAAACGTAACTCGATATATAACGTTATGATAGATAGCGAAAGCACTTCATTTCCTCTAGGTGTCGCTAAAAATCAACAAATGTGGGAGGAGATGGTCCAAGGTACTGATTCTGGAAAATTATGCGTACTGCGTGCGAAGATGAATATGGACTCTGATAATGGATGCATGAGAGATCCGACCATATACAGATGTAAACCAGAAAAACATCCGAAAACTGGAAACAAGTACAAGTAAGATCGTCGTGTGGGTCGGTGTGGGATTTATTGTTTCACATTTTTTTTATTGATATTGGAGTTCGACTCATATTTCCAAACGTCGCGGAGCTGAGAGTTTGAGGCAGAGGTGAAGCTTTCATGAAACTTATTCCTTTTTTGAATTTTGTTTAAAGATATCTAGCTTTATGATGCAAGAGATTCAATGACCCTTTGAACTAAATATACATAAAAAAATATACATTTTAATCATATTCTCAAAACAGGTTTTTTAAGTTTCACTCGTTTGGGCTGAATCCCACGATATGCCCAAATTTAAAGTCTGTAGTAAAGATATTTGTGATTGTTTGTCATGCCTATAACTTATTCTGTCTACGTTTTCAGTGTCTACCCCACGTATGACTTTGCATGTCCTATTGTGGACAGTTTGGAAGGAGTTACTCATGCGTTACGTACGACAGAATATCACGACAGAGATGATCAATTTTACTGGTTTATTGATAAATTGGGAATCAGGAAACCTTATATCTGGGAATACAGGTATTTTGATCAATTTTTGGAGATATTGATGAAATATAGGGAATTTATCGATACCATGTATTGTTTTGGCCCTCACAGATGTATTAACCTGATTCAGACGCCCAATCGAGCCCAATTTTGAATACATTTTTATTAATGTCATACGACCCCCAAAATTTACCCAATATACAATAATTATATACCATTGGAAAGGTATTTTAGAGTACTATACGCTAGATGTCACTGGAGGACCGTAAACTAAAACACCTCTTTCAAGAGGTCTCTCGTAACGTCAAAAAATAACAAAAATATTTACACTCTCTCATTCTATCAGCTGTTGGACGTCTACAGCTATTGTAAAGCTGAAATGTAACTATACAGTTGACTGCACATCGGTTTTCTCTTTCATATTATACTAAACGCTTTTCGTTAGCGCGTGTCGTTCAATCGTTTTGGAAATTTTCCGTTTGAGAAGTCACCACATCGAATCAGGCCAGGCTAAGCTTGATAGATCGATCGGTTGTTTGTTTGTGCTTTATCGCGTTGAAAGCTTTTGTGAGTCATAATAAAACATTTATTATGAATCATAAAAGCTTATAATCGTCAGACAAGGAGAATTTGCGAGATAAAACGCCTAACTTTTTTTCGGTGAGGCAGCTGCGATCAAACGACTCGATATTTTTATAACTTCCTGACGTTGTGAGATGTCCACTCTCCTATGTTATGTAGCATATAAAATGACCTTCAAAATAAGACCTTATCATACTAGCTTTTGTTATTGGTTAGCGCGCAACGCCAAGGTTTATGGAATCATTTTCTTGTTGTGCGACGTTTTTATATCGCAGCGGGAAGTACACGCGTGATATGTAAGCGAAATTTTATCACTTCTAAATGTCATGTAAGGTTCATTCTCATATCGTTGTGTGGGGAATAAGATTTCCTTTCAAGCAAGACCATAACAAACATTCCAGACCTCATGGTATACACACAGCATTGCAAAACGTCTGAAACGTCGCGCATGCGTCAAACCGTTAGGATTAGGTTAAATGAATAAATGAAGCATGAAGCTATTTAAAAATAAAATTATTTGTTAGATGCTCGCCTTATTTTGGATATTTACATTTCTTTATTGTTTACATTCTTTATTGATTACACATATTTCCAACATGTTTTTAATTAAAACATATGTTCACCTTACTATCTGTTATATGTAGCTTATTGTTGGCTAGTTGTTTTTGAAATGGGTCACAAGCAGTGTTCCCTCTAAGGTGTGCGCATGTGCTCGCACACACAGCTTTCAGAGGCCGCGCACACGCATAGATTTACTGCGCACAGACGTATTTCTATGTAATGTAACAATGTTCTTGATTGGCAGGTTGAGAAAGTTTGTTGTTGGCCCACCCGTTACCTGGTTGGAACGCCAAAATTTCATAATTGGTTTTTGCACAAATATTAGTCATTTCCAAAAAAAGTGCGCACACGCCAAAATTTCTGCGCTCACATACTACAAAAAATTAGAGGGACCATTGGTCACAAGACCTGACAAATTCTAAACAAGCGGCATGGCTTAACCACTGCATTAGTTAGACCATTGGACTTACTTTGCCTCCTGGGTTAAACATGTTTCATGCGAACCCAGTCCAGCGACCTCACATGGTGTGTCATAGCTCCTTTTATCATATTCTTTTTATACTTCAGTCGATTGAATCTTCAAAACACCGTTCTCAGTAAAAGGAAATTGACGTACATTGTGGATAATGGATATGTGGACGGATGGTGAGCAAATATGTATATAAAAATATAGATAGTCAGTTAGAAACAATATGTGTCTGCCTATTTATTGTTTAGATGCAATTCATGGTTATTATGTACAAGATTTGAATTCTACCTGGGCTGTGGGTATACCTAGTAGTTTGAAGCAAATATCTTTCGGTTATAGGTATATAATTTAACATGACTCTGACTTCAGACTTTGAGTACGTAACAATTTTGCCTCTGTATTGATATCAAATTTTATATTTTGAAAAACTTTGTCTTTTTGTAAGTTTTCTTCTACTGTCTGTTGAAAATGCTTACATTGCTTAGTCAATTTATTTTGCTTGTTGAGTTTCCGCTAGACATTTTAACCGTCATCCCCACTATGAGGATTCAGAATCTTCATTTTAGTCCCAACTCTCGACAGTATGCTAAATATGAATCTGACCAAAATATCAATAAAAACATGCTTTAGTCACCACAACCCCCCGATTTTTTCATTATTACTTATCGATCTTAAGATCGGTAAGTATGTTGATAGGTATTTGTCTGTCTGTTTGTATGTTTGTCTGTTAGATGAACGCGATATCTCACGAAGGCGAGGTTGAATCTGCTCCAAATTTTGCATGCGCATTCTGCATAGCTTGGATCAGAAGCCTATAGATTTTGGATGAATTATGTCGTATAATTAGCGAGTTATTAACTAATTATCGATCTTCGATCGATAAGTCTTCGGTCTCCGACCGATATTCTCGTTCATTTTGTATCGAGTTTAGTTTCCCTAATCAGACATTTTCTTCCTATTTTAAGGGATGACCCTCGATTCCCAACAGTTCGTGGCGTTCTAAGAAGAGGAATGACTGTAGAAGGATTAAAAAGCTTCATCGTTGCATCAAGGGTCTTCCAAATCTGTTTGTTACAATGGATGGGACAAAATGGTCTTTCAATAAAAAGCGTAAAACTTTGTAGTGGTTTTGAAGTTGCAAGCTACTGGATGCAAACAAGTTAGAGATCATTTATTTCAAACTTTGTCAATCGAGCTAGTGATACAAAAAATTTGGGCGCTCCAGAAAGTGTGTTACCAATATGGAGGGTAGACTAATTTGTGTTCGCCTATTTACATCAAGTTGTGTAAAGTTACTGAAACCTATGGGCAGGGGGATACTCACTTGGCTAACACAGACAGTCACCGAACTCGTGATAGAACTAAAATAAGGAAAATCGGAATAAAAGTATGGCCTAACCTCAACCTTAACCTACGGGAGTAAGCCTACTATATATTGTGCTGCATTTTGGCAACGATTTTAAGGAAATCAATGGCTTTTGACTTATTCATTTTGACAAACTGATTGGAAATATTTAATTTCAGTGCCGGCTATTCTATCGATCTGCCAACCTTATAAAGTGGTAATACATTACTTGTCTAAGCCGGAAATACAAAACATGTTACCTATGCAATTGGAACACAATTTTTGATTCCTATTTGTTAGAGCTCTATATTCCGGCCCTGTTTATACTTTATTTTTGGATAATTTTCAAAACCTATATACGTTTTCTTTAGGTCATTGACCCTATTGCACCACGGTTCACTGCACTTGTGAAAGACACTGTTGTAGTTGTCAATATTTCTGATGCGAAAGAAGTCAAAGCAGAAGCAGCGAAACATCCCAAGGTGAGACGATTTGCAATAAAACAAGGAATTATTTCATTGTGCTCTGTAACATTCCCTGATATAATTTAATGTTAGACTTCTTCATAGGTGACACTGTTTGATAACCATTACATGGTTTATATCCATGTTTTATCGCTCTTCCCTCACACTGAAATTCATTTTTTTTACCTTTCCTATTTTTGCATGTAAAAAGGTATTTTTGGCATGTGTAAAATAAACTACTGAATTACCGTGATATTGTGGTCTCAGTTTGGTATTACTAGACACATAGTTATAACGGAAGTGTGATGTGAAAGGGGGTGATGAGCAAAAGCCTTCATTAGTTACCATTGGCAGCATTTGCGATGGTGACATTAATAATATAATAATGATATAGATAAATTAAACTTCGATTTGTTCAATTCTTTGACTATAATGCATTTATTTTTTTATACCTTCATTTTTTGGCTTTTTATCATTGTGAGAAAAAAATAACTGATGGTAACCCTTAAAAAACAAAGCTAAGTATCTTTAACGAAGAGCATGGGGCCATGGAGTGTTGATGTTTAATGACTGACCGCTGTTCTAAATCTATTTTTTATAGCTCAACAAATGAGCCATTTTGCCGAGTGTTAGGAACATGGCTGGTAGTTGTAGTGAGTGATTACTCGTCAGTCATAAGCTGTTTTATGACCTTTGCCCTCTCTGGGACTGGTATGTAAATGGACATGAGTATTGATAGTTTGAGGACCACCGTTCTAAATATTTTCACCATTATGTTCTGGTTTCAGAACCCAGACATTGGTAAGAAGATAGTCTGGTATGGACCGCAAGTTTTGGTTGAAAGAGAGGACGCCGATGCATTTGAGGAGGGAACTGACGTTACTTTTATTAACTGGGGAAACATAAGAATTCAGAAGATCCATAGAGACCAAAAAACTAATCAGGTTGGTATTATTCTGTTTCTGGTTTGCACAAAACACCTGTTTTGGAAGGGCATTGTCTACCCTGATAAAATGAGGTAGAGACTATGTTATTAGGCCTACATTTGACAATGTAATACGAAAAATTCAGGTTTCTAATAACTATCCAAAATAGTAAACAAATGGAAAGCGTTTGCGCAGAATGAACTAAGTTTTTGTGCATAATACCATATTTCGGGCATTTTTTATGCTGGGAAAGACTCAAATATTTTCAATTTTATGCATTCAATATATACTCAATTTTAGCCAGTCTTATTTATTAAGAAGTACATGCACACCCCGATTGTTGGAACACTAGGAAATTTATCATTTTTATTATTTTTATTCCCAGGTGACCAGTATTGATGCCAAGCTCAATCTCGAGAACCGCGATTACAGAAAAACTCAGAAAGTGACATGGTTGACTGACTCCGATGCTGCAGCTCCCATCCCTGTTACTTGCGTACATTTTGAACATATTATTTCGAAACCTGTTCTGGGCAAAGATGATGATTTCAAGAACTTCCTGAACACTGATTCAAAGGTGAGTGGCGCTCCAGAAGTATGGGTACCAATATATGGGGATAACTGATTCTGTTCGCCTACTTTAAATCTAGTTTTAGTTGTGTGAAAGGACTGAAACCTATGGGTATGGGATATATTCACTTGGCCAACATAGACAGTCCCTGAACTCGTAATAGAAATAAAATAAGGTAAATCTGAATAAAATTATGGCCTAACCCTAACCTGGTACACATACTACAGGAGTTCCAGGAAAGATGTCTTTTATGATGAGAGAGTTTCACTCGGAACAAATATCTCGACAATTACCTTTGTACTCAAAACAAGTCTCTTAGCATGGATAGGATTTACATATTCATCCAAAGGGAGAGTAAAGTCGATGAGACGGCTTGATCGTATGGTGAACCACTGTCTCTTGTCTGGTTACTAGTCCATGTCGGGTATAAGATCAGTTGCCAATTATTTGTTTTCAGAAGCATGTACTTGAAAGAGTACAGTTTTACCCTAGTTGTATGAAATATAATATAATAAAAGAAAAACCAACTTTACAGGCCAACAGGAAAACTTCATCTTCGTTCCTTATTATATAAAATGGCAGCATGGCATTTTTTACTCTTACTAAAATCTAGATCTCATTTACAGAAAGAAATTCCCATGCTTGGAGACCCATCTTTAGCCGACCTCAAGGAAGGTGACATCATACAGCTGCAAAGGAAAGGATTCTATAGATGTGACGTGGCTTATGTATCACCAAGGTGCTTATTAAATGTGTTTTTGAATTTTCAAATTTTGTAAATCATTTGTTTTTCTCAGAGTGGGTTCAGAATAGACTGGGCCAAAATGAATCAGATCATCTACCACATTTGGAATTAGTTATATACGATCGATATAGTACCTTCTTTATTTTAAGAATAATCCAGAAGTTTCCTGTGAAAATTTTATGTTTAGATCAACATACTATCAATGAAGTAATCGTTGTTAAAGATTCTGATTTTAAATCCCATGTCATTAACCATGCCTAGGGTGTATTAAATTGGCAATACCAAACTAGAAACATGTTTCTTTCCTTCAAAAAATATTACCATTACATAAATGTGCTTTTTTTGCTTATGTAAATTTTAATAACGTTTCAATAGTAACATTTCGATCATTCAAAAGTGAAATATGGTATCTATAAGTGTATATAACTATATTTCCCAACTACTTGAATACTCAACTTCAAGTACTCTTGAGGGGAGAAGGGGACTGTTATATTATATCGTATCGTTAAACTTTCACTGCAGTCTATATATCTGCCATCAGATCATGTCAGCACTTGATGTGTTGGCTTATTTGTATACAGGTTTGCTGTGTGTTTAGAAAAGTACAGTTTCTGATAACAAAGCAGCCAGATTGTCTTTGCTAGTGGTTCTGTAGTTTTTTTAATAGTGCAGTCTGGATGAAAATCTAATTTTCATATTTTAATTTCCAGTATTCACACGTCAGTATCGGCACCATGTGTATTATTCCACATACCGGATGGACACACAAAAGAAATGCCGACGTCCGGTGTCAAAGATGCCAAGAAATCTAAAGCCACTGGGGGTTCTTCATCTAGCAGTGGGAAAGGCTCAAAAAAACAACAAGGTTGGTTGTTAAATGCTTGCTAGTAGAGTATGTTGGCCTAGGGCAGGGCTACTCAACTGGCGGATCGAAGTCCAAATCCGGATCTTCAGAGTATTTGCGCATTCTTTATTTCGGATCATTGGCTCTACTTTGGATATGCGAAGGTTTCTATTTATATTCTGTATGACTTTTATATTTTTAAAGGTTATTTTATAATTTGCTCATATTTGCACCTGACAATATATTAAAAGAACTGTACTGCCAAGGATGTCGAAATATAGTTTCTGTAAAGACCGAACCCAAGTAATCTTGAAGTTTTGTTCACAGATCTTTTGTAAAAATAGTTGAGATTGTGATTTCCGGTTAGAGGGTCCATAGTTAGATTTTAAGGGATTTGTGAGCTTCATTAGAGTAAAAATAAATAGTAAAAGCGGTATCTTTAAAAGTATTCTTCACCAGGGTAGCGGGGACTGAGTCTCAAGTGGAGTTTGGGGCATGTTTTCACTTGAGTCGTGTTCATATTTCAGCAAGATATTATTTTTATTGTAAAATTCATTAGAAAATTGAATTAGCTGATTTAGCGGGATTTATGTCAAATTCCAAATTTGGATTCTATATCAAATCTAGTCACAAGACGGGGCTCCCGAAGTATGCAAACCAAGATGGCGGACATCGGAATGTAATATGTGTACTAGGTTAGGGTTAGGCCATAATTTTAGGTATAAATACTACGGGAGGCTCTTGGCTAGTCTTCGAACTAAAATAAGGAAGATTGGAAAAAAATTATCGTCTAACCCTAACCTGTTACCCATGTTACGTTCCGATGTCCGCCATCTTGGTTCGCATACTTCAGGAGCACCCACAAGACAATACGATACAATATAGACTTCAATTTAAAATTGTATTTTAATGTTTGATTCATTTATACAATCCTAATACTATAACAAGTAACAACAAAGACATTTCAAATATTTGCTTTCTTGCAGCAAAGCAAGATTCATCGTCAGGAGACAGTGCTGCGTCTTCTGATTCTCCTGAAGCTCAGAAACTATACGAGGAAGTTACGAAGCAAGGATCTGTTGTCAGAGATTTAAAAACAAAGAAAGCTGAAAAGGTAGGAAAAGTAGTTATTTAAGAATCTTGCTATACACTAACAAAAAAATTTGGGGCTGGAATAATATCTCCACCCTCAATTTAAATACCAGAGTGTAGAATATTATTCAAAGTAAAAACTACCGGTAGATATTACAGAGTGCTGTGTTTACTTCATGAACCATGAAGACAGCGCTTCAGAAGTATTGTGTACCAATGTGGAGGTAACTAATTTTGTTCGCCTATTTTACATCAAGTTGTATAAAGGGACTGAAACCTATGGGCAGGGATATATTCACTTGGCTAACACAGACAGTCCCCGAACTCGTAATAGAACTAAAATAAGGAAAATCTGGATAAAATTATGGCCTAACCTTAACCTGGTACACACACTACGAGAGTGCCATAAAAACAGATACCTTGTATGCGCTAGGGGTGGGCCAGAGCAAGATATCAAAGGTCATTGAAGCACTGAATTAAATTATTAATGTAAAATAACCAAATATCACTACAGGAGCCAACAAACTATATATGCTATCAATAAATTCCCTTTGCGTTTCAAAAATTTGAATACTTTATGAACGCCCTACAATATCCATATTTGCATAAACTAGTGATAACTCTTTTATATTTAATAAAAAAGGAATAACTTCATGATCAATGAAAGGCCACAAAGAATGGACAGATAATACCCCTGCAATACATATTTTGATTTCTTTCTAAAAAATTCATCCTGCTTGCTACAATTCCAAATTTATTATAAAATCAATTCTCAATATATTTTAATCATGTTGGTTTTACGCTAATCAGTGTTTATTCAAGTTTTTTTTACCTCATTCAAAAATAGACCTCTATATGCCCACTATAAGTTGAGAAAGCACATTAAAGTTCTTTACCCAATTCAATATAGCATTTTCTGAACCCCCTTTATTTTTATTACATTAACATTTAGGCAATTATCCAACTAACATCAGAATTGCCCAGCAAAGGAAATTCAGCTATTCTAATTCTTCAACAGCCGAACTCTAAAATTTTTGTTTGGTCCATACAAGGCCAAATACTTCCTGGCCGATGAAATGCCACAGGGAATAAACAAATGGGACCTTGTATAATACATATTAAATATGATACAAAAATCGTCAATTCATAAACTTGCTAAGTTAAATCCACCAATTGTCGCTAAAATTGCCTTTAATCATACGTCACTGTATAGTTTATTTATTCCAATGACTTATTACCGGTATTGCCTAAGGCATAATAGTAACACACGTGTCACTGGTATAGTAAACACAAGTTTGATAAGTTTATTGACAAATGCTATTTTAGAACCTTTCCTATAGTTACTGTTTACGTTTTAATACTTGATCTCAATGAGTCAAGCAAAAGGTTAGTAATGTGTTTCAAAATGGTCCAAATGGATATTTTTTTTTCTTGTATTTTGTAGAGAGAATTGAAGTTTATTGAAATTTTTTTTCCAAATTATATAGAATTGAATAGTTGCTTATCAATAAGGCAAGGTATATTGCAAAATGGTTTAATATTATTTATTAATAAGTGAGATGTGTTAATAGTTAGTAGAGTGTAAACAGGGTGGCTATTTGATCTTTCCAATCATAAATTTATGGCTCATTTATGTCATTCACTAGCGTGATGCAATGATGGGCAATGTAGCGTGATCTATTTTTATGAATGAAGTTATTTTACTCAGTTGAGTCTGTTTTTGTAGAAAATTTCTGAATAACTAAACCTTTTAAAACTGTTATCTTATATTTGTATAGTCATTGCTGTAAATATTTAAATTATGTTGAGAATGAAGTAATCCTAATGCAAGAATGAAAAATTGTTACTTTATTATTTCATAAATACTAGAGATATAAAGAGTTTGGTTTCAAAAGTTTTCATAAAGTTTAATTGAAAATGATGCAATTTTCGAAAAATAAACAATTACTCACAGATTGATGGTCATTTTTTATAAAGTTAATTTACTTGAATAAGATTTCTGATGTTTGTCTTATTTTTAGAAAAATTCTGATGCAATAATGTTCTACATTTGTTATTATCAGTGTTTGTACCTTGTTGTAATTCAAATCTGCCATGATGCAATACTTAAGTTTTACTGGGGGTTGTATCTGTGATGGGTTTAGGTTGCAATGTCCTATATTTTTGTATATAAAAGTACTATGATTGTTTGAGATTGTAGCCAGATCAGAATAGTATTTCGCTAAATAGGAGACTTGAATGGATAGATCCATCAGTATTAAAAGTGAATTACAATACTTGCCTTTAGATTATGTGTATACCTTTCGTTAGGTGACCGTACATTTGAACCCATGTGTATATCCGCTGGTTCAATCTATATGCGGGTGCTAAAACCCATGGGTTATGGTTAGTATGGGTTCAAATATCCGCAAAACAAAAAAATTTCCATAGGTTCAATAGTATTCAGGTTCAAATGTACGTGGGTTCAAATTTAATGGAACCCTTTCGTTATATTAGATCAGAAATTTTTTTTTGTTATAAGCGCTACTATAAAAGTATAATTGTTTGAGACTGTAGTCAGAATATTAGAAACCTTTATACTAAGCTCCCAAACCTCTAGAAATTACGAATGACTTTAGTTTTTGTAGAGGTGCAGAGAATTACCTAGGTGCAGTCAGAGGTCTAACAATACTGTAGTATTTACCGGTAATCAATTGTTGCATTATTTAAGTCATTCGTATAATATGGACATGTTTCCAGCTAAATTAAATGTATAGGAACAAGTGGTATCCATTAGGAATGGGAACTGCAGCAGTAGACTTCACCCTATTGTACGGTATGCGCTATAGGTTTTATCTAGCTAAGTTAAATTCCTTTCGTTTGCCTATTTATGTTTCCATCAGTTATTTTGCGAGCCATGTTTGATAAATAGGTAGGCAAAATGAAGAATAGAACACATCATCATTGTTCTGACTATTTGGAATAATATTCCCTTTTTATTATTCAAATTGTTGATCCCAACAAATTCTACATTTTCTATCACCGATTTTAACTAAACAAGGAGCTATGATGAAATTGATCGCCATCCTATGATTTGATGATTATTATGATCTGGGCTTGGCTGAGCTCTTCTACCTATTAATAACGAAATTTACAAATAAAGTGTGGTGTGTGGCGCATCATGCTAAGTGTTAGGAATACGCTCGCCATCGCCTGTATGGTTTTGCAGGTTCAAATCCTGTGGAGATAATTATGTGCAACAGGATTGCTGGACCTCGCCACAGTGAGGTGGTTCCCGTGACCGCTGGACGGTTATGGCTTCCTCTAACATCAAGTCTTTATATCTGAATTCTAAATACCTGGCTAACTAACTAATCCTATACCAGACATGGACTGGTAACTGCGGGAGAGATCGTGGTTCACCAAGTAAATCATCACCAAATCTTTGCAATATATTTCAACTCAGCAAATCCTGAGGACTCGAAAAGTTTTTAGTTTTGTTTTCCTAAGTTGGCAAATACTAGAATATGCCTCCCAAAAGATCAGTGTAGTTGGTTGATATAGTCCTGTTGGATGTTGTTGTTTTTTTGTTTATTATTTCTGATGTTTGTAATTATTACTTGAGATTAGTATATAAACAATAAATATAACCAATGTAATAATTGGTGGACTACATTTTTAATAATTACTAGTCTTTGGTGATTGTTCATTGTGAATGTAAACAAATTGTGGACATTATTTGTAACTGGCAAGCTTGTAGTATCTCAGCCATTTATTTGGCTTCAAGCTAAATATTCATCGTTTTCGTATGTTTTGATTAATCTAGTTCAAGCTAAGGCTATATGAAGGCTGGGTTCATATACGGTATTATTGGTTGGGGAACGTATTTAAATGAGAATTCATTTTAAGAATTATTGTGGTTAAAATTTAATCCACAGTTAGGAGTTTTTATTATTTGGTGATTCTGATCTAAATTTAAATTTTATCTCATTCATTCATATTTTTCAGTCTAAAGTAGACGAAGCTGTTAAAACACTTCTGGATTTAAAAACAAAATACAAAGCAGCATCTGGAAAAGATTACAAACCAACACCAGCTGGGGGTCAAACAAAATCTGCTGACCCTAAAAAATTATCTAAAGTCGGGGAGGAATTGTTTAAAAAAGTTGAAAAACAAGGAGAGGAAGTGAGGAAATTGAAATCTGCGAAAGCATCAAAAGTGAGTAATTTTGCAATTTAATTTTCATTTGGCCCGCAGGGCTTACTTTGCCTATGTCTAAACCCTTGACGATTAGGCCTTCATAATCTAAATCTTGAATTCAGTTATGTTCTAGGATTCCTACTACGATTCCCTCTTGATTTAATACAGAGCTATGATGAAACCGATCGCCATCCTATGATTTGAATGATTATTATGATCTGGGCTTGGCTGAGCTCTTTCACTTATTAATTAACTAAATAGGTAATAAATTTACAGTGGAATTCATTGTTTACTATTTCAATATAAAAACGATAAAAAAATAAAAAAGTCAAATTTTTAATAATATTTAGCAGACTGGCAAAAATTTATTTGGACAAATATCAGTCGCAGTGATGTTTTTATGTATTCTTTTGTTAAGAAATTTTACCCAAATCAAGGCCACTTATTCAGAAGTAAATAAAACTCATCTAAGCATAGTTTTGGCACACCGCTGAAGTGCCAAGAGATATTGAAACTATAGGAAGCTGTTCAAGACAATATACAATTATGAAGCAGTAAATATCGCATAACAGAAGCTTCTGAAAAAAAAAAACTGTTTAAGAATTCTAAAAAATTTATTTCATTTTACTATTGGGAGTTGACCTCGATGGCCGCAGGGTCGTATCGCTCCTCCACACCAAAGCAATTTTATTTCTCTTACATTGTTTTCGTATTGATGACTGTATTTTGGTTGACAAAATATTAAATATCTCTCTCTCTCTCTCAGGATCAAATCGACAGCGCTGTAAAACTACTTCTAAGTTTGAAAGCTGATTATAAAAAAGAAACCGGAATTGATTATAAACCTGCTGCATCCACTGCTCAACCTGCTATGAATAAGAAGCAAGAGGTTGGATATTTATTTTGTATTGTAGTATTATTTTTGTACAGTATTTTGGCACAGCGGAATTTAGAACCTTTTCTTTGACTTTATCTACATTGTAAAATTATTCATTTTTATGACTTTTTTACACTTCTATTCCAAACACGGATAGGATATTTCACGCAACAAAATATAAATATCTGCTGCAAAAGTCAGCCTTTACGAGTGGCAAAATCGCGGTGACTGTTGCGGAGGCTGCTGTATGGAAATTTCGAGATTTCTGATTTCGAAACCTCTTGAAAATCCTGGTCACGTCACTGATACCGCAGATGCCCGCACCCAGACCTAACAAAAGATTTGATTTGATAGTTTTTCAAATTCAATCTGATAGTTGAATAATCTTTATTTGTGGACTCAGCAGCTATCTAAGATTCATGGATAGACCACCCCTGTTGATGTGACATTTTATTGTACAAGTGTCCCTAAAGTCTCTTTATAATTTCAATTTTGTTATGAAGTCAGTTCTCAATATATCTTAATCAGGTTTGCTGTTTTTTAATCAGTAATTGTTCAGGTATTTTTACTTCAGGTAATAAATCTGTGAGGGCCAAAACAATATATGATATGGTATCGATAAATTCCCTTTGCGATTTTAAAATATTTTTCATTAACATTCTTATATGTTTTTCCTCAGTAAATGCGTTGATATTTTAACCTGATTAATTTTTACAAAATATTTTTCTATTTCCAGGCACAAAAACCTGAACCAATGGCAGAGACAGCAGAATCTCAAGCAATCGTCGATAAGATCACGTCACAAGGTGACAAAGTTCGTCAACTTAAATCGAGCAAAGCAGCTAAGGGTGAAGTTGATGCAGCTGTAAAAGTAAGTCTCCAATGTGATTGTTACTCTTCGATTTTAATCAGTAAATATGTTGATAGGTATTTGTCTGTCTGTTTGTTTGTTTGTCTGTTAGATGCAAGCGATATCTCACGAAAGCGAGATTGAATCTGCTGCAGATTTTGCATGTGCATTCATCATAATCTATTGATTTTGGATGAATTATGTCGTATAATTAGCGAGTTATTAATTAATTAGTGATGGGACACAAGGTGTCACTATGGAGTAAGAGCGCTGTTTTGGGGGATCCCCTAACTTTCGATCGATAAGTCTTCGGTCTCTGACCGATATTTTCGTCTTAATAATGGTTATCTGGAAAAAGTTCATTGAATAAGATGAGAAGGGCATGATAGCCTATTGTAGGGCTTCTCAAATACTTTTATCAAAGATCCGTAAATAAAACTTCAAATTATTGGGGTCTGGTCTTCCCATAAATTATATTTCAACATCCTTAAACGCGTACTTCCTTGCTCGGCTAATGATTATTTGTTAATCAAGATGCCGCTATTTGCATTGTTTATCATACCGTTATAGTGCGTCCCATATATAGGCAGGTGCAAATATATGCAAATGATAAAATACCCTTCTACTTGACTGTGTCGGCATCACATTTTACACATCTCGGATTCATATCCCATGCCTGCCACCTCACACACAATGTAATAAATTAGGTGAGCAATACTAACCAGAAATATTTCCGTTCCTTCAAGAATAATACCTCCAGGCATATAGTTAGATATCAGTGGTATGCCTTATTTGAAGCATAAGAAAAATTGGTAGCTGTCTGGTCTAAAATGTAAAAAACTTTGGTTTCTCGTCCAAAAGTTTTTTATTGTCGAAATTTTTTTTCAATGGCTTTGAAACAATCCCTCTTCCCGCCTTTGCGGGTCTTCATTGTACGTAGAACTCATTGTTCAATTTAATAATAAATCCTGGATTCAATTATATTTTATTAAGATTTCCATTACGATTACTGTAACAAATTAATACAGAGCTATGATGAAACTGATCGCCATCCTATGATTTGAATGATTATTATGATCTGGGCTTGGCTGAGCTCTACTAACTAAACAAAACTTACAAATACTGAAAAGAATACTAATCAAAACAAGGTTTACCTCAATTTATTCTACATAGCCAAATTTGAATTCTACGAATTACAATAGTCTTGAAGATTTTTCTTGAGGAACAGACTCATTTCAGAATATTTTCAATATTTTATAAGTGAGAAGAATATTTCGGAATGTATTCGGAATATTGAATTTTTCGATTTTGGCCCTGCTGATAACAGCAAACATCTTTTCAAATTTGTTTTCTGCAGATTCTTCTCGCTGCCAAAGCGGAATATAAGACACTCACAGGTCGAGATTACAAACCTGCTGCTGGGGGAGGAGCTCGGGGTGACGGGAAGAAAAAAGAACAGAAAACTCCGCAAAAGAAAGAAGAAAAGAAACCAACAAAACAGGAACCAAAACAAGATGATGCTGAGAGCGGAGTCAAGAAACAAACAAGGTACAATAACTTAGTCTTATGTTGCTGTGAGCAAAGCAATCATGAAGCAATCATGAAACTGCTATATTTTGGAGGATTTTGAGATTTTCAACCCGCAAGGCCAATGTGGTAGATTAGTATTGTTTTGGCATAATTGGGTAGGCAATTCTGAGCCAGAGAGAGATTTTGGTCCCTTTCATAAATAGTGGCATCTGACAACTGGTGCCTTGCTCAACAGTGAAGGCATAAAAATGTCATAAAAAGCCCATGCGACCCTAACTTACTATAGTTAGCTTGCAAACATTTTTTCTTCTGTTTTACAACTTGACCAATAATACAGAGCTATGATGATAAAGGTCGCCATCCTATGATTTCTGATTAATGTGACTTGGGCTTGTCTGAGCTCTGGTTTCCAAAGAAATTTGAATATGTTTTTGTATTCATCGTTTTTATATTCATCTGGGAGAAAAGGGAATGCAATTTATTAAGACTGATCTGTTTATAGTTTGTTCTAACCGTTTTCTATTATACTCCCAAGTGTGGCAATTTTCAATAACCAGAATTGGCCTTTGCATCTCCCTTCTACCTTGGAATGCAATTTTTTAAGTTTATTTTACATTCTCAATATGATATCAGCATGACTGCAACTGAAAAATTGTTTTATTCGTTTGATTTTAGATTGTTTTCTTGTCTGATAGTTCATCGTTTATAGACTGCCATATTAAGATTTGAAGTTTACAAAAAATGATATTTAAAAGAAAGGAACATTAGCCAGTTAGAAAATTGATCTTTCGCGAGAAATTCTGATGAATTTTATATATGTTGTTACTCCTACTGATTATCGTAGTCTATGACCTCTTCAACCTCATATTTTCAGACTTGGTCTAGAAGCAACTAAATCAGGCGATCTCGCAGACTGGTATTCTCAAGTCATCACAAAATCAGAGATGATTGAATATTATGATATCAGTGGCTGCTACATTCTACGTCCTTGGTCATATGGAATATGGGAGAGAATTAAGGTGGGTGAATCTATTTACTGCTTGCTTGGAGCCGGATTTGGAGTGAAGCTGTGTCAATGTCTCATAAAAAAAGTGTGTGTGCCAATATGGAGGTAACTAATTTTGTTCGCCTACCTTACATCAAGTTGTGTAAATGGACTGAAACCTATGGGCAGGGGGTGTCAATGACTCGTAAAAATGTGTGCAAATGTACCTATGATATAGAACAGCGGATTTGTCCAAAGGGGGCCATAGAGCATTCGAAGGGGGGGGGGGGGGCACAATGTTTCACACATTGATTTTCATTTTTCCTGTTTACAAGAAAACTCCCCGTTCTTCCAACTTTCATCGCTTGATAAAGATATTTCACAGGTTGTTTTCACTCGTTGAGCAGGATTTGTTTTAACATAATGAGATTTGGAATCTACCAATCAAAATAAAACTATAAATACTACTGAAATGACAAACAGGGGGGCCATGAGTGCTAAAATCCTCGGAGAGGAGGCCACGAGCCATAAAAGGTGCAACCACTGATTTATAAGGTTCTCTTGTGATTCAATCACGTTGTCTCATTATAAAAATGTCAATGTCGAATGGATGGCATCCATATTTATTTGGAAAGGGCTGGAGTGAAATGCTAGATTTTTCATGTGTTTCAATGACTTTTATGAGGCATTTTTTTGAACCATGACTATGAATAAAGCTCTATGTACACTGTCACTGATACATAAACGAATCCTTTTTTGAGGACTAGAATATTACTGGTTCAAAATTCCCTACGCATTTCATTTCTCCCTAAGGATCTGAATTTTGAACTAAGGATCTTTGAGACACCAACATAATTGAATCCAATGCTCTTTGTTATTGATGGCTTGTCTTTTGTTGACCAAATTTTCAAAGAAAAATCTCCACAAATTTTCCATTTACTCAATATTATACTATGTTTTGCAGCATTTTTTCGACACTGAAATCAAGAAGTTGGGAGTTGAAAATTGTTATTTTCCAATATTTGTTTCACAAGCTGCTTTGGAAAGAGAAAAGGAACATATCGCAGATTTTGCTCCCGAGGTTGGTTTATAGATTGTGTGTTATTTCTCGAATACACTTGGATATGAGTGTCTCATCAGTCTCGATATAAACGTGTATAACCTTAAAAATTGCGTTTTGCAAGCAAAGCAATATTTTTTCCAAATCTTCTTCAGCAATAATTCAGAGCGATGATGATAGAGGTCGCCATCCTATGATCTCTGATTAATGTGACTTGGGCTTGTCTGAGCTCTGTTATATTGAGAATTAAAGAATATATAGCGTACATTTATTGGTACCGCTGTAGTATGTGAACCAAGCTGGCGGACACCGGAACGTATGTGTGTACCAGGTTGGGGTTATGCCATAATTTTATTCCCTATTTTAGTTCTATTACGAGCTCGGGGACTAGCCAAGTGACTTTCATAGTATTTCATTTGTATCTGAAATTATGGCCTAACCCTAACCTAGTATACATACTACGTTCCGTTGTCCGCCATCTTGGTTTACATACTACAAGATTAAGCGTTCTCATATTTTACATTGATGAGTTAGTTTTAGGTTGACTCATACTTAGTAATAGTGCAATTTGTTTATTACAAGAACTTTCAAAGCTAAAAGGGCAATTATCTAAATGATTAAATTCTAATTCATTTTGTTAGGGCTTTTCGAAGCTGGTTTTTCAAGCAATATTAAAATATATTGTTTTTAGTGGCAATTTATTGTGATACTGTTCAAAAATTTTTTTCATGTTGGTACGTCAAAAAAATGTTCCCACTGATAGCTCTTCCTAGACATATTTTTTATCTTAACCCCATAGTTTGGCCATCCGGAGAAGTGCGTTTGAATCGCATAATTCATCTTTTTTTCAGGTTGCCTGGGTAACAAAATCTGGCCAATCAGAACTCGCCGAGCCAATCGCAATTCGTCCTACCTCTGAGACTGTGATGTATCCGGCATATGCTCGATGGGTACAGTCACACAGAGATCTTCCTCTGAGATATAATCAATGGTGCAATGTTGTGGTAGGTGTTTGTGTTTTCAGATTGATTGGGCCATACAGAGTGTTATTAACCATTTAAAAATTTTATTACACTTGTATAAATAAATCACAATCTTATCGGATTGCTGTTAGCCAGCCATTATTTACCGTTAGTATGTATTGATTCAGACAGTTTAGGGAGTTTTATTTCATCAAAGGAAACATTATTCTTTCTCGTTGGTTAGGCACATACATTGAAACGGCATAAGATGGGGTTACGTCAAAAAAAAGAAATTTACAAACGGGGTTCCGCAGCCCAAAAAGTTAGGAAAACCCTGTTATACATTATAGAAACAGACAGAGACATGCGAACATGAATTTTCAAAGTTATCAGCTGTGCGTTGACGAATCCTTGACTTGATAAAACATGATCCTATTTTTTTTATAAAAGTTTGCTTAACAAGTTTCTGTTTTACTTCACAGAGATGGGAGTTTAAACATCCACAACCATTCTTAAGAACAAGAGAATTCTTATGGCAGGAGGGTCACAGTGCATTCGCTACTAAACCAGAAGCTGAGGAAGAGGTTTGTGTTGTAATAATATGTTTTTGAATGATGGGATTCCAATACAAGTTTAAAGACTTATTCAGATTCTCTGTATGCGAGATTGCTTTTCACTATAAGCAGCCATATCTTTTTGATTTTGTCTCCCGCAATAGTTGGTGGTACTTTATAAACAAGGATAAAAGAATCATTAAGGATGTCTGGAATTCATGACGACCTAGAAGAAATGGTGCGCATGAACTGTTCAGTGAAGAAATTTACTCCAAAGCGGTGTTGAGTAGTAGTTCCTAAACTCTAAAATCATATAGTGTGTCCATAAAATCTTAATTTTTTTTAAAATTGCAAAGGGAATTAATTCAGTGATACCATATATTGTTTTGGTCCTCACAGATGTATTAAATAAAGTAAAAATACTTGAACAATTACTGATTAAAAATTAACAAACCTGGTTAAGATATATTGAGAACTGACTTCATATTGAAATTGTAAAGGGACTTTATAACACTCTGCAATATTTATCGTTCACATTCGCAGGTTCTTCAGATTCTTGAATTATACGCCCAAGTATATGAAGACTATCTTGCGATTCCTGTTGTGAAAGGAAGAAAAACAAACAAAGAGAAATTCGCTGGAGGTGACTATACAACACATGTGAAGCTTATGTGTCAACTAATGGAAGAGCTATTCAGGTGAAATCTTCAGTCTTTGTTTAAAGAATTGTACACCATGGTCAACAAAGGATGGTCCTGTCGTTTTTGAGTGAATTTGGTCAAGTAAGATCAAAAGCTACCCACTCAAACGTGTAGGGAATTGGTTGATGTCACAGGTTGGTGAAAGGAATATCAAGATCTTTTGCTGGTCAACATAGTGAGGCAGATAGTCCATGATATTTTTTGAGAATATTCAAGCCTTCGCCCAGTAACTTTCCTACACCCCCTTAAAATTTCGAATACAATAATTTTGATATGTGACAAACACCTTTTAATTTGCAACTTGAAATAATTGTGTTTGAATATCTACATCTTAGCATATATACTGGTGCAGATGGCCAACCGAATAAATGACACATTTGTAGAAATAGTTTTATCCCCCTCATTGGAAACGCTCCTCCCCCCACTCCCTAAAATGAAAAGCTGGGGAGCATACTGCAAACTTTGCCATTCTTTCTAAGATTATAACAAGTGAAAGTCAATCAGTTTGCAGTCTCAAAATTATGCAATGTCCCATGCTGTGCAATATTTTCAATTGAGTTATTAAATTTCTTTTTTTGTGGAAAGCGATAAAATCGCGTAGTCAATATGGCATAGCATATGTTAATTTAAAATTAAAATAAAATTTGTTTTCAGGGTGCTACTTCACATCATCTCGGCCAAAACTTCTCAAAAATGTTTGATATCAGCTTTGAAGATCCAGTCAAGGTAGATTGGGATTTATTACTCATTTAATTCAGCTTTCGGTATTAGGCGTGAAGCATATAGATAGGACTCTTTACAAGTTCCAGTTTATACATATTATAAATTTTTCTTTTTGGGCGTTTTCTTCGATACAACGAAATTTAAATTTGTGTTTCTTTGAAAAATGTAGCTTGTTACTTATCAATATCTTAGAGCATTGTGAAAGTGTGAAAACGCTTCATAAGACAACAGATCTCTAGTAATATAAAAATTAGGTAAAAACTCCTGTACTAGAATGTAAGAGCAATGATGAAACATATCGCCATCCTATGAGCTTCTTTGATTTATGCGATATGGGCTTAACTGAGCTCTAGTTAGGCCTATTTCAACTTCACAAGAAATATTATTTGCTTGAAAACGTAGTAGCATCAGTAGCTCCCAATTCATATATATCTGCTGCTTGCAAAGAGCAATGTTCATTGAAAACAAGCACCGGTATGAGACATCAAAATCTGATTTTCAACCAACTCAGTTAAAGTTTTAAATTGACCAGTGTTTACATGAACCACCCTACACGAAAATGATCTTCCAGCATTCCTCTTGCATGTGATTATCTTCCACAAGATTAGAACCATGTAGGGTTCCTTGAGGTGAGATGGCAAGCATGTTGAGCATGATGCGCTTTGAGACAGCACACCACGCCAATCAAGATTTTCCACCCTACTTATCAATTTGAGTAAACTTATGTCATCAAGCTTAAAACTGTTTTTGTCAGGTTGGAGAGAAAGAATTTGCTTATCAAAATTCATGGGGATTAACAACAAGAACAATAGGCGTCATGGTGATGGTGCATGGCGATGATAAAGGCCTTGTGCTGCCACCTAGAGTTGCAAATATACAGGTAGGAAAGAATATTTTTGCCATGATGTATATTGTATCATTTTAATTTCTGAATCTATTATCATCAATGTTATCATGGTTACCTGATAATAGTTAAATTGTCACAAACCATTTCTTTGTGAATGTGGCTGTGACCCAAAAAATTACGAAAAGAAAGGAAGAAAACTTCTCAATCCATTGTATAAAGAATTTATATAGTTTTAGTAGCGCTTGGCGTTTACGCAAATGCCTGTATCTTTGCCTAGAGTTTGTCTCCTTCCAAGTGAGTGCGGGTGACCTCGCCTTGCTTTGGTCAATTTCTTTTCAAAGTTTTCAGAATACAAATTTCATTCTTGATTTTCATTGTACAGGTTGTTATTGTACCCTGTGGTGTCACCGCAACTTTAGCTGACTCAGCACGACAAGCTTTGTTCGACAAATGTTCGGATTATGTGAAAATATTGATTTCTGCAGATGTCAGAGCTAAAGCTGATATCAGAGATAATTATTCTCCTGGATGGAAATTTAATCACTGGGAATTGAAGGTTTGATATTACATTTTGAATATATTTTGTTGGTACCACAAGCTAATAATCCCAGGTTCAAACCGTCTATGTTAGCTTCTTCACTCGGTGTAATAGGTTAGATAGGCAATTCGAATTTGTGGAAATTCTGGCTGTTCCAGAATTAATAGCTTCTTGTATAGTTGATGGATACTTGAATAACCTTGCATAAAGTATCAGAAAGCAAAATTTAGATTTATTTACACTTCAAGATTTATGTGAATTGAGCCATAGCCCTTGAGCTGGAAGGCCCTTCGTTATCAACACAAAGAAAGCTATGCTCAAATATATTGACACGAAACAGCCTTCTAGAGAAAAATACAATCTTCAACCACTGAAAATTTTTAAAGCAGTCGGTCCAGTAGTTTAAGAGAAAAGTGATTTTGTTTTATAATACAAGGGAAAATAGCAAGAAGAACAGAATAACAAAACAATTCATAGGTCCACTTTGTGTCCAATTATATGGTCCAACATGTTGACCACTAGTCGAATTATGCTCAAATTTTGCGTAATATTCTGTAATGCGACATGCGACAGACTGTTGCTGTTGGAGTCATCAAGGAAACTACCAAAAAGGCCAGGAATGTGAAAGAAACCAAGGCAGCAGCTAACGCCAATAAATAAACAGGAGCAAAGCAGTGACTGGAAGCATCTGGCGCCCACCAACAGCCTAAACCTAAAAAATTACCAATATATTATATATAATATAGTATCAATATATCAGTACACCATTAAATTTATGCTTCTTTCCAGGGTGTGCCAATCAGAATAGAGGTTGGACCTCGAGATATGAAGCAAGGAGTGTTTGTTCTGGCTCGTCGTGACACCGGTGAGAAAACAACTGCCAAGGAATCAGATTTAGCTGCCACTGTCAAGACAATGTTGGAAACAATTCAGACTAGCATGAAGGTAAAGAACATTAAGATAAGAGTAAATACTTGCCTTTGGGGAAATAATGTCGATAAGAACAGCTAGACTAAATAATATGGCAGAATTACATGGATTTTCTTGCTTTTTCATATATTTCCCTGGAAAGAAGAAACTAATTAAGATGGCAAACTATGGCCTGGTCTCTTATCCAACAACCTAGGCTGGCCCGCAATGCTTTTACACATATTATCACCCATACAGGGTAATTAGCGGTGCGATGACGAGTGTGTTACGAACGCTTTGCACGATGAGCTAACAGCTTGAACCCATATTGTTCACAATACAATAATGAATTGCCTCAAATATATACATAATAAATACAATAATAATTTATCACTATTTAGTCAGGTTCAGAAGGCAATCGAACTAATGTAGAAAATTTATGATTGAATTCTAATACCTCGCATAAAACAGATCTTCCTATTTCAGGCAAAAGCATCAAAAGAACTGGAAGAGAACATGGTTGTTGCTGATACTTGGGATGAATTTTTAAAGCATTTGGACAATAAGAAGGTTTGTTTTATTAAATCTGATAAAATGTGACATGTATTAGATATTTGAATAGATGAGGAAATAAGCCATGGTATTTAAGAGGTTACAAGAACGAAAATTCATAACAACAACATCACATCCAAATTGTGATATGGAATATAAATTCACAATTCAAGGCTTTATTTCCGAATGTTTTTATACTACGATATTTATATTTTTTGATGTTTCATTCAGATTATCCAAGCTCCTTTCTGTGGGGAAGATGAATGGGAAGATTGGATCAAGAAAAACAGTGCAAGGTAAGTTTGCAATTTTTTGGCGTAAGTATTTGTCAGCCCTCCAGAGGTGTGTGTATGGTGACCGTACGTTTGAACCCATGCGTATATCCACGGGTTCAATCTATATGCGGGTGCTAAAACCCATGGGTTAGGGTTAGTATGGGTTTAACTATCCGTGAAACAAAAAAAATTCCATTGGTGCAATAGCAATTTTTTGGCATAAGTATTTGTCAGCCCTCCAGAGGTGTGTGTATCGATATGGAGGTAATTAATTTTGTTCGCCTATTTTACATTAAGTTGTATACAGGGATTGAAGCCTATGGGCAGGGGGATATTCACTCAGCTAACACGGGCAGTCCCCGAACTCGTAATAGAGCCAAATTAAGGAAAAAAGAAATAAAATTATGGCCTAACCCTAACCTGGTACACATACTACGGGAGTACCCATAATCAATTTTATAATAATTTCGTTTGCATATTTGTCCCACTATAGTTTCATTACACGAAAAAGTTTATTTCCAGTGACACAGCGTTTTCACTTTCTTGTGCATGGATTGTGTTATCATAATAAGATTTGGAATCTACCAATCAAAATTAGGGAAATCTGAATAAAATTATGGCCTAACCCCAACCTGGTACACACACTACGAAAGTAACCTTTTGTCAATTTAAGACTGAATTGTGTCCAAATTTATTGATATTACAACTTTACTGATCGGTGACTACATGTTCCAAACCTTACTCAGAACAAATATGCAAAAACTGTTACAAAAAATTGAAACATGTCAGCATCATTGCAAATTCCATTCATTTAACCGTACATCTGTTTTCAGGGACCAAGATGTTGTTCCGGGTGCTCCATCTATGGGTGCAAAAAGTTTATGCATTCCATTCAAGCCATTGAAACAACTCGCACCTGGACAGAAATGCATCACTCCTTGCGGAAAACCTGCAAAATTTTACTGCTTGTTTGGAAGGAGCTATTAATTTAGATAATTATAGAATTATACGCTGATAGCGTTTTGGTTTGGATAGAAGCAATTGTTGATATATGTGATATTTGCTATAGAATGTATGTTGGCTGTTGTAGGCTTATTGCTTTCAATTTAGAATGCTGGTCAAGTTGGAGATGCTTCAATATATTTTTAGGAAATTAGTATAATTAGGTTCTAAAATTGTTCGCCAAAATATACTTCAAATCATGATGTGTTGCATTCTTTTTTCTCAAGTATGCTTTCTAGTAGGTTTTGTCTAAATGTATTATGGTGAATTTCAAGTCAGAGCTAGAGGGATGCAATGAGAATTTGATTTCTGATACTGTGTTTTGGGGAAATGTGTGTCGTGATGTTGCAGAACTTGTCGGGTGGCGCTGATTCACTTAGGATTCTTGTAATAATCGTCTATGAACTAAGTGAAGGCCAACCAAATGCGAGTGGTTTAAAAAAAACTACGCTTGGGCACAAGTTTAGCTTTCTTTTATATCGAAATGTAGCAGCATCCACGACCTAGGACTAGGTGATAACAAAGATGAAATACATGCGCAAGAAATTATTGGCCTGAGATAGTCTTGATAAATATGCCCTCGCTATCATAGTAGCGATGAAGTACTGCTGCGTGCCGTACTGAAAGAAGAATCCACGTGCATGAGGTGCACGAATGCACACAACAACAAAAGACAAAGTCAACACAATTAAAACATAATCCAATAAAGAAAAATATTTTAAGGCTAACAGCAATGATTTAACATCGTTTTGTGCAGCGCCGACAAATTCAGAACATGGTGAATAAAATCTAAATGCATTGAAGAATCAGGCTCAAAACCAGTTGTGTTGAATTAAAAAATTAATCAAAATTCGTTGAGACAATTTATTGTACACTGTAAAGCAAAGAAGCAGCTCGTTCTCCTTTTTTTTTGCGCGCGCGTGAGTGATTCCATATGGAGGCGTTGAGAATTATGGGACTTCCCCTGTTTCGTCACTCCATTAAACGAACGCGTGTGTCTGTCGTTTTCACTTCGCCTGACTTTATTCCTGCGTCGCAACGTCTACGCATCTGTCGCAGTTTCTAAATTTCTTGTTCCTAAAGAAGCAGAACTTTATAAGTATCCAAAGAGAACAAGAAAAATGGTGGATGCAGCTACGAAGAAGACTTTGTCAAGCTTGCCTTTGTTAAAAACGAACTGCGGTCCGCGCGATCGAGAGAACTGGCCAACACGTTTGAAAGAGGAATACCAAGCTCTGATTATTTATGTTAAAAATAACAAGGAACAAGACAATGACTGGTTTAGGCTTGAATCTAATAAAGAAGGCACAAAATGGTTCGGAAAATGTTGGTTTATAATGAATTTACTGAAATACGAATTTGACGTCGAATTCGATATTGCCGTGACCTATCCAACCACAGCTCCAGAAATAGCGTTGCCAGAATTGGATGGAAAAACTGCAAAAATGTACAGGGGAGGAAAAATTTGTCTCACTGATCATTTTAAGCCACTCTGGGCAAGAAATGTTCCAAAATTTGGGATTGCTCACGCTATGGCACTTGGACTTGGTCCATGGCTTGCTGTAGAGGTTCCAGATTTAATAGCTAAAGGCATTATTGAGCATAAGCAAGCATCTTGATTATTGTTTTTTTGATTATTTTTAGGCTCAATGAATATTATCCACCAGAGTATGGTTCACTCATGTTAGATACTATCTCTCTCTAGCACAATTTGTTCTCAATATTGACCCAGAAATCTAAGATATAATTCCAAAAACCATCATATTTATGCTTTTCTTGTTGTGTCTTTTTCAGAGATAAGATCATACATGAGATAAAAAACTTTATTTTCATTGTCAATTGTTGCTACAAGATAAAAAGGAAATCTTGTTGGTTAATAAATTATTCATAGATTTAAAAAAATGAAATTCTTGGTGAAGTAATGGGTAAATGGCCATGAATTTATACATTTAAATATCTACATTATAGTTCATATAGTGAATTCGTTTTTTGATCAGGAAATATTGCAATATTTCTAAAATCAAGAAATTACCTTCTCAATTATGACTAATTTCGAGTTCGAGTTTACTTCAACAATCATGGAGTGGTGTTTTTGTTATTCCTTATTGATCAGGTTCCTTCATTTAAAAGGGGGTTTGTCTTTGTAATCCATGACAGACAAAACATTTTACTGTTAAAGCAGGTCACAACCATTGCAAGATAGCTTGTGAAGTTGTGATGTCTTTTTATTTATCAGAGAGTATTCGTCTGTAGGAATTGTGATCAGAATCTTTACCAAAACAATGAACTTCCCTATTGACGAGCATTTGTATTATATATGTTAGTTAATTACATACATGGTTTTGAATTTATATCTACACATTTCACAGAATTTAATGCTCATATGCAGGGCTGTCTAAAATGAATTGGATACATTTGAAATTGGTTATAATCAATATAATATTTTTATTCTAAATTTTTTAGTGTCATGATTTGATGCCTAAGAATATGTTGAACATAAAAATAGACTTCAATTTGTTTATGACATTTTAACAATTCAAATAATGTCCCAGCTAACTTGAAATACAGGATTTGAGTTTTGTGAATTTACAATTATATGTGCTAATTTCTATGTTGAATACGTTCCAATTTAGAATATAATATTCCATATTCAAAAATGTATCTGTAATAGTACATTATTCAGTTTTGGCCTTTATGTTTATGTTCCTGTAGCATGATGCCGTGATGAACTGCCCTGCTTTAGTATATGTGAACTATCATGGTTTTTTTATTCAATGTACTGACTTAGACTAAATCAGCTGTCAGCTTTTTGTCAAATTGCAATCATGTTTATGTTGCAAATTGCAATATATGAAATGTTCAGTGAATGAGGTTGGATCGGAATAAATGCTATTCAAAAAAGCCTTGGGAATTTCTGTTTTTCTGGATGTTTTCTTATTTTCTATCTCTTACAAGGAATTTGTGATTTATAATAGCTTATATTATATGAGTTTGGTGAAAATTTCATTCAATTAAAATTATGTCTTGTATGGTTATTCCTAGTTTCAATCAAATATTGTGTATTTTGGTAAATTTTATGGTGTTGTTTTAAATACAGTTTAAACTAACATAGAACAAGTTTAGTTTTATAATCAACCTTAAATATCAGACCAAAAACACACCACAATGTCTATACCAGGACACGATTTTTCAGCAAAAGAACGAACTGTTGACGTAATTACTAATGAAAATGTCAGTTTCAAAGACTTATTGATTTCACATAATGTTTTATCAGGGCTGCAGAAATCAAGATTCGAAAGGCCATCTCCGATACAGTTAAAAGCAATCCCATATGGACGATGCGGTCTCGATCTAATAGTACAAGCAAAGTCTGGAACTGGGAAAACCTGTGTGTTTACTGTTATTGCCCTGGAAGCTATTTCCACTGACGCCCCAACTTTGCAAGTTTTGATACTTGCCCCAACAAGAGAAATTGCCGTACAAATAGAGGATGTTATTAAAGCTGTCGGGCAAGATGTCAAAGGTCTTAAAGTGGCTGCTTTCATTGGTGGACGACCACTCAGCGAGGATAAACTGAATGCTAGAGGGTGTCATATTGTGGTTGGATCCCCTGGGCGGATATTCCAACTTATTGAACTGGAGATTTTAAAATGTCAAAATGTGAGAATCTTTGTTTTAGATGAAGCTGATAAACTCTTGGAAGATAATTTCCAAACACAGATTAATTCCATTTATTCAATGCTACCAGAAAATAAACAAATGATAGCGGCATCTGCAACTTATCCTGAGGAACTGGCAGAATTTGTGACACTATACATGCGTGACCCACTTTATACGTCTGAACCCAAAAGACATGGCTCTTTTGGGTGTCAAACAGTATTATTGCTTAATGATGACCCACCAGACAAATTTTATTCTCGTTTGAATGTAAAATTAAGGCTGTAGTTAACCTTCTAAAAATATACCCATTCCAACAAACATTGATTTTTTCAAATTATCATTCGCATGCAAAAGATTTGTCTGATGCTTGCAACAGTGCTGGGCTACCTTCCACTTATATATCTGGAAATCTAGAGCAAGAACGTAGACTTGAAGCGATGAAAATGTTGAAAGAGTTTAAATGTAGAGTTTTGATTTCTACCGACTTGACTGCAAGGGGGATAGATGCGAGTAATGTTGACTTGGTTGTGAATTTGGATGTTCCAGCGGACTGGGAAACTTATATGCATAGAACTGGCAGAGCGGGACGTTTTGGATCGCACGGAGCAGTGATTTCAATTGTTACTTCTGGTGCAGAAATTGAAGAATTGCTCGGAATTTCAAAGACTTGTGGCGTCACCCTTTTTTCTCTTAAATGTGAATCTGGAAAAATTATCATCGAAAATGAACAAAATAATTTTACTGCCAATGGTAATACAAAGAATAAAAACCTATCAAGCTCTTCTGGCGACCCCAAATTGGAAGTTGAGAAAGCTCCACATAATGTACCAAGATTGGGGGCCGAAAATACCAAAATGAGTGCTAGAAAAACCGATGCATCCAATCCTAGTGCTGTTTCCGAAGACGTAGACTTCCCAAGAATACCGTCTTTACCAGAGTTAATGAACAAAGGCCAGGAATCAAAAAACCACCAATACTCTTATAAATATACCGATATTTTGCAAAATTTGAAAGATTATATGAAAGACGGAGTTTTTAAAGAGTTTAAACGAATTGAACCAACAACACAACAAGATGAAATTTCAAAAAATGAGAAATTCAAAGAACAAGAATCTTTATCCACTGTCTTTCACCACCTTAATCTTCAAGACAATCCACCAGGTGTCTTCAACACAATTGTTACCAAGCAACAAATCCAGCAAGGTCAAAGGTCAAGGAACCAAGATTCTGAAGAAGCAAGTTCAGATGATTCTTATGAATACAGTGACATCTCAAACGAGTCTGAACGAGAACAATCCAAGCTTATTAAAAATAAAGTCAAAATGAAAACAATTTCTGATAAAAAAGTCAAGCCGGGAAAACTACATCCAAAAAAGGATGATTCTACTCAAAATAATTATCAGATGAATGAACAAGTTAAACGAAAAAGTGAAACCAAAATTAAAAAGAAAAAATCTTCACAAGATAAAAAAGAACAACAACATGATAGAAAAGGAAAGTCGTCCAGGAAAAAGAAAAGTCACCAAGAACAGGGTGGTCGCGACCCCACATTTTTATTGCCCCGATATGCTGGAGATCACAAGTTTGATGAGGATATGTCTAAGTTTCATTATCTGATGCAAGCGCAAAGACAATATGAAATGTCTTGGTATAATTATCATTACTGGAAACGCTGGTATGATACTCAAGTTATGTCAAACTTTGCGAATAATTCTTAGCACAATTGATAATTTGCTCAGTTTAATAAATTAATAACATTGTGAATCAGGTCTAAAATTGACTAGAAATTACTATCGAAAAGTGCGTGCTGTTCAGACCAAGGCTACTAAGAATGGGGGTTGTAAATTTGCCTATTTCTCACCATTCAGTTTATAAGATTCCTCCTAATGAATTTCCACACTTGTAAAACCCCAAAACGATAACGAGAATATCGGTCAGAGACCGAAGACTTATCGATTGAAATTAGGGGATCCCCCAAAACAGAAACTGCGGTTTCGATTCATCCGCTCTTACTCCACATCGACACCGTGTGTCCCATCACTAATTAATTAATTACTCGCTGATTATACGACAAAATTCATCCCAAATCAATGAGCTTCTGGTCCGAGATATGATGAATGCACGTGCGAAATTTGGAGCAGATCCGCCTTCGTGAGATATCGCGTGAAATATGAAAGTGTCTAACAGACAACAAACAAATACCGATCAAGATCGATAAGTAATAATTCAATCATACCGGTATGGTTTGTGTTATAGCGCAAGTTGGTCTTGTGCGACCTTTAACACAGAAGGGACAGATACAAATAACTGGATGAAACCGCGGCCACACCTTAACATGGGCTTTCTATTAGGCGCAGGCACAAAAAATTTTGGTTATTTATCTTGTGACATGCCTTGTTCGCTTCGCTCAAGCTAGCTGTTAGGTATTGCAACGTCAATGGCATTTCCCCGCGGGCCTCTCATTTTTATTCGTGGGCCGCTGTTTGCACACCCTTGGCGTAAGTTATAGGCACCAATATCGCATCGCTGATTTCGTTAGAGCGTCGTTCAGGAAACGCTAACCGTCGATCGTGAAGCAATGAGTCGCATTCGCCAGAAATCGTGGACGGCGCGTCGAGTAACTTGATAAAATGCGGTTGATTATGAAGAAGCGTGTGGTATCGGTTCTTCAGCAAAAGACACTAAAAACATTTCTCTAGATTCAAATACCTCAAATCTTATTCTGTATTTTTTAAGTTACGACAACATTTTTTTTAATCAAAATCCATAATAATACAGGTTCATCCTATATTAGGAAGTTTTTTCAAGGTAAACCCAAGTAAAACAGAAACATCGACGGATTTTCGTTTCATTTTGCTTAATTTTTTTGCGATTTGAATCATTAAAATCGGAAACATTACGGGATAATTACTGAACATGCATACATCGTTTTGGCATGCACGGTCTGCTGAAGTTTTCATAAGGTATTGTCTGATTTTGTATCGTGTATATATGTTTATTTTATTGTGTTCTTTGACTGTTTCTGGTGCATGTGCGCGTACTTATACGTTTTCAATTTTGTCCTCAAGTTATGTTCGTCCTCCAGGTCTACATTTTGTTTCATGACCGTGACCAAAATAAAATTGATTGAAATGAAATGTACATATATATATGTGGGTTGTATTGCTAAATTACTTGTTATACCGGTAGTTGTTTAGTGATTGTTGTCGGAAAAATCGACTTTTTCGGAAACATATATATATCAGGGTGAAATGATTAAAGTCACAAAGAGGCTATTACATTTGTATTCTTTTTTCAAATTCCTTTTAGCCTTATGAACCTGATATTTTGCCAAGAATTTAACTGTTTTATTCCTATTAATGAGAACGCTTTTTATGACGCGTGGGAACGAGATACTCTTTCACACTTATTAACAAACTCGGTGTTTACTCAAGACTTTAAGGGTGGGCAACCTCCGAAGGGATATATAAGATCATTGCTCAATTGTTGGATTATTTAGGCTTACCATACGTCGCGCTTAAAGCGGGACAGTCCCGCTTATTAACGTATTGTCCCGGTGTCCCGACAAGTCAGCCAAATGTCCCGCTTTGGCGTTAAACCAGGCAGCATAATACACGAACAATACCAATTAGAATGTTCTTGATACTGTTGTTGCGGTGTAGCGTACCGTTAGCCTTCATACTGAGGGTGCGTGCGTCGTTTTGTTTGTTTCATTGTTTCGTTTGCGGATAATTGCTACATTTTGTTACGTGTTAGCCCCGTACACCAAAAAGGTGCTTTACGTTAACGTAAATTTATTTCTTTTTTTGAACTGAAACCGATATTCAGACAGAAAGCGCATGAACTTTCGATTACAATATGGTCAATGAAGACGGTCGGGATGGTTTTAAATGTAGGGCCCCAATGTAAAATTTAAGGTGCGAAAATCACAGCTATGGCATTTGGAGGCGTTCCGCTTTGAGATCACAAAAATATGGTAACCCTAACTATATATAATATATTGAAATAGCGGTTAGATATTTCAGATTGGTATTTACAGTGTTCAACCTTTAAAATGAGACCGATTGACTCAATATTTTTACTTAGAAAACAAATGCCGGTCCAAAAACGTATCCGTGCATTTTGATGGTACACATTATTTGTGCGGTGACCGACTTCGATCACATTGCCATCTCTACATCTATGCCAAAATCAACTGTATGGTACTTTGCTGTTCGATACGCCTCCAAATTCTGGTTTACCGGAATAATAAACTCATTCGCGTTCGAATGCTCTTTTATATCACCAATATCAAATATGTCTTGGTGCTATTGGAATAACATATTTAAATGACAAACGGTTCCGTGTTGAAAATGAGGGAATTTCATATAATGGCCCATTAGCTTGATTTCAGCCCTGACTACAAACAAATTAGCAGCGTTTGGGGCAAGATTATTGAACTTGCTTTTATCAGAAACGGGACTCTAAACTTGAACACTTGTAACGATATAACACCTGCCAAATTTCCAATCTTCACCTAAATATACGAACTGAGCCACTTTGCTTCTAGTTCTGATCGCTGCTTGAGGTTCTAAGCGTCGCTGTTGTGATGATGAAAACATATTTTCCCTCCCCGAAGGTAACTAAATTTGTTAGCCTACTTTACATCAAGATGTGTAAAAGAACTGAAACTTATGGACTGAAACCTATTATTTGACACAGACAGTCTCGAACTCGTAATAGAACTAAATACGAAAACTAACTTTGCGACGTAACTGACTTTTCGACAAACATTTGGTGACACTTTACGTTGAATTTATTATTTCGGTAAACCAGAATGTGGAGGCGTATGGACCTTTTCCCGAGCATCGACTTCCTTGTTTACTTCGGGACATTGGCCAATCAGCAAGATGCAAGAAGTGAAGTAACAATGCTCCCCTTTCGTATCCACTCAGAAACATTTCTCACTCAGACAGATTTTTAAGCGTGGTCGTAAACATTACCTCATTTTCGCGTTTTTAAATCCTATTCGTTAGTTTTCAGTTGTGTTTCGAAAACTTAAATATAAATCAGATAATTCAATGATCCCTGTGTCTTCCTAGGAGTTTTAATTTAATTACAGTAATTAAAAATTAGTGTAGAAATAGCTGTGATAGACTGGGCTAAAATTCTTTACCGGTACTTTTAAAAAACAGATTTTTGTACGCGATGAATCATAATAACGGTTTAAAACACATACCCCATTTTACAGACGCCAACTCGCAAAAGCACTCTTAAAATAGCCCCGAAAATTTTGCAATGATAAAGTATAGGAAGAATTTTTCAGGGGTCAAAGGTCGGGAAAAGGTCCATCGAGCAGCAAAGTACCATACAGTTGATTTTGGCATAGATGTATAGAGATGGCAATGTGATCGAAGTCGGTCACCAGACAAATAATGTGTACCGTCAAAATACCATCAAAATGCACGGTTACTTTTTTGGATAGTATTGTTGCAATATTTTTTATGTATCTACTCTAGATTAGACGTTACGAATTTCCACAGCAATTTATTTTCATTATGCCATTATGAATCATGAACAGTTTTCTTCAAGTTTCGTTTGGGTAATGACCGAAACCATGTTTTTTCATATTTTATGCGGGCGTTTCTCCGTCCATGGTGTCGTCCAGCCAAGGATCTTGTGGAATAATAATTTCTGATGGTACCCCGACTGGGCGAGTCATTCCCGGTGGTATGAAACCCGGAAACTCCATTCTCGGTGCCGATCTACCGATCGATAACATGCCACACGTTCCTGGTTTATCTGGTTGGCACTTTGGTCGATAACCAGATGGAGTTGGTACTGTGTATAAGGATAATGTTATTTTATAGTTTCGCACGAAAGTGGTAGAAGTATTTTTTGCTCTGGATGCACTCTTTCCTTTTTTGATTATTTTACCACAGGGTGTGTTTATAAAGTCCCGTTACAATTTTAAAATTTCGTTATGAAGTCAGTTTTTAACAAATCTTAATTTGGTTATTTCATTTTATTCAATATTCACTTGTTTCCCCGAAAATAAGACCGGGTCTTATTTCAATTTTCCTACGAAAAATAACACTAGGGCTTACTTTCGGCGGATGTCTTATAATTTTATTTATCAAAAACAAAATTACAAAGTAGAGAATTACGATATTTTCAAATATATATATATACAAAATATGAAAACCGATATCCATTTACCTATAAATAACACGTTTATATGTAAAATAACTGCAAAACATAGATTATCGATCATTCAAAACGTGTAGGAGAGATTTTTTGCTATCGACTAAAGTCACTAAATCAAAAAAAAAAAAATTCGCGTTATTGACTAGGTCTTATTTTAAGGGGAGGGCTTATATGAAAATCATTTTTAAAATTCAGGCTAGGTCTTATTTAGGTCTTATTTCCGAGGAAACACGGTAACTGGGTAGGTCACGGTAGTTGTTTCCCAGAATTTTTCTATATTAACCAATATTGGTTAACCATTCCCATACCCGACATAGACTTCCCCCCGTGTAATATGAAAACCCTATATTCCTTATCACAAATTGATAACATTACCTTGGTCTGGGCACTTCCAGCTTGGATGTTTATAGTGGCCGAATCCGCGTCCCGATATTCGAATAAGGCGCATAACCAACGCCATCTCAGACTCGTACGTGGGTTGGTGTTACGCCGATGGTGCTCATCAACTCCCTGAATATACAATACTTATAGAATTTATCAATATATATAAGCAATGAAGAAGAGTTTTATCAGACACTGCATGGTGGCTAGTTGGACTTGAGTGCCCAAATCCCACGTCCGCTTCCTCACACAGTCATGGGTCACTGCCGCTACTCGATAACCAGTAAGAGTTCGGGAACTGTCTGTGTTAGCCGAGTGACTATCCCCCTGCCCATAGGCTTCCGTCCCTTTACACAACTTGATGTAAAGTAGGCGAACAAAATTAGTCACCTCCTTATTTGTACACTTACTTCTGAAGCGCTGATTTTATATCAATGCTGAAGTTACCAGCAAGGACGTGAAATCTCCCTGAAATATTAACCCGCACTTTCTTATAGCTTAAAGTCCTTACCGACATTTCCACGTCTCTGTATCTTCTCCCGGTGATGGCGTTTGGGCCATTGTCGTGACTGCTAGGAGGCCAGTAAGCGGTTTTCCGGTAAAAGTCCCATTTTTATAGTTCGACTTTATATGCGATATCAAGAAGTTTCGTATCTTTTCCTCGACCCTCCTAAGTCGTCTAGCCATAGATTTCTGGTACTGATCTTTCGAGAGGCAATTTGACGGATGTAAAGTGAAGATCGTTGTTTCTAAACACGGTGTTATATATACAGGGTGTTAAAAGTAACGCGAAATTAACATAAGTCAAGATAAAATGCTACTTAGAACATTTAACGGCTGACACCTTTTAACAGTATTGAATTACGATGAAATGCAATTAAAACATTTCACGACTGACACCTTTTAACAGTATTGAATTGCGGTGAAATGCCATTAAAATATTTCACGACTGACACCTTTTAACAGTATTGAATTACCGTGAAATGCCATTAAAACATTTAACGACTGACACCTTTTAACAGTATTGAATTACGGTGAAATGCCATTAAAATATTTCACGACTGACACCTTTTAACAGTATTGAATTACCGTGAAATGCCATTAAAACATTTAACGACTGACACCTTTTAACAGTATTGAGTTACGGGGAAATGCCATTAAAACATTTCTCGACTGACGCTTTTTAACAGTTACTTTCTTAATGTTGCCATGACGAAAATTTTGCTTTAATTTTGCGTAAACAAATTGAAAATATCTAAATATTGAAAAATCAGACTCCATTTTACTATTAACCATTCCCACTCGCAAAAATCAAGTGTTTACCAATTTTGTTTCTCCCTTCTCCAAAACTTCCGTCTTCATTCTGATTAGCGAGCCATTTGTTGATAAAATATCTTCCCACTGGGACATCGGATATGCAAAGTATTGACATCGCTATGGAGAATGCGGCGATTCCTTCTTTCGGTACTTTAACTGTTGTTAAATGCAGTTTAGCAGTTTATATAGGCTTACCATATACATGAAACAATAACAGTGCGGATAGGACAAACTTTGGTTCGATTCCTAGGTTTAGTAATATTGAATCATTGAAAAAACGTGCACTTTTTTTCCGGCATTTCGATTATTTTGGGACAGTATGCTAACGTTAGATTTTAAATTGACGTATCGAACATCTGATAGTTAAGACATAACAATACAGTAGTTGTCTCTCCTACTGAACTAGTAAAAAATTAGTGATGAATGGACTGTCGCTATTAACAAAAGATAATTTTGTATAACCGGGACAACGCCACTAGAATTCTATTTCATTGATTTTATTATATAGATTCCCTTCAATTCCAATGCTGTTCGGTTTTTATTCCGATATGTTTAACCGCCATTTTTTCAGCAAACTCGTTGCATTACGGCTTTCGGTATTCTCGAAGTATGTGAACCAAGATGGCGGACACCGGAAGGTGTACCAGGTTAGGGTTAGGCCATAATTTTATTCCAATTTTCCTTATTTTAGTTCTATTACGAGTTCGGGGTCTAGCCAAGTGACTTCCGTAGTATTTGTACCTGAAGTTATGGCCTAACCCCAACCTGGTACACATACTATATTCCGGTGTCCGCCATCTTGGTTCACATACTTCGGGAGTAGATCGTTTTCGACGCTTTTGTTAATATATTTACTTCACCTTTATAACCAAACTGTTGTTTCATTCTTTGTTTCAACATCTCTGTTAGATCCATTCCAAAAAAATCCGTGTTGTTTTTGCAAAGTCCTTTCACAGTCACTGTATGCAGTGCTAAGTCTTCCAAGGACATTCTGAACATACAATGAATAGCTTGTTATGCGCCACACGGTGTTTATAATGTCCTGTATTTAATTATGTAAAACAGGGGTGTGCTACATTTTTGTCGGCGGGCTATATAACCATTTTCAGACTTCTAACTATGCCACACAATAAATTTAGTGTTGCCATGTACATAATAATTTTAAATATAAAATCCTGTAGCAAAAAATACATTTTCGACAATATTGACAAGGGCCACACTAAATGACTTGGTGGGCCGGTGTGGCCCGCGGGCCACATGTTGCAAACCCGCCTATTGCATGTAAAAGCAATATGATGTGCTTCGTGCAACTAATGGTGGACACATTTTAAAACTTTGCCATGGGCGCCATTTTACGTGGAAACGCCCCGAAGAGTTGTCATGGTAAAATAATCTCATACTCTCTTATCTCTTCTCATACCCGAATTGATACGACAATTGGGCGGAAGGCGGTGAGTATCTGTATGATCAAATCGGCTTTACTTCCTGACCCATGTCAAATGGGGCTCATGCATATAAATTTCGAAAACAATTTCAAATTCAAAAATTTGTGCCTCTCGGCTAATTAAATAACTAAATCAAATTTTTGTATATGCTAATAACTGTTATCTGTAAACAATCAAACTAGTCTGGCTCTTGTTAACAATAGAAACTCGGCTTTGTTTATCGTTTTGTTATTGTATTTGTCTAACGGATTTTCCTATATACAATTCAGCCGTGAGTACAAGTCTGTCTTATAAACTCTATTGGCAGGATCAGTATTCGTGTCACCACCATCTTGTAAATATTTATTTTAGTTTAATTTTACATCACAAACCAATTAAGACGAAAATTCTAACTACTGAGAAGGCTATCAAAAATTACTGCTTTTTGTAGGTAGTTAAAGAGTTTAAGAAATTCCATTTTAAACCTATATCATACGGGTGCATCGCATCATAGGGGTATATATATTAAATTATAGGTAGGCATTTTTTTTGTATAATGACGTAATACGACGCTTACTCGTCCTTTTGCTTCGAACAAGGCCTGATGTATATTATATAACCATAAGTTCAATATCTAAGAATTTCTCTACAGACTTACCTCGCTGTCGAAGCGCATATTTTCATTTATCTCGGTTGGTTCGCAAGGAGAAAGAACCATTGATAACAAGCATGGATACGTCCGGTTTTCAGTAAATCGTTCAAGAATAGAGCAAAATGGTTTAGCGATTTCGGAATAGGGACCATATGAATGCCTTAGTATAAAAAACATAATAGTTACGTGCCAGTGGGGTATTGCTAGATTATTGTTCGAAACAAAAAATACTAACTTATCGGCCTCCGTCTCCAACTTTATTCTTATGGCATCAACTGTCTTTTCTTTTTCATAAAACTTGTCTGGACCATTCAGTTGAATTAGCATTGGAGAATGAATATATTTCCAGTTCCAATCTGTATTTCTCATCGCCATTAAACGGTCGATTACTTCTGCGATTGCTTTGGCGGTCTCCGGTTTGTACGAGTTGTCACCTGTTTGGAAATATTATACTGGTGTCATAAAATCGTGTGTTTATTTGCATCAAAATTAAACAACATCTGCTTAGTTAGTAAACAATATAACAGAGATATATGTGCAGGAAACTTTGCTCATTGGCCAAAGAGCAGCTGTGCGACACTTGCACGTTTCAAATAGACGTCATGGACGTTTTTACCGGTGGTGTGTCTAGAGGGGGCCAAAGAGACAGCACGGTGCTCCAGAAGTATGCGCACCAAGATGTCGCACAACCTGAATCGCAACCGGTACACACACATACTATGTTCAGCACAACCATCTTGGTGCGCATACTTCTGGGGGTCCGGCAGCACGTTATAGAGGTGAGTTTGTTGCTTAGTTTAATGATATAAATAATAGCAGCCTATTACAAACATTTTACTTTATTTATTCTCTTATATAACAACATCTGTGATTTGTTTAGTTAGGTATAAGCGGCATCATTAGCAGAAATTCGCCCGGGTAGCAGAAAAGTTCGACGCGCCACTGGTTTCCACAGATGCAATTCAAAAAGTCACTCACCACAAACTTTGTATCCTGCAATCTCACGTAAGGTTGCCATCGCAAGAAAACTTAGAACTAATTGAAGCTTCATCCTCGTTGCATAAGAGTCTGAGTGTCGTTATATATAAATCTAAGAGGAGAACAGATGTTTAAAAAGGGGTGAAAATGTGGAAAAAAGCTGACTGACACTGATCACTGACACACCTTCTACAGAGCATGTTTTAGGGGAATATTTTGTGTTGTCACACGTAGATTCAAATTTCAGTGCACTGGCAAACATCTTCCCTCAACTCCCGACAGTTGGCTCACCGTACTAGGCATCAGGAAACACGCACTCCTTGTTACTCTGCGTGAGTCCCGCTGCGGCTTCCTCCACCATCAAGTCCATGCACTCGAAACAGATACCTGGCAAAGTATTTCTATTTACCGACCTGGACTGGTGGCCGGACGAGAGGCGTGGTTCGCCATATGATTGAGCCGTCTTATCGACTTCACTTTTCCCCGGAGTAAAAATGAAAATTTTTATGCTAACGCTACTCAAACATCCTTGCCAGTTTCCAAAAGCTGTTGACGGGCAATTTATAGTACAACGTCTTATATCTTATTATTTTTCAACCTTTTTCCTCCTAAATGTAACTTCTAACAGTCTCGGTAGTAAAATTGTCAGAATATGAAACCGGGCGTCCTCTCTTGGCTATCATTGCGGCAATATTTATTGCATTCGAAACGCCTAGAGGAATCTAATTGTATCCGATTTATTCACTATAAACAAGCTCGCGATTTATAACAAATAAAATGCCTTAGGTTTGCAAAATACGTCGAATGAAGGACTGTATTTACAAAAACATGAAGATTATCGTGATACAGTAAAGCACACACTGTGCAACAGAATAATACCATATTATGTTATTCCAATTTCGACTAGAGTTTGAATAAAAGTCGACCATCTGGCTCTAGTTTTCAAAACAAAAGTTTGAACTAGAAACCGATTAAAACAAGCGACAAGTTACGTTCAGCGGTTCGATGGTCTAGCAGAGCTGTTGAAGCGCCACAAGAAAACTTAAAAGTAATAGATGCCCAATCCAATTTCGGGACTAAACCTGCAACGCATACTCGATGAAAATATAGGATTATTTCAAAAACACTAATAAATTTTATTCTTCACAAACGCAACTGTGAGATAGTTTGCGCGGTAAAAGCGTTAACTTAAATGTATTGGCACCGCTGGTTACATATCCATCTAAATCCCATGTCCTGTCGTTACCAAGGGTGTGATTAATTAGGTAGGCCAGAGGTGTGCGACCTTTAATACAGGAGGGTTAGATACAAATGACTAGGTGAAACCGCGGGCCACATCTTTATTCATCTTAGACTTTCTAAATAGTTGCAAGCATAAAATTAATAATTTCTTAAAATTTATAATTTAAAACATTCCTATACCTTGTTTTTTTAACCGGTGCCTAAATGGATTCACGTTGTCACGGGTATTTTCACAATATAGGCCCCTACAAACTCACAATTTATGACAGTACAATGGTTCACAAAATGTCAAACGAAGGAACATTTGCATGGACCTCTGACGCCATTTAATCTAAATATACTTACAACAACACAGGATGAGATAAGAATTTCATATCTATTTTGATTAGCGTGATAAATTAACATTCAGAATGTAAAGCGAACATTTGCTCAATCGATTTGAGGTCGAACATAGGCCGCCCATCCGGGTAATCGGTTCCGTGACTTCGTGAAGCTACGAAGCAAGTTAGAGTTTAATGTTATTTGATTCTATTAGGCAGTGTTTCCCAAACATTTTCGGCCACGGAACACTTACACTTTTTTTTTATCTCGCCTTGCGGAACAACAAAAAATGAAAGAATAAAATTTATAAAAAAAAAAAAAACGGTGTAGTGTTGCGGTTCCTAATGGGTTTGCCGTGGCGAGTTGACAAATGCGCCGCGGAAACTAACAGATTTGTACTAAACATACCTAAAATATGATTGAATATTTTACATTTCGTATTTATTATAAAAATGTTTTATTGTTTTTTTTTAAATTTTATTGGTGTGTATATGAATCGTTTTATTTATCATATTTCAGTTGTGTTTTCATAAAATAGTTGTTGCTCGGCGGTTTGGCGCATCGTGCTAAGCGTTAGGAATACGCTGGATAGTTATATGCAATAGGATTCAATCAATCAATCCTTTATTTTGGTTCTCTGACATAAACAATACAAAAAGTAAACAGACAAAACAAAATACAGAGGTACCTGACTGTTTTCTTATTATAACTCAGCAGTCCTAAACTGCTGTTATAATTGTTAGTAGGGGTGCATGTCGTACATCTGTGTCTTAAGGCTAGTAAGGTCTCGAACATGTATTCCCGTCTCTGTTTCACTGTTTAATTATTATGCAGATACTGTTATATTTTTGAGGCAAATAAACATACATACATACGGGCATAACTTAAAAAAAGTTAAAAAGCGTACGATGTACGTGCCCGCCCACCCGGCGACTTCTCGCCGCCGTAGAGTGGTTCACGTAACCGCTGGTCAGTTACGGCTTCTTCGATCATTAAGTCTATACTTACGAAAACAAATAACTGGCTAACCAACCCATACCCGGCATGGGCTGGTAACCGCACGACAGACCGTGGTTCGCCATATTATTAAGCCTCGGCTTTAATCTTCCCCGGGATAAATATGTAAATCCTACCCTAATCAACGCAAACGCGACCACAGACTAGCCTAAAACTGGATATCAGTATCTGCAAGCGGAACATGGTTAAATCTACTGAATGAAATTGATAGTTTTGAACAAGTGAGCATGTTCGTAAATTACTCTCTTACAAACAATCTCGAAAAAGCTGTGAAAACTTTGCAATGATAAATCGTAGGGAGAGTTTTTCAGGAGTCAAGGGTCGTGGAAACGTCCACGTCCTAGTTATCCGGTTATTTGTTTCATATGAATAAACTAGGATTATCCAGAATTTTTAAATCAATTGATAATAGCGTGTCATGTATTCATTTCAATATTAACGCCTACTAAGGTGAGATATATTCGTGCATCTCACATAGTTTTCAAAATAAATTTGTGTTTCAAAAATAAAAAAATGTGGCAACCGTTATAATAGTTTTCTTATGAGACGGGAGCGCCATCTTACGATTGTTTTGGCCAAAAGAGGCATTTCGCGGTTTCGACCGTGGCAGAAGAATTGGAAAATTAATTAAGATTAGGTTCGCGTAAGTTTGCATATTTGTCATATCTAGTTAGTTATCGTATCGTTTATGAAATTAGACTATAAAGATAGCATTTGTTCAGCAGTCAAAAAAACTCATACTTATCAGTTTGTAGTTTTGGTGCATATCGCGGCGGGCAGGCACATGACATGATATTTTTCATGTTTTAAACTTACCGGTACCGTATCTATTAGCATAACCACTACAGCATTCTGAGACTGTAACGATTATTCTGGTATTCATTGAGATAATCTTGGCTTTACTTCATTACTTGTTCGACTAGTACGGTATAATCAGAGTCATAACCCAGTAATCACTTTTTACCGCACTACAGCACTATACAAAAATCTGAAAATAGCAGAATGATGTGAAAAAGTAGCCTAAATTATTGAGATAGTTTTGGCATTAGTCGAATGCCAACAGGAGTGGCGATTGTCATTTCAGCATTTACAGTTCATAGAAGTGTTATTACTGAATTACCATCTTTTCAAGGCTGACATATCCTTCTGGCCCAATCTGGATTTCATGGCCCTTTTGAACGAGCAATCGGGCGTGCAATCAGGAATTCCCGCATGCAAATAAGAATTCCTTGCTTGCAATTATAGCTCACGTCGTGCAAAACAACTGCGCCCGTGTGCAACCGACTTTGACATTATATACCTCCTAATACATCTGCGTAAAATTACCGGTTTTGGATGAAATATACGTTGAATTAGAGGAAAAATGAAGATACCGGTACTGTTCAGTACATCTGCGTAAAATTATTGGATAAAAAATAGGTTGAATCAGAGCAAAATGGACATACTTTGTCATTAATTTTGGGAAGTTTTTACGTAGAATTATTGTATAAAAAATACGCTGAATCAGAGCCGTACCTGGCCAGCTTCGGTGAGGAGGCGATCTTTTAGCTTATAACTATTCTCATGGGATTCCTATCATTCAACACAATATGGTCTTTTTTGTTTCGCATTTTTCGATCAGGACAAATCTTGCAAGCTAGTATTAGTCGACAAATTGTGGAGTTATAATTTTTTGGCATTTTCATATTACTGGACTATTGATTTAAAAACCATTTAAACAGATTTACATTGGTGAGCAATTGCAAATTTTCGCGTGCAAAATTGAATTCGCTCGCGTGCATTTTTGCGGAGCGCTAGCGCCTCACAGATTAAGCATGCTGTTTAATATGAGCTAAACTGATACACACTTCGTCAATGCTTTTGAGTCGTATCAAATATAGACTTTTTGCCTGTGTATGGTTTTTCTAATTTTTTTTTATGTTTAATGTATATTTACTTTTACTTCTTTGCCTTCGTTATGTGTGAATGTATATTTTTATTAGCTGGTAAAAGACACTTAGTCATCGATAATATAGAAATGTCTTGAAGTACCAGTACCTGAATTTAATTTATGAATTCTCCCCCGTACCCCACTCAATAATTGAATCGATTCTAATATCAACTCTTACAAATTTTATTTATTATTTAATGTGTTTTTCTATTTTTTGGGTAATGGAGTAAACTCTCACTAATGACAGCCTTTATGATTTCTTTAAAATTTCAAGCTTGTATTTCGGTCAGATTGAAAGAGTGCCCTGTTTATGATCCTCATCAGTATTTTGTTTTGGACTTTTTTCCTATGTTTATCTCATATAATAGTTTATATAATTTTGCAGATTGCTTGAGGGCTACTTTTAGCATTCTATCGAAATAATATTTTCTCCTTGAAACAATCCCCTTTCACAACATTCGCTTCTTATATTTAATGCATGGGACTTACAGGAACCTTGGATTATATTCTCTTGAATTTAAATTGCTGAAAACTATCTAAATAAAACCTTTTTGTACATGAACTGAGCTAAAACTAAACTGAACTTCTCCAAGCCAAATGTTCATTGTAACCCAATTACAACATTTAAAATTGTATTTCAGTCAGACTAGAGGGGTCGATCAGCCTTTGTTTATCTTGAAAACTTGCCCGGCCCCTTAATTTAAGATTTAATTCTGAATATTTCATTACATATTGCAGTAAAAATGAACAATAGTGATATTTAATCACTATTGGTCATTTTTACTGCAATATGTAATGAAATATTCAGAATTAAATCTTAATTTATCTTTCTATCTAAAATTCCTTCATAGATACACTATTTTGTTTGTTTTACATTTGATATATAAGTTATTATAGCAAGTTCTTAAAATGTCACTATTGAGAGTTTGTTTTTAAGTTCAATTAAATTTGAATTTATTTTTGTCGCAGCCGAAAATTATCTTTTTAGATACATTTGCAAAAGCGTGAGGATGAATCGAGACCGGGATTTGATTGATTTGGAAAGATCTTCAAGATCAGTTTTTGTGGGAAATATTCCTTATGAGGCAACTGAAGAGAGTCTAAGAGATATATTTTCAGAAGTTGGTCCGGTTGTCAGTTTTCGTCTCGTTTTTGACCGAGAATCTGGGAAACCAAAAGGATATGGATTCGCTGAATATCAAGACACTGAAACAGCGATGAGCGCTATGCGAAATTTAAATAATCGCGAACTGCATGGTCGTTCGCTGAGAGTTGATCATGCTACAAGTGAGAAAAATCGAATTATGGAAGATTTAGGTCAAATGGGCCCTATAGGCCCACCGAGAGAAAGCCCATATGGTGAACCTGTCCCATCCCGAGATGCACCAGAAGCGATTAGCAAAGCAGTTGCCAGTTTACCGCCTGAACAAATGTTTGAACTTATGAAACAGATGAAACAATGTATTCAAAATAACCCAGTTGAGGCTAGAAATATGCTTTTACAAAATCCACAACTGGCTTATGCCTTGCTACAAGCACAAGTTGTTATGCGTATTGTGGACCCAGAAATTGCAATGAAAATGCTTCATCGACAAAACCCAGTTCCTAATCTTATTCCTGCAGGTGAACCATTAGACCGACCGGTCGATGGTCGACCAAATGGTGACCCACCTGGCAGAAGTCCGTATGGAAATCGTGAACCTCCTCGCAGAATGATAGACGAACCCATGGATATACCAAGGCGACGAGACGGGTCCCCACCACCTCGAATGTTGCCGCGGCGTGGACATCCAGATGACCGAATGCCCATGGATATTCCTATGGATAGAGGGCGTGGTGAGCCAATGGGTATAGGTCCTCGTGACCATCCTATTGATCGAAGAGGCCCCCCAATGGGTCCAAGAGGAGATAGAGGGAGGCGTAGCCCTGAGCCGTTTGGGCGTGGCCCGTTTGGAAGAGAATTTCCAGATAGGGGCATGGATGCTATACCAGGTATGGGTGGGTTGCCTATGGATCGTGGACCACCAATGGACAGGGGTCCCCCAATGGATAGAAGACCACCAGATCGGGGACCTATAGACAGAGACGGACCTCCATTTCACGACCGAGGTGGCCGATTGCTTGATCAAAGAGGAGGATCATTGGAACGTAACAATGTGCCGGGTCCAAGTCGTGATCGTGGGTCATCGTTAGAACGGGGTGGTGGCGACCCTCGAAGGGGACTGGCGCCACAACCTGGTCCCACAAGTGGGGCAGCCCCTCCACCCGCCGCATCGGGGCCTGCAGCTGCTGGAGCCCCTGACCCTAATAACCCCGACCAAGAAAAGGCAGCGTTGATAATGCAAGTATTGCAACTCACTCCAGAACAAATAGCAATGTTGCCAGAAGAACAGAGGAAGAGTATCATGATTCTCAAGGAACAGATCACTGGAGGGCGACAATGAGCATTGAATTTGCTTTGTAGACTTCAATGGAAATTTATCTTTTTTGGGGACTTTATTGAAGCCAGGTGGATTTGCGGAATATTAACCATCGGCTCGTGACTCTGGTTGAAAAAAATTTGGCTTTGTGTTAAAAAAAACTTTACTTTTATTTTGACTCCAAGACAAAACTCTGAGAAAATCAAGTTTTGATAAAAAAAAAATTTTGCGCATGCCAACCTTCTTTAAAGGCGTTAATAAGAATGCTTAGTAAATTTGATGTCCTTTAATTTTTTTTTTTGGAAAATTTTGATTTTGGAAGTCTAAAATTAGGATTTTCAGCCCTAACTCCCGAGAGTTTGAAAATAAGACCTGGCTTTGACTATAGCGACATACCAAATTCCGACTCAAAGTCCCGGTTTAAGCTTCATTGTATTTTAAGTTTGGGGTTTTTGATATTTTCTGAAACTCTAGAAAGGAGAGTTGTTATCTAAGGTTTAATCGAAAGGCGTACACAATCCATCGTATATGGTGCTTTGTTTGATAATAAATAAAGCACAACCGGTGTTAGCAAAACGATGTACGGTAATTTGCTGATGTTTCGGCCGTTTTGCTAACACCGGTTGTGCTTTATTTATTATCAACATGAGATTACCTGGTGGCAATCATGCAGTATATGGTGCTTTGTTTGATTAAGTGCTGTTTGGGAAATTTGAATTCAATTCAGTTTAACTGAACCTTTTTATGTGGGGAAAAATAGGACTTTTAATTACTAGTCGCACTCGAGCGAACTTGTTTTTTGAAGGTGAGAGAGAACAGTATTTTCAAACAGTAAAACGTACTGTAATCAATCATATATGGTACTTTGTTGGATGTATTGTTATGTTAGAAAATCTTTCGATTTGGCTCAACTGTATTTTTTGTGTGGCAAAGGGTTACACTTTTGATCATTATTGAAATTAGGAAAGAGCATTCGTTTTTTTTTTAAAGAGATTGGACGTTTTTGTTATCAAAAAGGCAGGGTAATCAATCATATATATCAGGGTGGTCCAAAGTTGTCGGCTTTGCGGGCCACAAATTTATTTTTTCATTGTTCGCGGGTCACAATCGTGCCAAGAATAGGTAAACAGTGCAATACAAAATAAACGCTTTTATTGTGCAAACACATAGTTATCAGACATAGCCATCCCAGGCTAATAGAATCCGCATTCGATTTTTAGTTTTCTATGATGCCTTTATTGTTAGCATAGATACCCGACCAAAAAGATAGAAAGCCAGATAATAATTTAGACTGCCAAGCACATCATTCAACTTTGCTATTTGCCTTAGCTAGCCATACCACTAGTCAATTCAGTGACATTAGTGATGAAACAATATGTCAAAAGATGTTTCTGATAAATTTGATTACGAAACAACACAAAATGCGATTTATCGATTACTCTCCGAATGTGACACGGCCACAGATAATGAAGCGGCGGGCCACATGTGGCCCTCGGGCCTGGGTTTGGACCACCCCGATATATACCGTATATGGTGGTTTGATGTTATTTTGTTATGCTCTGAGAACATGAATTAAATGTGACTTGAATGCACCTTTTTCTGTGCGGCAAAAAGTTGGATTATTCAATATTGATGATTGTTTTTCTTGTGTTTAACAATCATTTATAAATGGTGGTCGAGGGATTCATCACTACTTTTGGTGAATTGACTGAATTAGCATTAGAATTTCAAAGAATTCGGTATATGCAATATTTTGAAATAAGAATATTGCATAAATGGGTATTTCAGATCAAATTTTGTTCTTGTTTTGTTGAATTGGATGTGTTGCAGTCAGAGAGAGAGATTTTATTTTTTCATCAACCAAAATAAAATAACAGTCATCGTAATAACAATCAATAGTACTATATAGCAAATTAGTTTTATTATAGACAGGAGGGAGTTATACGACCAAGCAGCCATCGGAGATGTTAAAAGCGAATTCAATTTTCAAATACAGTTCATTATTTCAGTATAGTAATTTATTGATTTCAGCGATAAGTCCGAATATTCTCATTCATAAGTTCAATATTTAAAGCGTATAATATTCGCTCAATTACTGACACTGTAAAACAGTGGTTCCCAACTGGGGGGCACAGAGCAGTTGCTGCTGCCACCATGCCAGGTGCATAACTAATTTTACCCTTGCTAGAAAACTCCCCTTTCTGCCTTGTTTCATTGTTTGATAAGGTTATTTCACACAGTGTTTTCACTTGGAGCATGAATTGGAGTTTGAACATAATTCGATTTGGAATCTACCAATCAAAATAACACTATAAATACCACTGGAGTGATAAATGGAAGGGGGGGGGGGGGTGCACGTGGCACGAAAGGTTTGGGAACACTGCTGCAAAAATAGACAATCTGCATTACCTGATTCAATTCCTACAGATTTGTGCGAATATCTCTGTTGGCATGTATTTGATATTCCTTATTCAAAATCATTTTAGATGTAAATATTGAATTCATCATTTTTGGACATTGTTGGTTTTAGGTATGTGATATGATTTGCTAATCAATCTATAACTGATTTTCAGTAAACAGCACATGAGAAATAAACGCTTGGAGTGCAAATCCATGCATCTGAAACAAACAACTAACCCCATATCGGTACTGAACATGGACTGGTAACCGGCCTAGAGGCCGTGGTTTCCAGTCTTATCAACTTCATCCCAATCCTGATCGAGCTTGCGCATGGTTGGCAACGTTTGAAACAAGTTTGTTCCAGTTGAGTTTGCAATATCATAGGTGCGTTTATTTAGCTGATAAACTAAAATTGGAAAACGCTAAACTGTATCGTGACATATAGTTAGGGTTACCATATGTTTTTGACTTCAAATCCGGACGCCTCCAGAGACACGACCCCTCAGCTGTGATCTTGTAACTCTACAGTTTCCGATTTTACTACATAGGCATAGGCCTACATTTGAAGTCATCCCGGCTGACTTCATTGACCATATTGTCATCGAGAGTTCATGCGCATATTCTCTGACGAAATATCGGGTTCAGTTCGAAAAATAGAAAGAAATAGACGCTAACGATACAAATGATCCGAATTTAGAATTTTTTGTACAGCAAAAGGAATGAAGAATAATGTAATAGTCTGCCGTTTTCAAGCATTGAGAATTTACTTATTCGCCCAAGCATGCTTTTCTGTAGATGACACTTTCAAAAAGACGTTGTTTCAAATGTTTCATTCACATGAACGTCCGAACAGGACCAATAAGAATTGATTTTACATGTGATACGTTCGCTAACAATGTTAGCGGGAAACAACGAAACAAACAAAATAACGCATTCACCTTCGGTAAGTAGGATAGCGTTGCGCTACACAGCAACGACAGTAACGAGAACATGTTCATGTTTTATGCTGGTTGGATGAACTCAAAAGCGGGACATTTAGCTGACTTGTCGGGACGGCGGGACAAGACGCTAAAATGCGGGACTGTCCCGCTTAAAGCGGGACGTATGGTAAGCCTACATATAGTGAGTATTTTAATTAGCGAGTTCCTGGGCGTATACGATCTTTTCAAATCAGATAATCGACCGGGGTAGTGTTGGAATAATGAAAAGCCGACGTGAAACTCATGTGGGCTGGCGAATCGCTCGTCAATTCTAAATGCTGACCAACATGCTGACGTAGATCAGTAATCAGTAGTTTATTTTTTCACCACACATGAAATACACTAAATGCATACGGAATGTAAAAGGAAGCAAAAACGGATAATTCGAGGTGAAAGGAGTCGCGAAAACCAAAATTGGTTATCGAGCGGCGACACCTGAGCTAAAGTCTAATAAATGAATCATAAAACAATGAAAAAAGTCAAACAATAAATAAAAGAATATAAAGAAGTGAAAAATCGAGACGACCTGAATCCAAGAGACGCTCGATGACGTAGATGAATTTGTACCAGGCTCGTGGGGTCGGACAAAATTTTTTTTTGACTTCGTACTTCAAAAAAGCTGACTTCAACTCCAAGAAAATGAAATTTTGATAGCCAAAGCTTTGGCGTATGTACGGTTTTCTATCACGATGCTGGAAACGCGATAGTAAACATGGAGCCTTTTCAGTTTCTAGAGAAAATTTGGAATTCTAGTATTAATATTGAAATTCCCACTTTGTACCGGGGCTGTAAGGTTGTAAAAAGGTTGACTCCGGGTCTGAAATCGGAGAAAATTAAATCTTGATAATAATGTTTTTCGGACCTCCTGAAGTATGCGCACCAAGATGGCGCACAACCTGAAATCAGGTTGTGTACCAGGTTAGGGTTCAGGTTATGCGACATTTTGGTGCGCATACTTCAGGAGTACCGTTTTTTTTTTATATTAAACTGCCGAGAACATCTGGGTAAACTAAAAGATTTTTGAGTTTATATAAAAAAATTGGGAATTTCTATATCACCATTGAAATTCAGACTTCGGCGTCCTCGGAGTTCTGATCTGGGGAATTTGTAAATACGACTAAGCTGAGCTAACTTAATTCTAGATTAATCATTTCTTCCCCGACTCTCTTGATTCCATTCATACTTTTTATTTAAATTTTTCTCATTTGGCTTACTCTCTCGATTCGATTTATGTTTTCCAAATTTTTGCCCTGATCATATATAACTCAACCTTAATCATTTGACGTTTTTTTGACGTCATTCAGCTTTAATGGTGTCGCTGACACGATGACTTGATAGTCTTTCGCGGCTCCTCGTTAATCGCAGTCGAAACATTATGTGTCTGTTGTTTTCTTTTGCCTTGATTTACTATGCTTGTGTTGTTCATAATGTTTCTTGCACGACGAAAATAAATTATCTGAATCTGACTCCAGTGAAAAAATTACTAAACTTCACCTAATTGCTTTGTACGGCGAAGCGGGGCTTTGGGCGCGCTGCCAATGCCATTCGCTAGCACAACAAAGTAGGGAGCTCCAGAAGTATGTGTACCAATCTAGGTAACTAGTATTATTCGCCTATTTTACTTCAAGTTGTGTAAAAGGACTGGAACCTATGGACAGGGGGTCTATTCACTTGGCTAACACAGACAGTCCCCGAACTCGAAAAAGAACTAAAATAAGAAAATCGGAATAAAATTATGGCCTAACACCTAACCTGGTACACACTACGGAAGTATCCAAAAATGACCACGGCCAGACATGAATTGGCATCCGCGCGTGATTTGCCATCCATATGATTATTTGCCCCTTTCCTTTCTCTTGAGTAAGTATCAAAACCCTATCCTTGCATCGATTCTCTACCCGATTGATGTTTACAGTGGTCGAAAATTTTATGATGAAATTATTAACAAAATATCGCCTTGGCGCCCCATTTCAGCAGGATTGAACAATTAGTCAAAATATAGGAAAAAACGGATGTAATGTAGGTATATTCGAAAATGTTGCAAGATGATAGTAGTTCATAGAAAATAAGAAAAAAATCAGGACAAGACTCTGACAAGAACAAAACTGCCTAAACTGAAGAGTAAGACGAATACATTTCCCTTGATATTGTAAGCTCCGCCATTGCATCCATCTGCAGTAAATAAAATCATAAATTCGAGTCAGAACTTAATTAAACTCATTTTAGTTGTAATAATATATAGCGGGGTGTCCATAAATTACGATTTTGTTACGAAGTCAGTTCTTAATATATCTTAACCAGGTTCGTTGTTTTTCAATCAGTGATTGTTTAGGAATTTTTGCTTCATTCATTACATCTGTGAGGGCCAAAACAATATATATATATATATATATGGAATGTAATGCGTTATAGTGAAATACAGTTCATCATCAAAGCAAGTAATGCGCGTGGATAAAATTTGCAAAGATTGCACCTGTACTGCAAACACATAGCCTTCCACCACTGACAGGTTCTTGCATACACCCGGTTCCAGTATTCACCATGCAGTATCGCTTTATTACACCTGTTAGAAAGAAATACTCGTATAAATGAGTCCGTTTACAGTGTCTATTAGGAGGGGGGGGGGGGGGGGGTGTTATAGGAGTGAATATGTTGCTTAGCTTAATGATTTATTTAATAATAATAATACAAACATTTCATTCTTACTTAACTTCTTAACCTTTAATTTATTTATTCTCACGAAAACAACATCTATAATATGTTTACCCCCCGAATTATTTTTGAAGTTAGGTATAAGAGGCATCATTAGCAGGGGCTCGATCCGGCAGCAGAAAAGGTGGGCGTCCCTGGCGATGTTCGGGGTTTTCTCAAACCAAGCTCTAGGCTTTCTATGAAGCCACCACAAAAAAACGATTATAATTAATTCAACGCTATTTAAACAAGCTATAAACTGAATTTAAACATGAACACGATATTTTTGCGATAGAACAATTAGTCAAAATATAGAGAAAAAACGGATGTAATGTACCGGTAGGTATACACGAAAATGTTGCAATATGATTATAATTCATAGAAAAAAGAAAAAAAATTAGGACAAGATTTTGACGGGGACAGTCCCCGGCGATTTGCAAGTATATCAAATTTATTTTTAATTCAAGACTGTCTGGTGGTCAGTCTAGTAATTTCGTTTAAATGGCTTGAGTGAGGCTTTGAAAAGGGTGATGGAGACTCACCCACTGATTAGTCTACTCTAGAGAATGAACTGGAGATATGACCAGACCTATTATATGTAATCTAGGACAATATTCATTGCCATAGCTACCACTTGAGAAAACATTCAACACACGAGAGTAATATAAAATACTTACCAACTCCGGTTAAGTTTGAACATGCGTTTAATAAGAAGCCGCAATTTTCGGGTTCTTTGTCTTTACAATCATCCCCATTACATTGATAGCATTTAAGGGCGAGGCCTGAAACAATAAATGCATATTTTGGTTGTTAATTCAGATTTATACAAATTATATTTAAATAAATGCAACTAGCAGAAGGCGAAATGATTCAAACCAGGAATGTGGAGTCGATGGATATCAGCAAGCCAATTTAAAAAAGGACTCCGGCTCCGGATTGGAATAAAAATGACTCCTACTTCATCATCAATGAATGCATATTTTTGTAGATGATTTATTTATTGCATGAAGTGTCCACACGGATCATCCGTTTTGATATTATTATTCTTGTAGGTAATAATGATGAAAACCTTATTTTGATTTCCCCATAAAACATGCACTGAACAAATGATGAACTCACAAAATATAAACACACAGAATATCGGGAAAACAGGCCAAAATCTAGTAAGGTTAAAAAAACGTAGAAATACATGTGCCTGTTTACCCATTGGTATTTATCTTGTTATCGTTATGAAAAAAAAACGCCTTTCTCGTCAATTACTGGACCAATTGCTTTGAAATCTTTAGTGGTTATAGATTGTATTTTTCGCTAGAAGACTATTACTTTTAATCAGTAATCAGTAGTTTATTTCTCACCATACTTAAAATAGGCACAAACATACAAATTGCAATAAATTAAATTATAAATTGGCCATATTTCAGGGTGAAGGAGACGCGAAAAACCAATACTGGTTATCGAGCAGCGGCACCTATAAAAATCATTTCAAAACTTTCTGTGGGATCTATGTGATTCGTTTTTCACTTCAAAATTTTGTTTGATCACGTCTTCAAATTTGTTAAAAACTATTTCTAGCGATTCTGCGACCTATCTTGTGCTACGCGAAGGTCAGAACTTCTTTGATCGTACAGTAGACTAGGTGAGAATATATTTAAACAATATCCATATATCAATATCTTGAATCTTGACGAACCCACGGAGAGTACTAGCGAAAGCCTAGGGTGCCGGGGAATTCCTGTTGAGAACAACTGACATAAACAAAGGCGCAGTATGTGTACCAATATGGGGGTAACTAATTTTGTTCGCCTACTTTACATCAAGTTGTATAAAGGGACTGAAACCTATAAGCAGAGGGTATATTCACTTGGCTAACACAGACAGTCCCCGCACTCGTAATAAAACTAAAATAGGGAAAGTCGGAATGAAAACCATGGTTTAACCCTAACCTGGTGCACATACTACGGACGTACCCAAACAAATATAAAACTTACCTCCCCCCACAATCGCAACAAATGCAAGCACAGCCATTAAATTTTTCATGATTATCCACTTCGGTGTATAACGTTACTCGTGATTGTATATTACTATGATAACTGGAAAGCAATTTGTATTGATTATTTCGTACTCTGGCCGTCTAGTTTGGAATACACATTAATGTGGGCATACATTTCAGAAATGGTGGTTCTTTACAAATCAGTTGCCGCTTTTAAAGAGCCTTATTTAGAGTGAAATGCGTGGCGTGTATAAAATATGATTTAATTTTTATATCTGTGGTAAATTAATAAATCAGCACACACCACTCTTATTCGATATTTAGGCTTCGATTGACTTATTTTCCAACAAATTCAAGCAAATCATGTTAAACTCGCGTTCAAGCTTTTGTACAGTTTGAATATTTTATAATACGTGCTTATTTAGGTATAACAATCATACTGAATAACTAAATCAGGGGTTCCCAACGAGGGGCCCGTGGCTCCCAAAGGGGGCCACAGGGCTGTTGTTTTTTACAATGCTAGCCGCAGAACTGATTTTACATTTCCAATTGCAAGAAAACTCTCGTTCTTCCTAGTTTCATTTCTTGATAAGGTAGTTTCACAGGGTGTTTTCACTTTGTTGATCATGAATTCCTTGAAAATAACGGGATTTGGAATACACCAATCATAATAACATTCTAAATACCAAAGGAATGATAAACATGGGGCGCGAGCCATAAAAGTTCGGGAACCACTGAACTAAACAATATTACTAATAATACGCGCGAATACAAAGTGAAATCGTTCCCCTAAAATAATGAATTTTTTCTCGATCGCGGAACGCAGACTTTAACGGTGTTTTACATGACCTTCAACTACACATTAGTTCTTCTTATAATACCTCTAAAATTTCTTATGCTTGAATAGTAATTTTCGCAATAGCGTTTTAAAAGAAATACTCAACGGATCGATCGTACGAAAATGTTCGTGCCGCTTAGTCGCACGTTTAATTAGGGAGTCTTAGGTACACTTGCACTGCGGTTTCTAACAAGCACGTTACAATATAACTTAACAGTAGTGAAATATGTAAATCCAATTTCGTACTTTCCAAAAATGCTTACTTCACATTGCAACAACGTTTTCATATTTTGTTTATTTAAAAATCTCGTAAATCTCTACTCTGTAATTTTGTTTTTGACGAATAAAAATAAAAGATATCCTCCAAAATTAGCCCTAATGTTATATTTCGGAAGAAAATTGAAATGAATAAACCGTCGTTCTTTCGGGGAAACACGATACATATCACCTATACAAATCCGTCGCTAAATGATCAGTCACGGTCATTTTTCTGGATCCCATAAAGCAACGGTTTCACAGCCGGGAGGGAATTCCATCCCATGGCAATTATGCCTGTCCCATCCCATTCTAATAAATTTCGATAAAAATAGTTAAATTTAGGTTCAGCGTCTACTAAATAGGACTACATGTACGAATAGACATGCAAAACAACGAAATTTACGGACTTTGTCAACTTTATATATATTCATAACTATTATACATGTGTCCATCAGCCCCTTCACGAAGTATATTGTTAATGCTGAATATATTTTGCTCTTTATAACTATAAATATAGGGACACGAAGTCTATTACAAATTGTTTTACCATCATTTCCTCGAATATCATATGGTTTTCGTGTCCCACGTGTCACATGGAAAATACAAATGTGTGCTGTCTCATCCCATCCCATGGGACATTTCACAAGCCTGGGTTTTCCGCGACAGCCACTCATAGTGCTAATAATTTGGTTTCTGCGAGACTAACTACTTATCCTTCTTCTATGCTTTTGTGTCGGCGGATCCGTATGCATATATTGCAAGGATGCTGTAGCAAGAGTACAGATAACTATCTTAAGTGATTCAAGAGTCTTGCTGCACACTGACCAGGGTCAGACGAAACGTTACAGAAATATATTTGTGTTAGTGTGCAGCAAGACTCTTGAATCATTAACGACTCATAGATTGTTATTTTCAACCACATGTTACAGCAGTCAGCCATATGACTTCATGACATGTGTCAACCAGCACTTTTTTTCAAAACGTTATTTTCACGAGAAGAACCATCGCGTCATTATGACAGCTAACGATTTATTCTCGTGCCATTTACAATGCTGTCAGTTGGCATAAAATCACCAAGCACTTTTTAACACGAATTGACAATGATGAACATATTTACCGTGATTGCAAATTTAACGTCGCGCTGGTCGCATGTTTTAATGAGCCAAAAGAACTGCTATATTTTGAAATGTAATTGATACGAGCAGTTTCACACATTCTCTTTTAACAATAAGCATAATCTATAAGCAGTCCCTTCCAAAAAAAAAACTTATAGGTGTGAAAAGGACCGAACTGCTTTCGCTCGACATATTATATGCATAAGCCCTGGATGACATCTTGAACAAGACTTCGAATACGCCATATTTAACTTCAACATTATCATACCCAGCATGCTAACCACAAGATCATTGTCTCACAACGTCAGCTATCGTATAATTCTCGTGTTATCCACAATGCTGTCAGGTCGTAACAAAATTATCAAATACTGTTTAATTAACGTGAATTGGCAATCGCATTGGGAAAATTTGAGTCGACATGTCAATAAAACTCCGGTCTACTGATAAGCACATTTTACATGGGCTCTTCCAAAATTCTCTACGAACTCTCATAACGGAGTAATTGGCACATTAAAAGCATGCTCGCGTAGTATGTGTACCAAGATGGCGCACAACCTGAACGCAGTATGTGTACCAGGTTGTGCGCCATCTTGGTACACATAGTACGGAAGCGCTCATTGAAAGTACACATTAACGACCACAAAATTGACTATTTTCTTCGTGTACGGGTACCGTGAGTTTTTTCACTGATAATTTGGTGCCGCACTATCAAAAAGTTCGAAAACCGCTGACGTAGGGGGGCGATTTTTTGACAGAGACCCGAACCGTTCCTGATTTACATATTATATACATACAGTCTGGGTAAAATAACGGCCACGCTCTTCAAACGCGTTTCATTCAATCCACAATAGTGTCAAGCGCTAACCACTACGCAATAATCTACCCTCAAACCAGCTATTATACTGGGTGTCCATAAAGTCCCTTTACAATTTCAATTTTGTTATAAAGTCAGTTCTCAATATATCTTAACCAGGTTTGTTGTTTTATATTCAGTAGGTATTTTTGTTTTGTTTGTTACTTATCGATCTTAAGATCGGTAAGTATATTGATAGGTATTTGTATGTCTGTGTGTGTGTGTGTGTGTGTGTGTCTGTTAGATGAACGCGATATCTCGCGAATGCGAGGTTGAATCTGCTCCAAATTTTGCATGTGCATACATCATATCTCGGACCAGAAGCCTATTGATTTTGGGTTGATTATGTCGTATAATTAGCGAGTTATTAATTAATTAGTGATAGGACACACGGTGTCACTACGGAGTAAGACCACTGTTTTGGGGGATCCCCTAACCTCCGATCGATAAGTCTTCGGTTTCCAACCGAATTTTAGTTTAAATATTAAGTATTTTTACTTCTATTAACCTCTTGCACCCTGCTGGCCGGTTTACCGGCCAGCCCGAGTTTGCTCTCTCACCCAGCTTATCGCGTGAAAATCAATCAACTTTATTCCCTCATATCTCAAGAACCACAATAGATATTTGAGTAAGTCTTATACTGTATGAAAGCTGGTCATTAGAACTATCTACACTTTAAATATTGCTGCTATATTTTCTAATTATCTGGGGATGATTGGCAAAAAAAGGATGTATAAATTTATTTGATAAAAACAAAAATTAAATGTCAAAAATTGACTATTTTCTGCTTAAATAACCTAATATACAATCGACAATATATCTAGAGAATTTAAAAAGCTTTTTAAAGACGTATTCAAAACGATTTTACGAAGAGCCATTCAAATTTCATGGCCAAATATATTTGATTTTCTGTAGATTTAACAGCGACGCTGCGTCAAAATGACGTTCTCATTGAAGCGAGGCTACGTCTCGTCACGCACAACTTTACGTATATCACGGAAATGCAACAAAGCGTGACGATGTCCGCAATAACGTTACGTCGAGATGTTATTATTTAAATGTCCGCAGAAAGTAATCAATTAACCCGATTTTACGCATTCAAAATTCGCACTACGCGTTGACTGCCCGCTCAAGCCCTTATTAAGTTGTGGTAATTTTTAAAATGAATATTGCACTTCGTTGTGCTCGGAACAATGAAGAACATGAAAATATTATGCAGATAAAAGACACATTCTAAATCCAATATTGCACTTTGTTGTGCCACTCATACCGATGGTTGTTGGTTTCGTTACCTATGCATAGGTACTCTTTGCTGTCTTGCATCGTTTCGGCAAGTCTTTGTCTTTAGCAGCTGGATTGGCTTTTTTGGCAATACTGTAAATTTTGCTGCATACGACGGCATCTTTTATTAGAACTGGCGTTTTGCGGTTTATATATGTCGTGTCGTACGTTTAGTTGCAGTCTTTTAATATCTGTTAAATATTCTTGTGGTTGCACAATCTTGCATTTTTTCGTCAACATCTTGCCTTTTCCAGCGGGATCTTCAAATAGTTGTTCTAGAAAATTGGGGATTGTGAATACCCTTTTTGCTCTCATATTGTGAGGTTTGACAAAATTCATTAGGACGTAGGAATTGTAGGTCGCCCACATGAAAAACTTCATGACTAAACATCTTGGCCATTTATAATGCCTCCTGCACTTTTGTAAGCGTGTCAACTGGTCGTTTTTATCAGTACCTCCCATGAATGAATTATAATAAGCTTTCACTGCTGCTGGGCATGTTATTTCGTGTGTTTCGTCGGTGCTTCAATCCATACGAGGTTAATATCATATCGAAACTCGGCGACCGATGTCCCGCTGAGAACGTCGTCGTGAAAGTTATCTTGCGCATTTTGCCACGCAATACGTTTGAACGTACGTATCAACATCTTCATGACGTTAGTCACGTGATCGACTTTTGCGTAGCTGCGTAATCAGTGCGTCATGGCCGCTTATCGAAGTTGTCCACCCGGCACACTGATACACAATTGGATATTTAAATATAAAATTGGTTATACGGCAGCCACAATAATAATTCCAATATCAACA